GAAATGAAGGCACTGATAAAAACATTTAGAGTGAGATGATAATGCGCATCAATGAAACTTGAAAAGACATTAGCAGTTTTTACATGTTACTGATAGTGTTAACACCCACATGTGAAGTGAACATGGTAAGAGGATAATTAACTAAGTCTATTGAAGAAAGGCTGACTGACTTTAGGTCATTTTGAAAGATAAGTAGGGCTGAATAAGCTGTTTCATATCTGTTTTCTTACTTTATACTCTTACTCAAATTTCCCAGTACACCTACTAAGGTGATTCACTATTAAGGAGGGAGAGAAGGGCGGTTAGAAGTGCGTGGTAAAATAGGTATTGTCTTTTTCTTCAAAGCTATAATAATGCTTCTCATATTAGTAAAAGCTGAACCGAGCAATGAATGGGAATTAAAAAGAAAGCTACTCATTCTTTCATCCTTACAGTTACACCATGAAAATATAACATTGTCTTCATTGACTTATTGTTTTTGTTGCCACTTTTTTGTCTTGACATAGAAATCTACTTGGTTTATTTTGTGAATGCGTTAATAACTGAGAAACAACTGAAATTTAAAGTCAATGTGGTTCAGGGTTACATTAGGAGGTATTCAAAGAATGTCGGTTTTCAGGAGTTAAAGTTGCTGTTTTGAAGGTGCTGCTGGACTGTTCCAGCACACATATGATTCCCTTTATTTAAAGCGAGGTTTGAGAAACCTTCAGTAGTTTTGTAGGGTGCACAATGTAGATGCACAGTATGTTGATCTAGTTTTTCCCAACTCACACCTGTAATATATTATATGATCTTTTATTTGGAGTCCTATTTTGACTCCAGAGAGAGCACATTTCTTACATACAGTACCAGCCTGGCATGAGGGTACAGCTGTGAGCTCTGCTGTTCCCTTTTGATCTTTGCACTTCTTCTGTAGTGGGAGCTGTTTTCTTGATAGTTAAAAGCAATTGCTAAAAATATTTTAAAATTCGAAGAGAACTGCATTAGCAGATTTAACATTTTAGGCACATTCTTCATGGTTCTAACCATTAAACATTATAACAAGACAGTACTGGCTGTGTATTTCAGATTGTGCAGACAGACAAAAAATAGTCCTCACCGCCCTTTTAAATATTTTAAGACAAGGCATGAAGATAAAACAGAATACACAGAAAATGTGCATGAGTGAAGAAAGTGAAGCTGAATTCAAGACACAGTCACAGTAATGTTGAGCCACAATTTGGGTGATGTTTTCAAAATCTGTGTCCTAGTAAAAGTTCTTAGTTCAAGAGTTGGAAGATGGTCTGAAAGACAATTAAATCTTACAAAGCAGGTGTGGAAAGTTGTTACTATTAGGGATTGATCGTTTCACCTCACCTGTCAAAAGATAACCCTGTAACCTCTTGTACTGCATGTGATTACTCCACAATGTGAGCCTGCTTTACTTCATAATTCTTACTAAAGAGTGGATCCCATTTGGGATTGTTAAGGTCTAATCGATTTACAAGCAGAACAGCAACTTTTGGGGTGAGTTAAGATTTCTTAGAAAAACAATAAGCTTTATCTTGTGCAAGAATGAACCTTTGGTCTTCAACATCTAAGTTTAATTCGTCATTCTGAGTGTTTCATTGATGACACAAGAGACACTACAAGGTGCAGCAAAACCACAGGAAAATCCTTTGAAAAAATACAGTAAGTACAAACCACACTCACAGGCGTGCTGCAGAAGATAAAAACATAATATTGCATATCTGTGACACTCTCTGCATTCACTTCACTTAGTACTACAGTTTTAATGAGAAAGAATGATCTGTACCTGGTACAATATTCACATATACAAATTCATCACGTATTATTCACTGGAACACTATAGAAATTCTGGATTATCTTTGGTAATACAGATGGACTCAACACATGGACCCAGTTGTTTTCTAGTTACAGTACTTTTCCACATTCATTCAAGCTAGTTGAGAGGCAGTGTGATTGCAGCACTGTCAAAATCAGACATACTGTGGAGATCATTGTTTTCACTTGCAACAGTTTAACTTTCTGTAACTAGTAATGCATTCATGGAAATACAATACAATCCCAGCAAATGTTTTTTCTCTCTTCTAATTGGTACTAGCTTGTTTTTAGAAGCAGCTAAGCAAACATGTAGATATAAATAATACAATTTATGCAACATACTGTATATCACTAACCTCGTTCATAAGCTACTGTACATTTGACCTCAGCAAATGTAATGTTTGCTTTGTAAGATACAGTGTTTCATAAACAAAGAGGGATAAATAAATGGCAGATCCCTATTCTTCATATCTTACTTTTTAATTTTAAGGTGAAGATGGTCAAAGAGTTATTGAAGTTCAGAAGACAGTAGAAATAATCATACTATCATGTACAGTATGTTTCCTGTACTGTACAGTATGTCAAGAAACAGGAAACATATTTGGACTTTCTTTGAATCCAGTAATGTGCGACATGACTACAGAAACAATTTACATTTAAACATTTACAGTACATTTTACCTTCAGATATTGGGAGTTTTGTAGGCAACAAACTTCACCAATTACTAGAAAAGCACATTTCATTGGCATATCTTTTGTGAATTACTTAAAACTTTGAAACTTTCAAGACTACAGAGTGTTGACAATTAGTTTTTCATGATAAAAATTGGAATATGGAATGTTATTTTTCTTCCACAATAAATATTCTAAAACTATAACAGTTTCTCTAGTCAAAGTTTCTACATCAGCTCTTTGTATGAAGTAAGAAAATACTAAATTCCCTGATGTTTTTTTTTCCTAAAACTATATCTCTGTGGGTGTCTTTTGGGGGGCTGCCTGTCCGCAGGGCCCCTGCTGTCCTGTGGAATTCTAGGCTGGAATTATCAGCAAATTCTTGGCAACTGGCAAAGCTTATCTCTTTTCCTTGGCTTTCTTAAGTAAAAATGTTCTTAAGAAAGTGATTTAACAAGTTGGAGTCATGAAAACCAAACCAGGTCACATAATGAATTGTTTCTGGGGTTCTGCATGACTATTGTCACATCTTACTATCCAGTTGTGGTGATCTCTAGGGCTACTTATCTTAGCTGAATGTGTGTAGAAATTGTACTTCAGTGGTTCCATATTTTTTAATATGTTTCCTCTAACATCTCAAGAAAGAAACAGATTCAAGAAAGAAATGTGACATCTATCTTTGTTAATGATTAGGGCATTAACATTCTGAGCACCAAAATCCTAATTCACTTGGACAAGTGATACACTGTAATAACAAATAGGCCAACAACACTGCATATAAATATTGATTAGTCTTTTCTCCAGTGAGGCAAAAAATAATATTTTTAAATAAATGGATCAGTTTTGTTTTTTTGCCAGTAAGAACAGAAAAATAGAATACCAAAAATGAAGCCTGTGAAATATTGTTTTACATGTTGTGTCACAGCTTCATCAGATATCTATTTTTTATACACTATAGAAAATTACAATGTAAAGTTTCCTTTAGCTCTCCCAAAAAATTAATATATCAACTAGTCACCATTTTTCTTGTACGTATTATCAAGAAAGCCACCGTGCTGCCAGCAAAATAAGACCTTAATATTAAAACAAAGGAGAAACTGCTATATTACAAGATACATTACTACCTGATTTTTCAGCAGGAGGTAGTGGGCAGTGTGTATAACAATGAAGTCCATGAAAAAACACATTCCAATTGCTGGAAGAAGGAAATGACAAATTCCTTACTGAACACAGGACTTAAAGAGATTAAAATGCAATCATTGTTTTTACACAGCTATTACCAAATTGTAAAATGGTTATCAAAATGGAATTTCCTACGGGACTTAAAGGTTTGCTTTCTTTCTGAAACAAAAAAACAACAACGTACAGTACAGTAAAACAAATTCCTGTGTAACATTCTATTTTCATGAATGTTGTGCAGAACAGTTGTGCTTTGTCTTTAAATTAGATATTGTTTTTAAATGAGTGGAAAAAATTGTAATGCAAATTTATACTATATATACATTTTGGAAAAAACATTCTTAACCCCACTCGAAACATTTTCAAAATGGAGTAATCATTTCCACAACAGACATGATAAAATCTGACATAATTGTGATTTTTAGCATATTAAGGTGCAGCTTCAAAGTGAAAGCACTTTATAATTTTTCAGTATTTAGGAAATGCTTTGATTTACACTTATTTATACTCAGAATATCAAATTCCTCACAACGGGAAAGAGCAGGTGGTACATATCAATATTGCCCAAATTGTTATTAGACAAAGATCAATGCCAGTCTGTCAGTTTTTCTAAATGTATGTAACATGTTCAGCATTTTTGCACCAGTGGGTTAGGAATAAAGCTTGTTTATCTGTATTTTTCACTTCAAGGAACAAATGAAAAAAAACATGCTTGTAAGTGTTAACTTAATGAACATGATATACTAAATTTAAATGTAATGTTACTTCAAGCATCTTGCATCACTATTTTCCTCTAAAAAGAAACAATGATAATGGCAGGTTTACAGAGGGCTATCGATATAATCCCATAGTAAATGAAAGAGACCTTTGTAAAGAACCAGAAGATATTACATTATTTCGGACATAATTAATATTTTATGAATAAACATATTTGGTTATCTGAAGATGAGCAATTATAGGTCTGTGGTCTTCAGCTCATAGCAGGTTTCCTGGTGGAGTCCGCTGATGAGAACTCAGGGAATGGCTGTGAGGCGGGCAATCATTGCTCATTCTCATGTGCTTTCAATCATCTTGTGTGGGGAGTGTAGCAACAGCGCAAACCTGAATTTGATCAAAAAACAGCTTTGTAAAGTAATTAAAATGCTACAACTATTGTAACAGAAAGAAAAATAAGCCATTGAAGCTTTTATGTTAGCAGGCCATCACATTTCAGAATAAAATGGACAAAAAACATTACACAATCGCAGATGCAGAGGAAAAGCTCTGGAAATGAATAAAAGGTTGTGAGCCAAAAATAAAATATGTTTATGCTTTTTCTTCCCATAGGGAAGGGGGAAATGGCATTGGAGAATGAAGTAGTGCTAACGAAGATGAAGATCTTCAACAACTTTCAGGGAAAGTTTGTGAATATTGGAAATTCACCCCCTAAGGACGCTGTGTCAGAGAAAGATGTGCAAGAGCCACAGGACCCTTTGGTCAGCAGTGAGGTCGCCCTAGTGCTAGAAGAACCTCAGCCCAAAACAGAGTACTTGTCTGTGCTTTCTGATCTCAGTGCTGAGGACCTCAAACTGTCCAAACTGTTCAAGTTTGAATCTGAGGACTCTGGGGTGGAGCTCCCTAGTGGGGCACATTCCCCCTCCACTCCAACGGGGTCTGAACAGAGCTTTGTGGTTCACAGCCGGGGGTCTTCCTGTGACTCTGGGATTCTCAACACTTTGGACTCTTCTTCAGACCCCCTTCTGCTACTCAGCCAGTGCCCAGAAACAGAGGAGGCAGAAACCACTATCCAGGAGACACCTGAAGAACTGGATTTGATGGAATCCAGAACTGAGCCTATCACTGAAAGCGACACAATATACTTTAGCCAATTGAAAGAAAGCAATGAGGCAGATGAAAAGCAGACCAAAAACTTGGAAAATATTTCAGAGGAAGAAGAAGTGAATTCTGCACTGGAGATTGCAGCAGAGGCCTCTGTTGCAGGTGCCATGCCAAGGGGTGTCTCCACAAAAGCTTATGATGACATGACTGAAGTAGAGCTTGAAGAACAGCCATTGCAGAAATATCCCACGAGTGACAGCCTGGATGAATACATGGATGAATGCTGCAGGCTGAGTGAGGTACTCAGCCTTTTATTTGCTTTTTAAAGTGCCCAATTACTTTTCCTCCCTAATATACACCACCTTGGATAGTCTGTTAAGATTCACATAAGTGAAGGTTCACAATGCATATACTGTACCATATTACCACCACATTGCAACATAGCAATATTGATTAAGGTTATCAATAAAGGGATCATTTGTATTTTTATGAATTGATATACAATCATAAGAAATAAAAGCAGCACTTGAAAGGGTACCCAACAAGCCCTTTAGCAATATATTTTAGTTCTTAGTAAAATAGTTGATTAAATTACTAAATTAGTAAAATAGTTGTAAAATGAGGGTTATCACATGTGCTACCAATAAAATGGATTTGAAAAAGAATATTGAGTTATTGGTCAGCAGGAAGAGTTAGCATATCTCAATATGATCTCAGGTGACACCAAGCAGTAGTGCAGGTGAATAAACGATGTACCCCATCATTTCATAAAATTACATCCATCATGCTCTGAGGGCTGTGGCAAGTTCTGTCATTGTTCCAGAGGGACTTTGTCCGTGCATGACAAAATAATCACAGTTCCATGGAGACTGGTTTTGATGGAAGTTTTGCAAAAATAAAAACTCATTCCTTCTGCATGACATCTTCACAAAGCCAATACTTCATTACAGGGAAATCATTATTGTATGGTGTACACCATAAAGGTGTCACTCAGCTTTATGGCAGAGTTAAAAGGGACTGCTGTAACACCTTCAGGTATGACACCCGAAGAAGGCTCCACGGCCAAAATGTTGTGTCCCTTTTCATTTCAGCATGGAATTAACCCGTACTTGTTCCCCTGCAGCCTACGCATGCTAAAGCAAGCTACTTACTTGAACTTCCATACTGTATTTCCGTAGTGTATTTTTTATGTCCTCCACAAATGATATCTTAGGAAATGTTTACTGGATCCTCATTTTGCATGGAAAGCTCACACAGTAACCTTGCATTCTGAGTGCCCTGAGGCATTATGGATTTTTTTCACACAAAAAGGTTGGAAAGCACTCCTCAGTACCAGAGCCAGAATTTCATATTTTCCTAACAGTCACATTTCGATTGGCTCATATGGAAGGTACATGGCAAACACTATCCATTCATATAAATGGCCTTCATGAATGCAGCATGGGACCTGTGATAATTGTATGGCAATAACAGAAATGAGTTTGGTTACCAAAAAAGCGAAATCTTAAATTTGAAATAAACCCTTGAGAAAAGGCTTAGGTGCTGTTCTTCAAACCCAAACCCGTATGTGAAGGTGGGACGGAGAGGTTTCTTTCCATGCATTTGCTTGTCTAGCAGCACCTGTTCATCTGCACAGGGTGATTTCCCAGATGGCATCAGAGATTGCGGTCAGAGCTGAGCACCTTGCGGCAGCCTTTCACTTTACTCTGCATCGCCAGCCTGAGAGGCCTGACTATTTGGCTTCAGCAAAACAGGTGTAAAATTGCTTGAATTACTCACATATTTACTGAGATAAAGGCCCTTTTATAGCCTTGCTGTATAGGGCTGAAGACCAACATCATTTCAGGGCCCCTCTGTATTTCTCTATAGCCACATTAGCGTGCAGTGCTGACAGCAGGCCGGGCGGTAAACTCAAGCTTTATCATCACTTGTCACTGGAGCTAATAAGATAATTCCTTGTGGAACAAAATGGAGCTCTGTAGTCCAGGAAAGGAAGAGTCACATGGTTTTTCTTCAAACATGGTCAGTTCAAAGACTTTGTCTAATCTGATAAGTTTCCATGTTATGAAATGAGTAGGAGTGACACACAGATGCAGACTTCTAAAATCAGAAAACCCCTCTGAGCCAGCTGCCCTTACACTAAATATGATTAAATGAAAAAAAGCCCCCCAAAAGAAAAATACACAAACAACCGTAAAACACTGATTGAATACTGTTTACTTTGATAGAATACTGTTTACTTTGGTCTTCACTGACCATCATCCAGCAGATTTCATTGTCTTGTGTTTTATTGGTCTAAAAATACATACCTGCATGACTTATTAATTAAAAACACAGCTGGATTAAAATAGACCCTATGAATCTCAAGGATTGAACAACCTTGGTTTAGATTAATAGAAGACAATTGAAAAGTCTTAATTCTTATATATTGTAGCTTCCCTGCAGTATCCATATTTTCAAAGCTTGGTTCAAAACACCATTAATTTCAAGGCCTACAGTACACTCTAAGTTTTTTTTTTACTATTTAACACCCTTAAAGAAGGGTTTTACTTATTAACATCCTTGGCATAACATCAGTACTGTATAACTGTCAGCATAAAGTAGTCACCTCTACTGGGATACTATTGATATTGGATGTAAATCCATTCTATACATTCTGATGTGCTCCTTTCTTCCCACAGCTTCATCATGTGGTGTGCAATTCTGAAAGCAGAATTGGGTAGTTTGTATATTGACATATGTAATTTTCACGTTGTTTTAATACAGTATCCCTGTTACTTCAGACCTGATAAGGCATGCACATATGCAATTTATCAATGAGAGATAGGAAAACAGGTTGATGTTGCCTCCAGAGCACATATAGTTTTTGCACTGAAATGAGCTGTTGAATGAGTTGTTGAATCGAGTGGATTTGACTCAGGCATGCAGCACTGAATGTAAGCACAGAGTAAACTCAAAGCACCTTCCCATATCTTAGTGCACGCCCACCACATCTGGTTCTTCATTCCTCTGGAATATTGTCATGTTGAGGAAACTATTTCTGAGGCACAGACAAAGGAAAAATCTATTAAAGAATGGGAGAGGTTTTCCATAACCTTTTCACTCCTTGGAAAGGGGCAGGCACCATCCCAGAATTATTTGTAAGCAATCTATCGGATACCGTTCACTTACTGAAACAGCATTTTAAAAATCTTTCCTCAGAGACATTTTTCATGTCTTACGTAGCAAAATAAGCCATCAGTATTAAAGAAAAACACACTCATGACCCCTGTGGTAATATTATCTGAGTTGTAAATTAAAGTTTTAATCTCCAAACAAGTTCAATTCAATCCTTCATAGCATGAAAGCTTCCGTTCTTTTTATTCCATCAGTGCTCTCAGTTACTTGTTTGATTAGTTGGAACATACTTCTTCTCCCATTGGTTCTGTGGATTTCTTGAGAATAAACCCTGAAACATGAACCAGAGACAGATGTGCATTTAAAACTGAAAACAGGAAGCACTTGTTACCCAAAGGGTGGCCGGAGGGAGTGTGAAACAAGCTACCCAGCCATTTTGTCGAAGCTGATATCCACTTCTTTCCAAGATACGACTGAATGAGATCCTTGCATCTGTTGGCTACTAACTACCAAATGGGCTGAATGGCCTCCTCTTGTCTGTAACTTATCTTACGTTCTTAAGATTTCTTACAGTAATATTAATGCTTAATATTAATTGGATGTAAGGACAGAGTTGACAATTGCTGCTGTAAGCTCATAGGAATGTCTACATCTACAGTATAAGCAAATTTTGAAATTTAAATAAGGCAGAGCTGTGTACAGTATGTTTTCCTCACAAAACTTTGAGAGTAATTGGAGAGGGGTTGGAAATGTGGAAGAAGGGAAGAGTGTTTCTAGACTCCTTTTCTTCGCTCAGATTGTTGGGGGATCAACAGAGGGCTCTGATAAGATCAGTCTGCTCTCACATCACATCCAGGAAACTGTCATTGCCGTCTAATATCTACCAATTGAACATTCTCACGCTTCACGCCTATGTGCTTCACCCCTCAAGAATTTGCCTTGGATCTAAATAAACCTCCCATAAATTCTCACTGCCTCACATTTGCTTTACAAAGAAGGTATGCGATTCCTATCCTCTGAGTGATTAATAATGTCAGCAGACTGATACTTTCCAGAAAAGACAGATTTTCTGAAAATATGTAGTATAGTAATGTCAGCAGACTGATAATTTCCAGAAAAAGGTACCCCCATAACAGTCAAATCTGAATTTTATAAACATTCACAGATGAAATTCTGCAGGCTAGGTGTTCAAACACTTTTGCGACTGTGTGAAGAATAGGAATGATCCTAGTGTCTCTAAAGAAAATAATAGTGAGATCAGATACCCAGAAGCAGAATGAATAGTATTCCTTGAATCATAACGAATACAACTTTAGTTTATTAAGTAATAAAGTGTGTGCGTATTGCAATACATGACATTCAATTGTACCAAAGGTATTGGGTATGGCATTCAATGGATTTGGAACATATATTTCAAATCCTATTTCAAAAGGTAATGTGTGTACACCAACAAGATTCAGGATTCTTGGTTGCCTTGATCATCCAAGGCTTGTAAATGTGAAGGTGAGACATCTAATTAGTTAGAATGTGTGTTGAAGTCACCTCGACTGGTATAGACATCTTACATATTTTTTCTGGAATCCAGTTCACTCAAGAATTTGTTACCATTACAGTAGTTCTCACCTTGCAGGTTTTGTGAGGAATAAATCTAAGACGGAAAAGGGAGTGAGAAGGAAAAGAAGAGGATTGTTGTTGCAATTATAATTAATCTTGTTCAGACCATACAGTATGGTATTTAACCTGTGTGACCAAATGACACTACTGTATATTTAAAAGGAAATGCGTAATGTTGTTCCATATTCGTTTTAGACATTCCATCATGGTATCACTCCTATTGTTTAGGGCTCATTTCCACTAGCTGGTCCCCCAGACTGGAACAACAGGCAGTCACACAGTACCCGTGACACGGAAAAGGGCTCTGGGAAACCCAACCTGAGATCACTTCCAGCTTTTGTTTGGAACTCTTTGGAATGTGGTGATTGTGTAAATATTTGCTTAAAATTTCCTCTTTATTTCCTAAATAAGAACATCTGCGTGTTTCAAATCTGCACTGCCATGCACACTTCAATAAATAATGAAAAACAAAGCCCTTCATTTCTGAGCCATAGCAGGGAACTAGCCCAGTCAAAATACAAAGAATCCTTTAAGACAGTATTTGTTTTTATTATTTACCTCCTCATTGTACTATAATTTGAAATGGCTAATTGTCCTTCAACTCTGCTTTTTTCTACTCCAACCTGGCATACATACTGTAGATTGATAAAAGAACAACAAATGCATTTTGTAATATGTTATTATAAAACAGCATTATTTTTCACACTGCTTCCACTGCTCCAGAAACTGTACCAAGCTAATTAAAATAAATTAATAAAACTTCAATTGATTGCAGAAAATATCACTTTCTCCAAAAATATTGGATATTGCAATGTAGTTTCGTGTTTCGGTCTTACCTGCCACATAAGTGATAGATGGATCTGGTCAAACTTTGACTCTGATGGCTGTGCATTGAGACCCTCTATAGCTAATGTCTTTATCTTTCCGAAGGGGAAGGGTCTTTATGGGTTCAGTGATAAGAGTGCTGGAAGGAAAGGAAAGGAAAGAAAAAGGTTAGGTGTGACTCCACATTTCAAAATAATTGGATTTGGAGGGTGGAATACCCAGTAAATATGTTTGCAACCTTCAGTTGCAATTAACCTTGGTCGTCTAATATGACCAAGATATGGAAGCTTTCTTCAGGTACAGCAGAAAGAGCTCAGTAATTACCCAGGATACTGGGTGGTAGTAAAGCATGATTGGACCTTCTGTAATCAGTAGCTACTGTAAAAGAACCAACCAATCAGATGTTAATGATTTTCGATCCCTGCTCAGGTCTTGCTGGTTAAATGGATAAAGATATGCTGTAGTATCTGATTTCTACCTTCATTACTGATATGGAAACAAGTCATTCATTAAAGTGGTATACTGTAAGTCTACCATCACACAAAGAAGTGAAAGGTACACTCTGGCGGTGGAGTCAGAAATATTCATATGTAGTCACAAAAAAGAGGCTTTGAATTATTTCTGTACTTACTTTCCTTCCTTTTTAAAAAATAATCTAAATGAGGACTCTTGAGAACTCTTTCATTACTTGAAAGATGGCTTGCTGTAGTGGCTGAAACATATTGAATCTTTCTCAAAACTCTGCATATAAAGTTTCACTCAAGAGTTATTAAAGTCACGCGTTAATGTGCCAGACTAGTATTTACTAATTTTTTTTTTCAAGGATACAAGCAACTACAAATTAAAACCTACCTGTATGTAAGAGTAATGTTGAATTTATGTTCTTTGAAACAAAAGGTTTGATTGGGTTTCAAGATACCTTGTATTATTAAAAAATAATGAAATTGCCAGAACACACTAAACATACTACAACAGAATGTAAGCTTATACTGTATGCAAGCTTAAAGAGATATAAAATGCCATAAAACAAACAAAACAATTCTAGAAAAGAGGGTTCCATGGCTCTTGTATTCACACTGTAAACCCTGAGCACAACCTGTGGTGACTACAGTAAAAAGAATATGGCTCACTAAAAACTGAAATGAAACTTGAAAATAGACTTATTAAAATGTAATTGGAATTGTTGTTCTTCTCATTTGAATTTATTTATGTTTTGTTTCAAACTTTGTAACAGCCAAACCTTAGCAAGGGTGTATTCTGAATTGTGTAGAAAGCGGTACAGTACATCAGTGTAATGTTCTTGAGGGTGTTTGTGTTTTCAGGTGAATCAGGGGAAGACAAATCCCCTTGGCTCAGGTCTGGGATACCTGGAGCACATCTGCCAGCTCATCGAGAAGATCGGGCAGCTCCAGGAGCACAATCTCAAGCTCCAGAGGCAAATCTGCAGCCTGCAGAAGGAAAGCCGCACAAAACAATCGAAGGAGGTGAGAAAACAAAGACACTAACCTTGTACCGTGAAGGTACATTTCAAGGATAAAAGTTCACTAAATATGAACCCACTACAATTATCATGCAATGCTGTGTACCTCAATGAACAATTTACAGTTACAGCCTTTCTGAAAACAACAAATATATGCCATTTACTTTCATTTATGAATATAAATATACTGTACTATGTTTATTTTCTCCTTTGTTGCTAAATGTGGAAAAGATCTTTTCAATAACACCACATTGCAGTCTGTAATCTCTGACATTACATTTAGGATTACAGTATATCCTTTTTCATCTTGATAAAGATCTTACTGATTTATTACACTGAGCACAGGATAAAAGACACTGTGGATTCTGGATAAAGGCAACAAGAAAAAAATACCAATTTTAAAGACCTTTAAATAAACTTTAAAGACCTGTACAGTATGTCAATATCATTGGCTTTGGCTTTTAAATAATCTTTTTTTGGTCTGTGAAAGGCTTTCTAAAAAATTTTAGTTGTTTCACAATATGTCAGTTAACAAAAGAGGGGCTATGGGTTTGCTCAGCTCGATATTTATTGTCAAAACAGTAAGAAATACTCAGGTTTGAATGTTTTATGCCAAATATAAGAAACAAAATGTTATTCCTGTGTCTCCTAAGATATACTTACTTTTACTGTTACATGTTTTTGACTCTGGTACACTTCAAAATGAAAGATTAGAATTGGAAAGATTTAGGTGAAAACCTAATGTCATGTTGAAAGAGAGAACATGTTAAACAGAGACAGCCATAGAATCTGTGTAGCTGAGGTCATGCTCCAGACATGGACCTCTTCTGGCTCCGGGATCTTCTGCATTATCCCAGCTTCACATTGATTACCTGGAAAAGTATTTCCTGCATCTCGAAAGGCCATTTGAGAGAAAAGTGAAAAACCACAGGCTGACAAACTGCTTTTGGTCAAGAGTAATCGCTGCCTCTGGGGCTCTCCCAGAAAAGGTGCTGGCAATGCACCAGAGCACAACTGGCCAAGTGCTGCCAGGGGTAGGGTTGGATTAGTCAGCATTGTTCCTCTTGGTGACACAGCGACTTCTGTATCATCCCGGGCCTTGCACATTAGCTGTGCTGTTGATGAGGGAAGCTCCTCTCCGCTGATTCTCCAGTAGGGGACTGCATAGTCTGTGAAGTGTCAAAAGATGAGGATCTTGAAGTTGGGCTGGCGGAGGAGAAGCCAGACTACACTTCTTCGGTCTCTTCCACGTGTGATTACAGGGTCCATAGCCATAAGCCAAGACATGCACAACTCACAATTGGTGACTCCAAATTCTATGGGCATGTTACAAAAATAGTTGGAAAAAATAATAGAACAAGAAAAGTCAACTTGATTGACCTGATTAAACTATCCACCTGATTGTATTTTCAGCATTCCTTGCCTTTTTTTAAATGGACAGTTCCACATGGTCAATATATTAGGGTTGTCTGACTTTGCCCTTGTCCTGGCAGATTTAGTCAACGTACTACTGTATATTACAACACATTTGTGTGGTACAAGCTGTTATTGTCAAAATCATGAGGACTGCTTCAAATCTGCATATCCCTTCCATTATCATAACAACTGTCAATGTGATCAAGAGAGGTAGACAGTTTAGGTCAAGGGCAGGGAAACTTTTGCAGTTTTAGCTGTTGTTTAGCACAATGGGGCTCTTTTTTCCAAGAAAAAGAGGAAGAATGAACCTAAAATGACCTTGCAAAACCGCTGTCCTAATCACTGTTCAAAGAGCACCATTTGTCTTCACAATGTGATATTCAGATATGCAGAGATGTGAGTTTATAGGAAACACTTACAACAAATTGCTATATTTAAGATTCAAAATCTGTAGAAAATAGAACTGCTCTGTAGAAAAAACAGTCCAATCCAGTCAGATTCACTAGTTATCTTATCATCTTGAGGGTAAACAATCTGATGGGAGTTAAAAATTCCTTGAAATTTAATAAATGCAATAGTAAACAAGTCAGGTTTGTGGGTGATAGCCGAAAATGGAATTCCAAAGCAATTTAGATACAATTCATGACTGGGCAAATGTCAGATGACATTAAACGTAGAGATGGGTAAAATATTACGTGTAAGTACCAAAAACAAAATCTAGATACAAAAAAGAAAGCACATGACAAAGCTTGAAGAGGCTGAAAACACTTAGCTGTTCATGTTGACACATCATTACCTCTCATGCGCAGGGTGAAGAAGGAATAAAAAAGGCAAAAAGTTAGGATAGTAAAGTTCAGAGTACAGTGTTAAAGCTAAGCAATGTCATGTTAAAATCATACAATGCACTAGTAAGATCACCTTTAGAATATTTAGTATGTTTTGGTCTCCCATTTACAAAAGCTACAGTATCTCTCTCCTCCCTCTCTTAACTAGGAGTACTTCCGGCAGCACTGTTCCTGTGGAGCAGCTAGCCTTGCGTTTCAGGAGCTGAAACGACACTGCCGGAGCGAGTTCCACAGCCTCACCGCCTCCAGCGGCACACTGTCAGACCTGTCCACCATTCTGGAAATAGCCAGACGACCAGACAGACTGGGAAAGAGAGGTTTGCACACGAGACCTCGTTTCCCGTGGCACACTTTTTATTCTTCAACTTTCAATCTTCTTCTTTTAACTGATATGCTTTTGAAAAGCGCAGTCTGTGTTTTCTGCCTCTCCCCACCCTCCATGTTTGAAAGCCCTGATCAAACGCAGGTCAACACTGTCAGTAAGAACTGTTTTTACCAAACACACATTTTTGATGTGGCTCGGAACAAATATGAAGCTAAAAGCAGGAAAACCAAATGGCAGCTTTGTTTTCTTGTGCTACTATTCCTCCTCATAGGCATTCTCAATTTCTATAACAAATTCCTGGAAATACTCATTATTATTACAATCTCATGAATAATAATTGAATAACTACATAATAGTGATTAGATTCTAGATTTCTTACCGCTGACACAAAACACAAAAGAAGTGAACTGCTTCAAACAGCATCAGATTTTTGTGGTTTTGTTATGGTGAATTTGGTTTTCTAGGAAATAATGTCAAAGAAGTCTGCCTTGTGATCCAATCTCTTTTGTCTGAAAAAGTATTGGAATTAATTTAAAACTGGATTCCTTATTAATCTCTTAAGAGCTTGGTCTCCAGCCTTTCCTTCTCGTATTCCCTACAAGAACATGTAACTACCATGGACACACTAAACCCACCCAGCTGTCAGCAACAGCTCTTCCTCAATGATGGCAGGATGAGCTGAGCAAGCAGGAGGCAATTAGGCTCATCTTGTAAAACGTACTGCTAAGTAAATAAATGAAATACATTCATTTTAAAAAAAGCATCAGAGCACATGTATTTTAAACTTCTAAACTGTTAGTTTAGTTTTCTTCGTTTATGTTTTATATCTACAGTATAAACTTGTGAGAATCATCCTACATTGAATCTTCCACCTACCAATCATAAAGTCAGTAATAATACAAAACTGTTTTCTTTTTACTACTAGCAAATATATAGAATGCCATTAAGTACAGGTATACTGTATATATACTCTGAAATATAACATACTAATTGGTCGCATTTTTATAGTGTTTTTCATCTCAAAGGATCTGAAAGCCCATCACATTTAGAAGGGTACCAACGTCATACACCACTAATGTATTTCATCCACTATGTGACACACAGCAGACATCATGCGAAAGCAGCCCCACTACACAGGAGAAGAAACAATTATTAATATTAATGGAATACTATAAATGCAATAGTAAGCAAGTCAGGTTTGCAGATCATAGCAAATTTGTGGAATTTGCTTCTAGAGCCAAGACACTAGACACATTTCCTATTCAAACAGTACAATTTAACAATCAAATAGTTAGGTCTTGGTTTAACATCGCATCCAACTTTGGATAAATGCGTTTAGGACATACATTGTCAAAATGGTTCAATGTATTTTTTCCTTTAAATAGACAATTGGAACCATACATTAGAAACACTGTTAAACTTTTCTCCACTTCCTGAGCATCCTAATTTAAATGTGAAATGTCATTTTTACATAAAGTAAAAATATACTTCAAATGTACATCAAACTCACATCCTAATTTGTTGAATAATTAGCTAAAACGTCCACAAAAATGCCACAGTATTCTACTGACATCTGGTGGTAGTAAAAAGAATTTTTAGAGTTTCTCACCTTTGGGAAGCTGAATTTGTACTAGTGTCCACAACAGACAAAAGTGTTTGAACAGGAAACAAAGAAGTGATCTTTTCAATTACACAAATTAATTAAAGCATCTTAAGTTCCTCTTAATTTTAATTTTTCTTATCTTTTAACATATTTTGGCTTTGGTAACACTTTTTTTATGCTTAGAAATGAACACGGAATTACTTAATCAAAAGTTTAAATAACAACCTAACCGAAGAATAATAATTTAAAAAAAAAGATTTTATAACTGATAATAAATAAAGCCTTAATAAATAAAGCCTAAAATGATATTATTTCACTGTGATAATAAAGTTATTTTTGTTCTGCAACTATGTTGTTTCTTGCTGAAACAACATTTTAAACATTTAACTTTTAGAAATTACGGGCGTTTGATATGGAGCAAAAGCTCCAATAATTGTCCTCTTAGCTATATTGGTCCATACCTTATAGAAATAACAGACTCTAATTTAGAGCAGGCTGTGGGTAAGTGTTATAGAATGAGATCAAGTTCCCTTTGTAGTAGGGGGGGGATTAAAATTCCTCAACTGCGGGATATTTGTCTTTAATAAAGAGGGGAGGGCAGCATTGTGGCGCAAAGGTTCGCATTGCTGCCTAGCGTCGCTGGGGCCTGAGGTCAATTCCAGACCTGGGGTGCTATCTGCACGTGGTTCGTATGTTCTTCCTGTGTTCGTGTGGCTGTTGGCCAGGTGCTCCGGTTTCCTCCCACAACCGAAAGTCTTTCTGTAGGTTAATCAGCCTGTGGGGAAAGTGGTCCTGGTGTGAGTGTGCGCATGTCTGTGTTTGTAACTGTGTGTCTACCCTGCGATAGGCACCATCCCCTGCAGAGTGTATCTTGCCTTGGGCCCCAGCTCCCCCGCGCCCCTGGATTGGATGAAGTGGTTAGAAAATGGATGGATAGAGTGGGGTGCCAAGATTTAAAGCTGGCAGGAAACCAGACTTGAAAATGAGCCTTTCTTTTACAAAGATAATTGAGGGAGGCAGAGGCGAACAAATGGTCATACTGACACATGTCCCTATCAGATTTTTTCCTGCTAAAAAAGACTTTCGGGCATCTGCTTTTCTTCTCTGAAATGAATGGCTCTGGAAAGATTGTGTCTCGACTTTGCAGGGTTGGAGGGTCATGGAGAGACAGGAAACAATCCCCCTGTGCCTCTTCTGAGGAAGGGCCTGAACCGCAGGAGCTACACAGAGGGAGAAGGGAGATACCTTTGTGACAGTACAGAGGGCCTAGCTGCACCGTTCAGAAGGGTGAGATATAGATACTGCTCCTCTCACTCGCAAGACCAATAAAGAGGAGTGCATTATGAATATATTTGCTTCAAAATAATTCTAAAGTTATTTAAGGACTGGGTGAAGCTGTTTACAGTAGTAAAAATGCATTAGAAAAAAATAACTAATTACTTGCATAATTTCACCACCAGGTTTTGAGAGATTACAGTATATGATATATACTTTACTGTATACAGTATATAGCTTACAGTATTGCTTACAGGCTGACAAGCTGATATTTGTATGGTAATATGTATGTTTGAATCCAGTTGTAAGAAGTTATAGCAATAATCTTTAGGAGCTATACAACATGGCAAGTTTTTCCATGCTAAAATCTGAGTTTCCTTCAAGTGAAATAAGCAACAGAGCTGCTCTGATTGTTTTTAAAACAAATTGAGCAGGGCTACTTTTAGACCTTTCAAAAACCTTGTTTTTCTCTATTCTAGAATGAAAATCACCCCTGGGGGAGAGTGAAGGAATTAGTTAAAAAGACAAGACTGAGAAATCATAGCAGGTTGGGCTTATCATCCAATGCACTGAAGAGATCCTGCCCCCAACTCTACAGGTAACGTTCTCCTCACTGAACATACTGGGATGCATTGCAGGTCTGAGAAGTCTCCTCAGAAAAAAATAGCTTGTCTGTAATTTGCTCATTATTTTGTGTGGCCTTTTTCTCATGAAGTGCTTTGTCCTTTCAATTGTAAAAACATTAACAAACATCAGCTACATGTTCAGATGCTTAGATGCTTTTTGTTCTCAGTCCTAGTGTGTAGATTGTTGGTAGAACATTTAAATCTTTGTGGTTTGTGTCACTATTACATACCGTTTTGAATAAATCCATCTTAAGAAAAGTTTCATATACTGTAGTTTCATGTTGGTCTGGTGGACCACTTTTTAATCTTTAAAGCAACAGGAGGGCTAAGACTATTTTCTGTAAACTAAATAAACTCATCCAAAGCCCTTCAAGTCTAGTGGTTAATTTCCATTTCTGCATACCCTTTTGCACAGAAAAAATCACACTTTTTAAAGCCAGCCCATCATTTTGAAGCTTACCATTTTGAAGAAAATGGTTTTGTGAATCCCTTCAACAATACAGGCCCACCAAACAAAAAGCATTTCCTAGTTTGTGAACCATGAAACTTCATAATCATAACTGACTAGCACTAAGTTGTGTCGCAAATGTCACTTCTATCTTCACCAACTGAAAACAAATCCTGTCAGCTTCATACTGGGAACTTAAATAATGTTCACGTTCAAGCTTCAAGCTACGAACCTAGAAACATGAGAATTACATTTGGCATGAAGCTAAAGTCACCTGCATTGGCCTTTTCTGGGACATTGTCTCTGTTCAGGGAATTGCTTTTGGAATGAACATTACCCTTTTCAGTAATGTCAGTTTTGGATGTCATGGGTAGATGACTTAGGCATCTGGAGAATATATCTGGAGTATGGTTAAGTATTCTCCTAATGAGACTGGTGGCTAATCCATGGTGTAAACCAATGGTAATCCTAATAATCAAGAAAACCTACAGTAAGAATAGACAAAGTTGTCAATATTGATTCAATTAGAGTTGATTGTTGAACAGCCAAGCATTGCAGGAAAAGTAACTATCATTTCTGGTCCAAGAATGTAAAATTACCAGAGAGCAAATATTGATAAATTCTGAAAACCAGTACACTAGAATCTGCAGAAATGCTTTCAAAAATAAAGGCAGCAATTCTATTACTCAGTCATTTGAAAACATGTTGCAGCAGCTTGGGTGGGGAAATATTTGTGTTTGCTCCCTGTTCATTCAACATCATGATTTAATGTATAGATGTTTACTGTAACCATTTAAGGGTTTGCTACCCCAGCACCCATACAAAAATAACAAAATTTCTATAGAGAATTGAAACATTTCTAGGCCAATAGAGGATAATAAAATTACTCCAAATCACTGTCTTTCAAGGTAAATCAGGTAACTTTCATAAAGGCCTATTCAATACATGTAGAACAAGAGTTTGTGTTTCATATCAGAGTTATAAAAGCCACATAAAGAATGACTCCAAAATATCCACCTTTTTTTCTTGGATGGATTATTAGATTCCTCTGCTTTCCCATAACAAAAGAATTTGTTTTCTCTAGTGCTATCACAGTCTGCACTTGTTATGACCTAGTCTGGATCCTTGTGTACAAAGTATGTTGGCAGTGTTTCCTAGTGGTAACCAGCGACTAGCACTGTGGTCAAAACAGAAATGCCAGAAGAGAACACAAAATCCTGCATGTGGACAGACCTGGCTAGAGTTTTTAATTATAAAAGCTGGGGGAGGGGTGCGAGAGCATTCTGGAAGACTCCATTAAAAAAAAGGAGTTTGATTTCAAAAGCCTTTCCTATAAACCTACTTAGAAAACAAGATAAATGCTTTTCACATACTGTAGTTCATCATAAAGTCTCTAGATCTGGTCTACTCATGTTCTGTCTTGTAGGGATAAGACAACACCTTCGTCACAAGAAACGTGTAGGCTTTGGCTGAGCATTGTATGCTTTGCAGACACTTTGGATTAACTGTGGTACACTATGTTTTGATGTAGTGGTCCCTGCAATTGTGTGGGAGCTGATGTAATGACAGGTGCAGCTAACTTATTTCCCAAGCTGATCATTGCTGGGTTCCTCGTGAAGGCTTGCTTATTGTTAGCCTGCCAGAAATCCCCAAGTTAAACTGCAAAAAGTGGAAACAGACTCGAGGTTGTGAGAGTTCTCTGAATTCTGTGCTCATCAACTGAGAAATAGAAGGGGACCAAATGTGTGAAATGAAGCTATTCATATATGTACAGTACCAGTAACCACATTCAGAAACCACAGATCTCCCAAAGATGATGCACTTTCATGACTATAGCTGTGGATGTTTCTTTTCACAGGCCAGACCTGGGCTCTGCTGATCCACCAAAAAGAGACAGAAACTCCATGATTGCACTGGGCCAGAATTCTAGGCATGATTACCTATGGCCCCATTAGTCACGAGAAGGTAAAATACATCCTAAATATATATAATATAAAATATATCTTTTCACTGTTGAGAACATGTTGAAAAAAGTTTCCGAAAGTGACTGAAGAATAAAAACAAGTCACTCTTCTGTGTGGCATCTAAAAGACACACTGTAATGTAAAGATTAAGTAGTAGATGTATTTGTGCTGAATAATGTACATCAGAGGCACCTAATCCTGATCCTGGAAGGCTGGTGTTTCTACTGTTTTGTAGTGATGCTAGGATGTTAATGACCTGAATGGGGTCATATTTGGGCGAACTGGAGCAGTTTAACAGCTCTTCACCTGCTCCTGCTTTAAAGAGACTTAGAGAACTTAGAGAACCTGCAGGTACTGTAGATCAGGTCCTGGTACAGTATACACACTACAAAAGGTATCTTTCTTTGGAATGACTGTATTTCTTTGCAACTGCTTTCTTTACATTGACAGCAGACATGTTCTAACTTCCTTCACAGAAACAGGAGCTGGAGAGGTGGCCCAGAAAACTGAAAGCAGGTCTCCAAGTGGGATGTTGAGTCATGTTGTCAGGGAAGCTACAGTAAATGAAAAAGAAGCAAGCAAAGGGATGGTAAAACTATGAAAACCCAGCAGAAAACAGCCTCAAGTCGAAGACAAGCTTGAGGGACTATACTCAGATGGAGAACAAACATGAAAAATGGAGTAATATTGGAAGATTCATAGCTGGAAGAGCGATTAACAGGAACTTTGAGATTTGGGGATTTTGTATGTATATCTGATGTATTGTATATGCTGATTATATGCTGCACACTCAAGTTTTTTAAAGGGTGATGCATCTATTTTCCTCTTTAAAACACACTCTTATAACAGTATTTAGCCTGCAGTTTGGATAGGTTTTATTTACCATGTTCAGTTTGCAGGTAAACTGCAATTTCTATTCTTTTCTTAAAACAAACATTTACAGTTTTTTTTCCCCTGTTTGGCCTCACTTTACAAAAAGTCTTTATGATAATGGAATCCATGAATTCATCCATCCATTTTCTAACCACTGCATCCAATGCAGGGTCAAGGGGGAGCCATGGACACTGGGAGAACAGACAAATGCCACACAGAAAGCACCCCAGGTCCAGAACTAAACTGTGGGCCCCAGTGCTGTGAGGCAGCTATGCTAACCACTGTTGCCCAAAATGGGATCTATTCTGCAATATACTGTGATGCACGCACTACAACAGACTAACATTCATCCAAAGATGTACTGTATTTAAGCACTAAATGAAAAGATAGGAGGCACTTGTGTCCTTTTTCTTTCACTTCATTTTAACGTTCACAAAATAAAAATCACTAGACGAGATTACACACATTGTAAAAACAAGGCTCCTCCCAAGCCAGCTCCAGCTACGTAAAATTTGTTGGATTAAAGCCATTCTAAACACTATGAGAAGTGAGTACATCGTAAAGTCTCTCTTTGAGCCTGAAAGTGAATACAAGCCATTTAAAGAAATGTGGCACGGGTACTGTACATTCACCCTGTGGCGTGCAAGTTGGCAAGATAAAAACACTTTCAATAAACAGAAAAGGGAAAAAAGAAAAATACATACGAAATGTTTTACCCACACTTACAAACAATATCATAAAAAGTCTGCAGTCTGAACTGTGCACATTTATACATTCTAATTTAGTGCAGTGCTGGAGGTACAGTAGCTAATCTGAAGACATTAAGAATACTTAAAGATTTTTATGTTATATCCATTAATATAATCTGCTAACTTCACGAACAAGAAACATGCATGGTGGCTATACTTCGTTTATTACTGAGATGAGAATAAACAGAGCTTGCAGAAAACGAAAAAAAAAAGCTTAGAAACTTTATCTTAACGTGATACGTCAACTTAAATAGATACTCAAACATACAGGAAAATAACTTTCCTTTTAAAATAAGAAAACATGTCAAGGTGTGGGTTGTTGAAATCTAATCTAGCATTAAGCATTCGGAAGCCATATACTGTACAACCAGTAACCTGTCACTCTTTAGAGTTCTAGCTATCCATTCATAACTGTTAAAACTGTACTATTTTAATCAAGAATAAACCGATCTGCAGGTTTTTTAAGATATGACATTAACTATACTCATCACAATTTGTCCACAATGTCTAACAGTTAACATGAGAAAACATATTTCCTGTTATTTAACTCATACTGTATATCACTCCGACCCCTCTGAATCCACACACAGTCCTGGAAAGTCCAAGAACCTACTCTGACATAAAACAAAATCTCATTGCACTCATAGATCAAAAAACAAAATTCAATGTTCATCTTATTTCTTTTTTAAAAAGTCAAATACATATTACCTAAAACCACAGTTCTTCATAACCTAAAACCACAGAGGGTCACTAAAGTTCTAAGTTATTTCTGACGTAAACCTATACTAACATGCTATGTAATGTATTACTCTACTGCAAAAAAAATGTGTTTGCCTTCATTGAAATACACAGATAGTGAGTGCTATATTCAAACACTAAAGGAGATTTAAGTGCCTAAGAGGCAATGGGAAATTAAGTCCCCAAGCACTTTGAATATAGAGCCCAGTATCTTAAGCTAAACTCTGTACATGTTTAACTAGCACTGCCAAACATTGTTAAAGAATGAGTTCTAATCATGTATTTTTTATGTACAATTTTTTGTATTGTATATTTTATTAAGATATGTTACAAATGGATTTCTATTTATAATTTCTGAAACCCGTACTTTGTTCATTGAAAATAAAGTTAAAATGCTATTTTTACATTTTGTTGTACTTTTCTATATACATGTATTATGAATCACCATTGGTGAGCTGGTGAAACAAAAACTAACAGTAAAGGAGGATTCAGTCTACGTTTTGAGCTTTAGTTGGTTTAAAATTCAGCTGAATTCTTAGTATAGAATGAATGGCTTCCCTTGCACAAAAGTGTCCAACACAACAGCAATAGTGTCCTCTGATGTAATTAATTGTGTTAAATATTCTGGTGGACTGCTGTATATTTACAGGCCACGATTATGTCTCTTACAGAGCTATTGAGAGATGCATTAAATAGATATTACTCAAACTTGCCAGTAACTGTAGATCCCCTTTTCTCAGGATTATTCACTTTATATACTAGCATTTCTGCAGATTAGTTTAGGGCACTTCCCTCTTTCTGCACAGTGTGTCAGAAGAATGGCACAATGCATGAAACACTTTGCATTAAAGGTTACTTAGGGCATGTTTTCTTATGATCATACTTCTTCTGACTCTGTAAATCCATAACCTCTTTCTTTTCATTAAGTCATGAATTAATTTCAGGTGTCTTTAGGCCTCAAAGACGCACGTCAGACATAAGTATTAAAAGCTTACTGATGATCTTTCTGTGAAAGATATACTGTAGCAAAAGACAATCTCTGAGATCGCTTACGGTATGTAGTCAAGTTCTTGTCTATGTTCTTGAGAGAATCAGAGGTGTACACTGGAAAAAATATAAGCTGATTTATTAGCTGTGTCCACTATAGCCATTCTGATGCCAGAAGCCGATTCTATGTTAGTTCTTGAACAAAATACTACCCACAGACAAGAGGCTCAGAGATGGAAAAAAAATAGACCCACACTGCCACCTAGCCTCCAGTAGAGGAATATCAATTCAGAATTGATGGGAAAGCATACCCCTTGAGACCAAATTAAATCTTATTTAGAAAATGTACTTACAATACATGACAACTTAAATGTGGTCTTTCACAGCTCTTGTCATCTACAAAAGAGGAAAACAGAACAGGATCTTCCCAAATAGATAGAACCCAGAAGCTGAACACAGAAGCTGAACAGTGAAAATTCAAGATGTTAATGCAGGCTGTTCCAAAGACATGATTTTAACGACTGAATCAGCCACCAATCACAGTAAAAACAACAACCAATCTAGAAGCAACTTCAGATTCAATCAGAATCCAATAAAGCTTGAAGCAAAACACCCACTCAACAAAACATTAAAATAACACAGTCCATTGCATCACAACTATGAAATACTTCACCATGGACACAAACACAGACCGCACTGCAATCCAAACTTAGCATCGCCTGCCCTCAGAGCTAGCAGGGATTCCGTCATTGCTGCTGGACTAATAAAAAAACAGTTCTTGAACATGAAAAAATAATTGAACTTGATTAAACGTCAGCAGATGCCTTTAACATATTGAAAAGGTGGATGTTTTATTTAATTATCAAAACTAGTGAGATCCTATACTGCTTTAAATATATTAATATAGAGAGAGAAATCTTAAAAAAGACAGATTTATTCCATAGGAGATGGGTACATTTACATACGTTACAGTACAAAGTCATCCTAAGAACAGATCATTAAGAAACCAACATGAGCACATAAAGTAAGTCATCTTACAGTATTTCTCCATTCATGAGCAGGGGCTGACAGGCTATCTCTCAGGCTGGAATGCCAGAGTACCATCGCTAGATCATTGGGACATTGAAACTACATTTGACAACTACAATTAGAAATTTTCATCCACAATGAGGCTGTATCGCTGACCCTCTTGATGACCCATATTATAAGTGTGTAATTGTTGTCTTTTTGCCCAGATAGACATCTGCTGTTTATTACCCTAAATATTAAATCTATAAGATTCAGTACTTTTATTATTTAATAACATCAAAAGTACACAATTTACTTTGCCAACTTGAGAGTCTGTGACTGTTGCTGGTGTTCCTGGGGTCTGTGACACTGTGCTCTTGCTGACTGGAGTTTACTGGTAAAAAGTCCATCTCAGAAAGTGCAATTTAAGTACAGTAATACCTTTCTACCGTTAATTTGGTAAAACATTTTATTTCCTTTTGAATTTCCTGCTGTCTTCAGAATCTCCAGAAGTTCAAAGAGGTTAGCTGAACAGAAAGATGCCTCTCTGGCTTAAAAAGAAAACATACAGCAAGTCATAATTTTTTAAGTTCTATTAGTTTTGTTTATTAAGTATGAACCATAAATGTTCATAATTTAAAAAGATTAATTTCACATATATACATTATTATCCTCAATACATAAAAGTATTTTTCACAATTGTAAGGGAGAATGAAAAACCATAGAACAAACTTTGTAGAACACTTAATAAAAGAAAGTAGAGTCAATGGGGAACGTTTAATACAGTACAGTATATACCATGTGTTACATCACAACACAGAGATGTCCTTTAGTACTGTATTCCATTGGTTAGCTGATTCCAAAAAAAATCTTGTGTGACACTACATCTGTGACAGGTTCTCCTATTCCTCCAACGGGTATGTTTCCCAAGAATCTAATATTCTTCAATACTACAGAAACCTGATGGTACAGCGTGTCACTTTTCTGTATGGCAAGAGATACTGTATATCCAAACTTATTTTTAATAGAGTATAAAGTAAAATATTATTTTTCAATAAAACTCCAAATCTGTTTAAGACACATTCTGCCAATCATTTATAACCAGCAAAAATCTTTTCAAAAAGCCCTCTGAAATTACTAATCATCTACTGGGTTTATTCTGTACAGTACTTATTCAAGTACAAGTATATTCATATCTGATGGCCACTTCTATATATATATTACAGACACATGTCCATTGTAAAATGAAAATAATGATTAAGATACATAATGAACACTTAGCTAAAAATAGAATATGCTATTCACCTACAAGATGACTCTGATCATTGTTAATACTGAAGACACGGTTAGTAGACACAAATGGGATATTAGAATATTAGAAGGCACAGATTTATGCAAAATTGTGTGTACTGTACATAGAACAAACAACCACTTCAATAGGATTCTTAAAGAAAACAATTCCTTTATCAACTTCTTCACAAATGATGGGATAGATGATAATCTCTTGATCACTAGCATTTCTACTATATTCTTTGTTCCCCCAACAGAGTCATTTCTGACACATTAACACATTTGTGAGCTTCTTGATGAATCTAGCACAGAAGATATATCTACAGAGACTGAATCTCCTTACTTGTTTAATTGTTGCAGCAGTGGAGCAGGTTTGAGTTCTGGGCTAAGAGGACTGAAAGGTTTGTGGGTTCAGATCAAAGCTACTACACCTTTAAGTTACTTTTGGGTAAACATGTACTTCACCCAGTTTGCTCCATTAAAATATACAGCTGTATAAATTATGATAAATTAGCAATTTTAATAATGGTACCAGACGTTCTGAATGGCAGGCCATGCTACCTGGCCTTCTGTGATTCTCAGAGAAGACTGAAATAAAATCACCAAAATCACCATCTTCAGTACTAAAACAACTCAAGACATTATTCTTCAAGTTCTGTGTGTGCCAATATAGTCATACATACACACAACAAACAAAAAAACATAACCGGTATTATATGTGTATAGAACTGTATAGTTTGCAAAAAAAGAGGAAATTGTCATGTTGTGGAAGTTTGTGTGTTTTCTTTTATTTGTATGAGAGGTTAAATAGAAAAAAGTTTTGGTTTACAGATTCATATCTTATGATTCATATCATAAGGACATAGGAAAGCAAAAGTAGCCAAACATAATTATTTGTTACTTTTATAGCGCTTGTCATTCCACAGCATGACAAAGAGCTTGACAAATGGAAAAGAGAAAAGTACATTTCTACAGCTACAGCCCACCTGGGTAACACAGATATCTGGGTAAGAGAGTTCTGTTCTAGTAAGTCCACTACACAGCAAATCAGGAGGGAAAGTTACAAGTTCACCAAGAAAAGGTGATATTTATATGTGCATGACCATATTTTATAGACTCAGAAATCTACCAGTACACTGGGGTTAATAATCTGACCTCTGACAAACAATCTTCCAAACAATGCAATGGGATCTTTAATGGTCAAGTAGTCACAACCTCTAATTAATCTAAAACTCATGTCCAAAGCACAGCATTTCCGATAACACAGTGTCCCTGGCTACCACATAGGGAGATACTCAGAAATTGTGGTTCAGAGAGAAGAGTGTCACCTACCAGCCCAGCAACACTTTACCTTGGAGGCCTCCCATCCCAGTACAGCGCAGACCATACTTAGGTGCTGACATTTGATAAGACCAGGCAAGAAGGTGGTAATGCTGCTGTCAAAGTATTATCATCTTGCACTCACGCTGTAATTTAAATGGAACTGTGAGTATATTTTCTCAGAAAAAAACAAACAAACGGAAATTGATTTGCCCTCTCCAAACAGAACAAATCAGGAAACATTTTTTAAACATGCATAAAATGTTATTCTTGTCTTTTTTATTTCTGTTGCAAATAATGCACATAATGTCCAACAAACTAGCGGGACTCCATCTTGGGCCCAGGCAAAGAAACTGTGATACTCCTCTCAAAAAGAATCAGACTGTCCTCTGTCCTGGCTCACGCTTTTGTGTGTCTCTCTCTTAGCATCTGCCAGTGGCAACAGCTCTGCCGAGGTTTGCCGCAATACATAATTCATTCATTCTGCCAATCAACACAGAGCTACTGTATCAAAAGCATAGTAATGAGTCTTTTTTAATACACCTCCACTGATGTTTTGTGAACAAAGCACTGGAAATTATGATTAGGTACTGCATTTTCTCAATATTCAAAACAATCAGATAGTAAATCAGTAAATAAAAAGTACGACCATACAGTATGTATGAAGTTTCAAGTATTTAGACATTATGTGGTGAAAGACTAACAATGCCTCGGCCGCAGATCCCTGAAGTATCTTTGCAATGGAAGGTTGGGTGATTTGAATATTACTTTGGCTGTATGTTCAGATACAGTACGTGCTCTAGTATCAGCTTAGCTCTCAAGTTGCCTCTGGAAAGCCTCAAGAATTTGTCCTGGTCCTCAGAAGTCCTTATCCCAGCCAGAGAGTTCATCTGGAGGTTCTTCTAATTCTGGCGGGAAGATATCAAAGTTGCTGTAGTCCATAGGCCCTTTCAGCTGTGAAGCACCAGGAATAATATGTTATTTTTAGAAAGTTCCTTGATCCAGGAATTTGAAGAGTATACTATATTCAAGAAGTCATGTAATTCTTTTTTGCATGTACAGTAGCAACTTATTGATCATATACAACGGACTGGACCTAATATTTAAGCTAAAACTGTAAAACAATAACTATATACTTTAAGGAACAAGTTTAGGTTAATTATATGTTGTAAAAGAAAAAAAGAAAACAGATGAACATCAGTGTATATCACATGCAATTTCCTCTTTTATTTCTTGTGTCCCATATCATTATAATTTCAGTTCTGAATGATTAAGACACATGCACATATTTGAGAAGGGATCTACCATGACACCAGAGCAGAGTGCTGTGTCAGTGTGTGAGGTGAGGTTGAGGTTGAAAAGCAAAGAGTAAAATAGTATATTATACTCTCTACTCTCTCTCTTTACTTTCCAGATAAGTGCAGAATTACTAATGGTTTCAGTCAATCATTGATGCAAGAGATGCATACCAACTGAGTAAGACAGGGTATGAAAACAAAAGAGGCAGGTGTGACAAAAATTATTTCTGGTAGCAATCTGGTTTTTAAATATAATCTGTCTTTACATCATTAAAATTTCAGTTATTAAAGTAAAATAGATGCTGCTATTCCAAACATTTGCTCAACCAAGGGTTCTTAGTGTTTAACAAACAGGAGACTTAAAAGCAGGAATTCTTTTATTTTTCAGACATTAGGATTCAGCGATCATTTTACCTCTCTCTTCAGTGGGGAAGACAGCTTTCTTCTTCTCAGCCCTTCCCAGTTAAAGCCCTGGAACCATCTGTAAGAAGTGATACATGTGACAAAAGCTATCATACTATAATGTAAATTGTTAAATAACATTCATATTCCACTATGTAATATAAAATCAGGCATTCATTAAAAAAAGAAGCTGCACTTAATATCTCCAACATCACCATCAAAGATTTACTAAAGTAAAAATAATTTATCCAATTATGTTCATCCAGTAATACCTCTGACTCAAGATTATGAACTGCATATAGTCTTTTCAAAAATCATATTTTTAGGGGACAAACAGAAAATTATCTAATCAGCCTAAGACAATCCTAGATGATTTTCAGATACAGTACATCTAAATACAGTACTGTTTCAGGTCAGATAAGCAGACTCACTTGTGCTTTTTTATGTCATTGATTCCATTTTTCTTGTTTCCCAGTCTCTCAGCAGGATTGAGTCTAAAGGGAAAGAATAAGAGTTAGGGCATTTTATGGGAATAATTCTTCCTGATACATGGGGTATTCTGTGTTGACTACATTAGTATCACTGTAGGTGCTGCAAAGTTGATGAAGTTTTGTCACTATGTGATGTCTGGGGAGTTAATTTTTGCACAGAGCATTCTTAGCCAAACTAAGTACATATAATTTACAGTAATTCTCTCATGAGAATGCATTTTGTAATACTGTGATGGCCACTATTATGATATGTGTCCAGACTCTTCACCCTAGGGTAAAATTATCCTTTTATTTTGTAAGGTAAGGAGGAAAATCCTGTAACGATTTGCCATGAATGAAGTATTTCAAGAAGATTTACTTGCAGAGTCTCCTGGTCAGATCCTCAGGACGCTTGCCAATGCGCTTAGGGAAGTCCATTTTCTCTATTCCGTGGAGAACCATGGTGTAGATCTTAATAGGATCTGATCCCGAAAAAGGGGGACTGAAAAGTCACAGAAGAGGACAGACTGAGATCACAGTTTTCCATTTAATTTTTTAAACTTTCAACCCAGATCTCACTTTTTTCTTCCATTGAACAAGAAATATACTACATTCTATTCCCAATTTAGGCAGAGTGAATGGGATGATAGGTAAGTGGACTGGGCATTTGTAGAAGATAAAACATAAATCGTGAAATAATGCATTTAATAAAAAGAGATGTCTACAGGTCCTGTCTTAAAATCATCGGTTTGGGTTGTGATTTAAGATTTAAGAGAATTGTCACTATCACACTAGTATGAGTCTAGGTAAAGCTCTAGTGAATCAAAACTATAAGGCTCTAGAGAAGGCTTATGTAAAAAAAGGAAAAAAATAAAAGTGACCCTCTTTTGTAGTTATTTCTTAAAAATATTCAATCTTATTTTACCAGAGATACTGGACATGGGGATTTTTTAAATGGCCTTGCTGAAAGCATACAGCACAGGCTACTTCAATCTGCCATCATACGAAGCTGTTTCCATGGTAACTCTTTCTGAAGACCCTTGATCTGTACAAGCAGTAGCTTAATGGTTCACCACATCTGAAGAGAGCACACAGCCCCTGGCATGAGCATTGTCAGTCATGTTCACACAATGTCAAGTTGTATGTATTTGGAGAAATAGTGAGACTTTCCTTTAACACTGTCATTCAAAGATAATTTGGTATTTATTGCTTACCACAAAGAGCTTTTTCTAGAATTATAGAAAGCAGATCATTTGCACTAATCTTGCTTCAGGGAACAAATGCAGGCACTCAACAATAATTAAGTCATGCTGAAAAGAGCATAAGTGGAAACACAGCGATGTGAGACATGCTCACATCTGAAGAAGGCTCCATATCCGAAACGTTTCGTTTCCTCTTTTCAGCATGGAAAAAACCTTTAACTTGTTCCTTCGCAGCCTATGCATGCTGACGCCGCTACCTACCAGCAATAAATAAGTCATGTATGACACTGGCAAACCACAGAAAGAAAATATTTTAGAAGTCTTCTAGTTTTCTACAATTTTAATGTTAGGTCTCTTAGCTAACAATAACACATCTGGGTTATAATTAGCCTTCCAATTATATCCATAGTAAAAAACAGCCTAATCTCAAGAAGGATTCAAACCTTTCTGTCTAGAGTACTCCCAGATTCTCACCTTCCAGTAAGCAGCTCAAAGATGAGGATACCCAGAGACCAGCAGTCTGCTCCAAAGTCATGTCCCTTGTTCATGATGATCTCAGGGGCCACATACTCTGGAGTACCACAGAAGGTCCATGTCTTCTTCCCTAGTCCAATCTTCTTAGCAAATCCAAAATCGGCCTGCAAGAAGAGAACAGTGTAATTTAAAACTGTGGTTGTTCCACAGATAATACGCTAAAAAAGTCTGTAACATCTACAATATAAAATGATCAAACTTGTAAGAAAGAATACTTCAGTATATTATTAATACTGTACATCCTACTGTATTTTACACTTTTAGCATTATTTGGTAATTTGTACAAGTCAACTCTTTTGTACTTCTAACAAAGTATACTTTAATAACTATTTGTACCCTTTTACATACTTTAGCTTGATCTAATCACTCTCTTGATACTTAAGACTCTCGATATATAGGACTGCATTTAATATCAACATTTTAACTTTTTGTCTATACGCTAAGCAATGTACTGTAAAAACTTATGTACCAATAAAGTAGGCAAGACTTTAAAGAATTCGTTCTTTTCGTTTAAAGATTCATCCCACATCTTTTAGAGCTCACTCAATATGGGCCCGTCATACCATTTTCACATATCCATGGTCATCAAGCAACAGATTCTCTGGTTTTAAGTCCCGGTAGACAATTCCCCGGCCGTGAAGATAATCAAATGCTTCAAGGACACAGCCAATGCAGAACCGTGCTGTGGGCTCTTCAAAGAAACACCTACAGCCCAAAACAGACACAACTCCTCAGGGGCTGACAGACAGTGGTAATATGACCTTGCCATTGCTAAATGCTACTAGTCAATCTCTACAGCATTTGCTGTTAGCATAGCAGTATACTGTTTTTTGGGGTATAAAATAACTATTTAACATCCACAAACTAGAACAGAAATCAGTTCAAGTGATTGACTCTTTTCTGCAATTAGTTTTTTTGCAAACATTACAGCCCAAGATGAAAACTGTAGTATTAAAGAATATTTTGTATTCTCGCCTATTGAAGAACTTTGTTTATAAAATATACTGTAGCATAAAATATCATAAAAATACATTTGATTATGTATTTTAATTTCATACCAGCTATATACAGTAATTTAAAATACAGTGGAAGATCCTTGTATTGGTTTTATTCTAAAGTATAATTTGAATGATGGTCTCCCCAAAACAATGGATCCTCTTGATTAACTGTGATGTTTAATCTTTAATCCACTCAAGGGGTAAATGCTCAACAGTAGGAGAGTTTTTTGATGTCTCAATCAGTAATGTTTTACAGTTGCCACACAACTCCATTTCATTGCAACAAAATTACATTTCCAATTATTCCTATTTCCAAAGTCACAGAAATTGACATACATCTGTATGTCGTATCAACATCCCCTAATGCAGCAGTGTAACAACAATACTGTGGCATGGTGAGAAAAGGACCTACACTCACATATCCCGCAGAATGCTCCATAACTCTCCTCCAAGGCATGCCTCCAGCAGCATATATACATACTTGTTGTCCCGAAAAGTTCTAAACAACCTGAAAAAAAGAACATTTGAAGTTTTTTAATTTGTGGTATATATATATGAAAAATGATGATTTTTCATATATGAAAGTATATAAAAAATCTATTATTTTATGGATTGTGAAGGTGAGGTGTGAGGTGTTGCACTTGGGTATTTTACTGAATCATTGTTGCTTAAGCACTAATGATCCTCAGAATCACTCATCAACTGGCCTTGGCTTGACTGGTTAATATTGGATTCACTGTAGTACTCAAGACTGAAACGAACACTGAAATAGAGAGTCGGCATAAGTTTCTAAATTCAGGGAGACCAGGATCACAGGACACATTCAAATATTACTATAAGTGCAGGTAGGATTAAAACTAACTATAGGAGTTGTGAAGATATGGATATCAGTTTTCTAGCTGGTACTTCTTTGTAATCTTAAGCATGGGTTGCTTAGTTCAATATGTGTTTCGCATCTGGTCAAAGAATATAAAGACTTTCCTTCAAAAGTATGAAATACTGCACCCATTCTTGTTGTAATTTCCTTCAGCTGTCAAGTGCTTTAACGATTGAATTCAATATTAAATTCAATATTTCTCTCTTTTTCCTTGAAACTGAAAGGTGTTTACAATTTAGGTGCCACATGTGCTTTATTAGACCACTGAAAATAAACCTATTGAAAGAGTAAAACTCTTTCCTCTGAAACACAAAACTGCTAGAACCATCTGTCCAAGTTTATATTGCTATTGCATTCCAAATTGTTCCCACTGTAGATTTAGCACTTGCTGAAGGTAAGATGCACATATCAGTGCCAAAGAGCAAGCACACTGGAACCTGAAACAACCCTAGCCTACTCTAGCAATTGTGAGCTGCCATTTGGGAAATCTGTTACTACTAGCTGAGAGCAGAACCCAGACCACACTGGTACCGTCTGGATTCACCTCATACAGCAAACATCCACCACTTACAACACCACTACAAATCAGTACACCACCTGTACAAGTTTAACCACTAATTAGTCCTACACTTGCCATTTTAAATACAATTTCAAATATGCAACCTTTTCCCCTTAACTATAAGCATGTTCAGGTACCTTTATTATGACTTTTCAGAGTTAAAACATTTAAAAATGTATCACGTGCTAACAACGTTGGCCTTTAAAGTAAACGATGAGCTTTTGTTTTTTATTTCTGTCTATCTCTGTTGAGCAAAGAGTAGGTGTAAGGTATTATAAGGTCTGAATCATCGAAATGCATTCTTCTATTCATTAGTGCTAGCCTACCAGTAACAGCTGGTGCCTGTTTTAAAATGTTTTTCTAGCCCTGCCTTCCTGAAAGTGCAAACAGTCGAGGGTACTTAGTCCAGAAGGAGCCTGTCCATGAATTGACATATTTGGTTGAGCTGTGATGTTGTATTTACAAAGGCTTTTGTTTTTAAATGTCAGAGTCTAAATACACCCTGTTCAGCCTGTATGGACCAACATGACAGAGGAGGGCAGAAATGCTCTTGGGTTACCTGGCAACATATTACAACAGATGGTTAAAAAGATTTCCACGGGAAAAAACATAATTCTTTTAATGCAGCATTTTCCTTCTGTGTTCAAAACTGCTACTTTGCTTTTTCACTGTTGCAAAATAATTGCAAAATAATACAGATGCTTTTCAAACTTAAATGAAAAATGAAAATGAAATATTTTATTTTTTCCAGGATGGGGGATCAGCAAGGGTTTCCTAGGATGTAGTGCAGTGAGGAACCTACAGCAATTCTCAGGATTCTCACTGGATTCTGCATCCGAGTCAAGAATACCTGCTCCTAACTCGAAATAAGATATTGAAACCCCACTGCACTTTTTAGAAAACACTTATTTATCATTCATACACTTTGAAAACTAGAGTAAAACCGAGGTTGCTTCATAATAGATCCATTCGTACTGTATGTTGTTGTTGTGCAGTCTGTTCACCACACTTTGATTCCATGTATTATTCATGTATTTGGACAATACAGCCATTCTCTCATTGGCATGGACAATATCCACACATTTACACAACAATCACTAACTCACATTTTTATCTGGTCAATTTTTATTCGGAATGATCATTTCATTATAATACATAACAATAAAATACAGTTATCTTGGTGTTTTTAATCAGGGTGTTATTTTGTAGGTTATGTTGTATACAGTATCTTTTAGTGATTTCTAGTTACAATACTTCTTTTACTCTGTTAATATCATATCCTATGCATCACTATACCATCTAAAATAATTTAATAATTGCTTTTAGATCTATAAGTGTGATCTAGTAATTAGTCCAGTTTATTACTTGCTCATACTGTACATCTGAAGTGAATATGAAGTATAAGACCCTGAATCCTGGTAGGAGACCATTTAAAACCCTTTGCCCTTTCTGACTGACCTGACGATGAACTGGGAGTTTGTCTGCTGCAGGATGTTCTTCTCTGAGTAAATGTGCTCCTGCTGCCTGGTGTCCACAACATGTTTCTTTTTGATGCACTTCAGTGCAAATGTTGTGTCCTCATCCTTCAGCTTCACCTAAGGCAACAACAGTAACAGTTTATGAAGGGATTCCATTGATGACCTTCTGGAACAACCGCAGACACTGTGAGGGCATTCAATACAGTACTGTAGATCCTAATCTATTTGGTTTCATGCACACCTTTGTTCCAAGGAGTTTCTCAACGGGGTTGTTTTTAAGGGAAGCAGCTATGATAATACGGCTTGTACAGTAGGTTATTCTGCAGAATTGATCAAAAATAGAAATCTGAAAAGCAAAGTAAACATGCATACAGCATCTAAAATATGCTGTATATGCTGTAAGGTTGAACACCCCAATTCTAGTTTATAACTTAGAAAGGTATATCTAATGCTGGTCCTTCAGGACCAGTGTTTTTTACATACACGTAGGAGAGAATACTGTCTTACTTAGCATATTAAGAGCTGAGTTGCAAAGAAATCATGCAGACTCACAGGTTCCCCAGGACCTGTACTGGACAACTCTGAAGTAAGAAAACCTGATAAGATTAATGACATCCAAACAAAACCAGAACCCTGTCTGATGACAATGTAGTTACAGCTTACTGACAGCACCCCACAGAAAAAACGGATAAGATTTAAATATTTCATTACCTATTTAGTTATGTCATGAAAAAAAAAAACTTACGCTATGAGAAAAGAATAAAAATCAACATTCTGACCAAGAAGCCTACTACAAATGTGCATGTGCACTGTGTTCATGCACACTCCTCCAGCTGGCTTGTTTTTAAATGAGGTGAGGGCTCACCAGCTCAACGCGGCCAAACCCGCCCATGCCCAATGTGGTGATGATCTGCAGGTGTCTGAAGGGAGAGGTAGCGGAGAAGTGAGCAATCTTCTCCCGGACTCTGATGAACTCACTGGCTTCAGGAGAGCTGTCTATAAGAGGAGAATGGGGCCTTGGACAACAGTGAAAAAGAGTGGTATTAAAACTCAGATCACATACAGTACACTGGAATACAAATCTTGGTGTTTTCTGTGCAACTCTTCAATACTCACACTGCATTCCTCTTCTCATCACTGCGGGACAGCTGCTCCACATAATCTTCAAGGTAAACTTGCAGCTCTTCGTACGTCCCCACCATCTGGTTAAAAATGCTACAGATGTGGAGAACAGATTATATTGTCACATCATTTTCACTTTCTATATCACTTGAACAATAAACCAATAAAAACAACAGAATTTGGGGTTATATAGTTAAAACACACAAGTTAAATCAAGTGATGTAATGTTAAATTTTACACTGCACTTTTAAGCCCTCATTTAGACTACCATGATTTTGGTCAAAATGTTACAAAAATTATTTTAGCTTCACTGGAATCAGTCCAGAGAAAAGTACCCAGATGCATTCCCAGGATTAAGGCAACATCCTACCTGACTGGGGAAACTGCATTTCTTTAGTTTTGAATCAAAGCATATTCAAAATCCTGAAAAGTATTGATGATCAACCAAATGTATTTCTCCAGAATCAAAAGTGAGACAGAAACCGGAGGGCACAAGCAGAAAGTAAGGAAAAGAGCAATTAAAATGGAAAACAGGAGGTACATTTTTACATGAAGAGTTGTGGGTGTATGAACCAATCTCCCCTACAATGTTGAAATAATTGATACTGTGGCTTTGTCTGGATAACAGCTGGATGAGGCTCTTATTTTTCATATAAAGAACGAGTTATTATTTGCCTTGCCTCTGCAAAGCATTTACTGTACAGTACAATCACATCTCAAAATACATAGAGAGTATAAGGAGCCAGAGATTTCTAGGTTGAAGTTTTGGCTCCATAAAGGTGTTGTTAATTTAAATCAGGATTTTAATTAATAAACTTTTGCAAGTGTAATACAGTAAGTGCAGTTTTTGTTTCTTGATTTTTGTTTCTGATGTTTTTCAAATTAACCTTAACAAATAGCGCTTAAAATGTTGAATGTTGTAAAACACTGCATCAGTTAAAGTAAAGGCCATTTCAACGAGAGGAAATTACTTCTGTTATTCATTGTAATTTGTTGAATGGACTCAAGGAAAATTACAAAAACAATAACAAAGAGAATCAAAAGTTGTATGATACCACAGGAAGGAGAGCTTGTTACTTACTCTCTGTCAATCACAAGGCACTGAGTATCATTCTCCTTGGCGATTATGTTTGCAGAACGAACATCCTCACTGGAACAGAAGGTCAAAGAGTGTAATAACGACTATGACTAAATTTGGTATTTGAAAAAAAGCCATTGCAGTTAACTTTATAGTGTACATGCTGGAGCACACTGCAGTTACTCTCTGACTACTGATGGTTTCTGTTCAGAAATACAAATTATATACAGTATATACAGTATTTTCTTTTTTCTTTTTAGAGTCATACTACTTTGCCTCTCCTCAAAAATATTTATGCAATGTCTTTTATAGATATTTTACATTATATTACAGTAGATTTTAGAGAAAGAACAGGAATATACTGTATGTAAGATATCCATTTTAATTATCTGAAAAAATAATGGTACTGTATACTCAGCCTAAGGGCAATTAACTGCCTTTGTACTAAAATCACTTTTAAATTAATCACAATTTGCTGGTTTGTTTATATTACATGTGATGATGCAAATTGTCTTAGGATAGCTTCATTTGAGAGCTGTGTGTTGGAAATATAAACTATTATATAATCTACTGATGTAATCATACAGAGTGGTCAGTTTCTCAGCTTTTCACGTAGTACAGTATGTTGAACTTCAGTACAACTCATATTATAGTCTATTCATGTGTCTTTCTCCTTCACTATATTTCAGGTGTACCAAAGCAATCAGAAGGGGTCCAAAGCAAATTGGTTTTGGCATTTATAAAGACTGCATTTCTCATCTGATTTTGGAGCTTGATGCAGCACAGCTGACAAACACCTAGCAGAGAAGAAAAATGGTAACAAAGACGTTGGGAAGCTCACTTAATCACTGAGTCATCCAACCCAATGCTACGGTAAAAACAATAAACAGAGAGAGCTGGTTATCACCTTTGACGTGTTCTTTATGAATTTTGACCCTTTTCATTCATTTCACAAACAGTCAAGTCGGCTATAATTAGAGACACATCAATTTCATATACCTTATAAGGGCTTTTTCTCCAAAATACTCTCCTACTCCTAGAGTTTTTATCTCCTGTGGCTCCGAGCATCCTTCCATGGTCTGTGTGACACTCACCTGCAAGAGGAAAAAAAACACCCTGAGAATCCCAATAACCCAGCAGTTGAGCCCCAACACTGAAGGTACAAAATGTCAGGTGAAATACATCAATTGCCATGTACAGTACTCATATCAATTTTAATTGTCATCAGTTCCATGCATTGTTCACCAAAAGCCCCATTCTTACAATGATGACAATTCAGCTTCTCGTTCCTCTCTTACCGCTCCTTTAGCTATGATGAAGAAAGTGTTTCCCTCTTCTCCCTCACGAATGACGTAATCTCCCTCGTCATAATAATCCTAAAAACAGAGAAAGGAAAAGGGATTTTAAACCATGCATGATCTTCCCATAAACACACGGAAATCTTTGTTACTGAGTGTCACAAGAATTGTTTTACCATTTTGCTACTTTGCTACACATTTCACTTTATGCTTTACTTTATGCAAGTCACATACTGTACTAGTTGGTGTGTGTCAAGCAGCTCTTTCCCTCTGACATTAACAGGCACACAATGGGTTCCCAGAATGTAAATGACACCCGAGAGTTAAACTCACGTTTGTCCAAATCATATCTCTCAAAAAGTAACTGGTGAGACAGTCTTGGGTTGTTTTCTGAATATACAGTATGGTTACTAACATTTAAAGAGGATACAAATTCACTTAAGTGATGAGCGGGCAAACTCATACAAAAAAAGACTTTATCACAATGGACTGAATTAATTAATTAATTAATTAAAAGAGAACTAAATTTTAATATTCATATTCTAAGTGCCTTATGTCTCTGATTTCTCAAAGACAAAGGCTGATTGAAATGTTTAAACAAACTGTCTTCTGTTTGGACAAAGAGAACCAAAAATATTCCAAAGCATATTCAATTGATAAATACAAAATATATAAGAATTACTTGTTGAATTGTAGCATTTTATATGTTAAAAATATCTTACAATATAAAAACATGTATTCAATGTTTTTTAAATTTTTGTTTTCTATTTGATTATTTTGTTTTCTGTTTGTTCTCTCCTTCAATTTGATGTCTTGACATTTGTGAAGCAACATGTCAACTAATTTGTGAAAAATGTAATGTTACCTTACATATTTATTGGTACTTTATATAAGTTATTAGACATGTTAGAGGTTATTAAATAGATAAGTAAATGTACAGTACATTTAGACACAGTTTCAACTTTTGCTTCTTACACATCACATCACATCACACAATTCCAGTCATAAAACTCTAATAAGCAGCTTTTCAATGAGAATGCAAGACATACAGTACATACCACTTCTAGACAGTCCACAATCTTTGCAAGCTTCTCTTCAGGCAAATCTTTTAATAAAGATACACTAGTGGCAGAAGAGAGGAGGGAAAATTACTTTCTAATGAAGCTGCAGTTTTGGTATGTCTGCAAACAGCTTTTAAGGTTAAACACAAGTGTCCTCAGACTTAGTCTTTCTTCAATCCACACTTTGCTGTAGCAATTTTCTGTATCTGCATAAAATACTACATTAAAGATAAATATGGCATTGGTTTGTTCTCTGCCTTTCTTGCAGTGCTGTACAAACAGTAGCAAGACCATCTAGTTTGCAGAGTTTCAGTGCTGTCATGAGAAATTCTGCTGGACTGCAGCTGCAGCACAAGGATGAATAGGAGCATGTGTCAGTGTCATCTCACTCAATTGCAGTCCACAACGGGGCACATTCTCAAACTGCAAAACTACATCTTTCTGTTTACCTGCAAAGGAAGCTGAAGTATTCTTCTTGCCTAGCCTGTGCTGTTCTCATCATGATGTTCTGAAACATCTGCCGGTCTAGAACCCAGATCTGAGACTGCGAAACCGCTAGGTAGACAAAGCACAAACAAATCAGAACAATGTGACTATGAAAGGTAAACTATATAGGCAACCCCTATGAAAAGTTCATTAGATAAGGACCTGCTCAGAAAACAGCCCTACTGTACAGTACATCCAAAAAATTAAATTCACAAATGATAATGCATCAGCATCGCATTGCAGCTGTTCATAACCACCTTAAGAAAAGTCATGCAAAACCATGAAAAGCTTTGAATCATGGAGTATTTATCAACAAGAATATGAAAAGCATGCTTAGAAACATATCAACTGAACAAACTGATATTTTCATTGAGATGGACTGTATTCATGTCATAAATGCTTAACATACAATGTTGAACTTGATTGAGTCTGTTCATGATAATTACATTTAAGCAATTATGTTTTTCCCACAAAGTAGTTATCAGGAATATCCTGTGAATTTCACTTTAACAAACTTTTCATGAAATACAGTAGTACAGTAACTTGTTTCCACATACTTTAAAATCATGGACAATTCTACTTTGTAACAGTAAGAACACAACAATCAAGGAGATATTTTGTGAAATTAACAATGTACAGTATGATATTACATGATATAATAGTGTTACATCTTTTATCGACTTATACATCTCACTTCGAAAACATACAGTGTGTTGAGATGTTCCCACCTGTGACTGTGGCCGTCCTCTTACAGTTGTACAATATAGCAAGCTCACCAAACGCTGTCCCAGGGCGCATTCTTCCAAGAAGCTTGCTGTTCTGCATTACTTCCAGCAAGCCATCTGAAAAATGACATAAATACAATCGGATCTTGTGTTTGCACAGGTTCTGGCACAATACAGGATGGAAAGTTAACACCCTGAAGCAAAGGATAAGGAAGAGAGGCAAATACAATGTACCGATACTTATGCTTTACTTATTGGAGTCAATTCACATGTGCTACGTGTGCCATCTTCAATACAAATTCAGATCTGTTTCTCTTAAGGGCAAATTATTCCCATCCCATTCACTGTAAAGGAGGCTCCAATTAATGATATTAATAACCTATCAAGAGTATGGCCAACATGTTCTGGGGTGCAAAAAGGTTAATGCTAATTAAATCAATATTTCACAGACTCACAATCATTGGTCAATAGCATCCTGACCTCAGTGTCCAAATGCATGAAGTTTTCCTTGAAAATAACTAATGAAATCAGGGGGATTCTGACACATCATTGCTGCTGTAGAACAATGTGCCAGCTCATTGGGCCAGAGTTAGACAGGTCACCACTCACCACTATGGCTGTGACCAGTCGAATCATCCACCCTGCATTTCAGGCTTAGCTCTTAGTGACTATTATTTGTTCCGACATCTAAGTCTGACATTAAGATGATGTTCCTTCCAGTCTATTGTTGAGTTAAAGAAGAAATCAGAAAAGTGCAATTATTAGGGAATGGCTAAGGTACAAAGGGCTAAGCATTCTGAGATGAAGTGGTTTAAAGTAGGAAATAAAGCCAAGACACTGCAGAACGTTTGAACACCCCTTGCACAACATTAAGTGCATCAGACTAAATGGGAGTGGGTGCTCCTGTATGCACAATGAGCTTTGCTGTCTGTGTGTTTTAACCTTTATGCTCACATTAATCATAAAATCAGTTTGAAATGCATGTGACTCTGGGTAAAATTAGACACAAACTATTATGACAAGATGATGGAATATGATTGATTTACCTGCTAGAACATAGAGATAGTTGCCAGGTTCCCCTTCCTGAATAACTAGTTGGCCTTCTTTATAGGTCTTCTCATACATACAGTCCACCATCTCTCTCATCTGCTGGGGCTCCAGCTTCTTCAAGAAGTCATTGCTCATGATGGCATCATTGATCAACCATTTTGTACTTCAAGCATAAGCAAGAGACAGAAACAGGATGCATAGTTTTGCCACAATAAGCAAACCCAATTTGCCTCTAAATTAGATTTGACTGGTGATGGTAAAAGTAAATACATGTTACTAATGGGACAAAGCCATTCAGCCAGTCTTTCTAGGTCTCAGACTACTAGCTGCTACACTTTTGTATAAAGAAGTGTCTTCAATGTTCTATTTTAAATGGCCCTGAACCTAATTTCCACAATTGCTTGTTGCTGTTGATCATCACAAAATCTCTTGAAATGACTGAGTCAGTTTGAATACCAGAATCAAGTCCCCATATAAATACTGTACCATTGATCCAGGCGAAGAAGATTCAGTTCCCTTAGTCTTTCCAAGTATGATATTCACTTTAAGCAAAGAGCAAGTCTGGTTGCTCTCCTTTATATTGACTTTATAGTGGCTATATTTTTCTTATTGTAATGGCCAAAATGGACAACAAATTCACTGGATTTACGTTCTACAATTAACAGTATATTAGTACTGTATGTTCAAGCATGTTCATATCTTTACGGTCACCTTCCACTGTCCAGTTGAACATATTGAAGAAAGCTGAAGAGGCCACATAACTTCCTACAGTAGATCTTTCCTACAGTATATACCACTTATTAACTGTTATTAATTGTTCAGTCATTTATAATCAATTATGACAAATTTGTTTTATTAGTGACTGTAATCTCATTCTTGGCTTTTGTATGTGTTGTGGTAATTTACAATACCCTCAGTGGCATAATATGTTCATAGTGAAGGGATCTAATCAGTGTTTATTTTGTAACTTTATAGCATAAGCATTTAAAATTGTGCTTCTACTGCAGAGAACTTTCTCATTTGCACTTCTAAAGGAAGAGTGGCTTTAAATTACTCAGAATGGAATGTATGAATTTTTTACTATAGAAGAGTTCCTGGCAGACACTGAATTAAAGCAGCAATTATGTTTTCTATGCATATAGATGGATTACCTTTTGTCTGTCATATGTGCCTTTTTATTGCTCTTGGATTATTATGTAAATGTATGCTTTCAAGTCTTTTTGAGGTTTGAGCAACTACAAACAGTAAGAAGAAGCTGCAAGATCTCATTTTCATTTCCTGTAAAATGTTTCTGGTAGAAAATACTCAAAGAACTTGTTTTTCTAAAGACTACCAACCAATTGTTTTTATGCCTGACCACACCATTGAAGGTGGATTATGAATTCTGTCACTATTGATATACTATTAAATACACATTTAATTAATATTAGACATGGATTTTGGAGGATGCCTAAGTAATCAAACGGTCAGTGTATTGCATGACAAAAGACACCAAGGCAGCATTATAGTGTGAGAAGTCAATAAGTCTTCCACACAACCAATTTGTCCTAGACCGAGGTGTTCTTCCAGTGACACACTATGTGTGCGCAAGACAAATTCTGAATCTGAAATGTCATCAGAGTTAATGGAGCTTTCTTTTCGGGCAGCAAATAAGCCCTACCTGGAATCCTTACGGACCCGGGCCCTTTCAAAGGAAAAGTGCTGAAGATTGTGGTTGTAAAAGTGCCGGGAGGTTGGTTCTGCCGACACTCCCTCCTTGGCTCTGAGGCGGCGATGAACCTCCACTGCTACCCTGTGGAAGCGTGTTGGCCCTTCGTTTATGACACTAAGGAGACGCTCGCTGGGACTGACCAAGGGTGGTGACTTCACCAGACTGTTGTAGCCAATGGCATCCTGAAGCTTGTCTATCTGGGACACCTTTGCCTGCAGCTCCTTCTCCAGAGTACGCAGTCTCTCCTCTCTGGTCTTCAGTTCCTCACTCCTCTTTCTCAGCTCTTCCTCCAGTCGTGCTATTTTGGCCTTGAGGGCCTCAATTACCTCCCATGCTGGTGGTTCCTTGATCCCCGAAGCCAAGCAGCTTTCTTCGAGATGAGGGGTTTTGATAGCACCGTTGCCCATGCCTGCTGATGACTGGCCACCATAAGAAAGCTCACCGTCTGCCCTGCAGCGGCCTAATCACCTGGCCTTTTTCATTCTAGCTGCAGCCCAACTGGGTTTCTGTCTCTCAGGCTAGGGCATTTTCAGCACCTGCCAATAAACACAAATAAGAAGTTCTATATTTCACTATTATGTTTCATATATCATTATTGAAGTCATAGTGATTCATGAGATCACGACATAAAAACCAGGAGTTCATTTTTTTTTCCGCAAAATGGCAGGTTTTAATAAAAAAATATCATATATGAACTCAAGGAGCTGTTGTTAAAAAAACTTAGATGGCTGGCTGCATCTTCACTGTCCATCAGTATACAGTAAACTGTATGTCCGCGCCAGTTCTATGGAAATTTAATGAGCTTCCTATTCTTCATTGAGGAGCCCATTCCTTAATCATCTAGTTCTATGAAGACAGAAGAAGTGTAGTACAGCATGTGTTTCAAATACAAAACATAACTGGGTTTAGAACAAACTGACAGTTTTAATTCTACATTTACTGTCAACTGTAAATTAACTGTTAACTGTTAATTAACTACAAGACATTGAGGTTTTCTGCCTCTCTCATTGCCTCATCAAAAAAGATAGGGACCATCATTATAAAGAACATTTAAATATGTCAAAACTCTTGATAATTTCAGGTAAGGAAACATATATTACTGAATCTAAAAAAAAAAACAACAACAAAATACAGTACTTCCCATCATACAGCCTATTACAGAAAAAGTGCGTTTTATATTAATATTATTGTTAACTGAATTATAATTAATACACTTGTATTTTAAATAAAACTTAAATATTTTTTTAGCAATCTTAGCAGAAATTGTTCTTAACATTTATATACAATGATCCGAAAGTAAAGCTGTTTTGACAAAAATCTTTTTAAAGCTTGTTCGTTAAAAAAACAAAACAAACCGGTAGAAATGTAAGTAGCGTAAATAAAATTGTAAATCCAATAATAATAATAATAATAACAACATTTGAAATCGTTAGCTGTATGGCGATTGGTATTTTCTTTGTACACTTGATGGATGCTTTTAATAAAATTCCGTTTAAAAAAATATCATTTTGATTCTGTAATTTCCAAACCACGTAGCAATACATTTGAACGCAGATGACCTGGAATTATAAATTCACACAACAGTATCTCTAATACTCAACAGTATATTCTCTTGCAAATTTTGAACTATTAAATATGACATTTACTTCTGCTCATCGAAAAACAACTACAATTAAAATATAGAGTGAACAGTGATTTTCTACATACATTGTATCCATGCAAACATTTCAAATCCTCTTTGTAATTCCAGACGAAAATCCGAATTATCCAACGTTAACTCGGTGTAGTGTTGGATGTGTTGCAGTTAACTCGCATAAGACGCTGGTTCCGATCGGAAGCATTAATACGGCTCTTCAGAACGCTCAGACAAGCACAGCACATTTTTAGGTAACTCGAGTATAATGAAGCCAGTAGAAAGCCTGCCTGTTCAACTGAAGCAGTAGTCATAACCAAGACGTCACAATTAGCCCCCTCTAGAGGGAAGAAGAGTTTAAGTAAAATGCCTTTTAGATGATTTGTCAGTAAATTCTACATAGATACTGTACATTAATACTTCTAATTAAAAATATCGGTCCATATTAGTCAATCCTATTATTAGTTGGATGAATACCTCTTCACGTCTTACATAACAAAAAGCATCTTAAATTATACTTCTTATGAGTCAATACCAAACTACTCATGTAACTTTAAAAGTTCAGGTAAAGTGTTTATCTTGTGGAAACTCCAAATTCATTACAGCCTTTAAATATTCCTAATGAGAACAGAGGTAAGCACCTGTTACAATAATGCCAAGCACATGGAGACATCTTATTTTTAAACCTGTAAAAAAGGCTTGCACTTTGACATATATTTAGAAAGTCCATTCTCCACCACTTTTGAAAGCAAAGGCCTGTTATTTTGAAGTGGCAGATGCAATGCGACTCCCAGAGGCCATTCTGGAATAACTTGCATTTCGTCTTTTGATTAATGCTGGTAAAATGTTCACAAACATACACTACTGTGTGGCAATGTTCTGTCTAGGCAGCCGGCAGGCACTTGGTATGCACCAATACTGGAAATACTGGAAACTGGAAAAGCGGCACTGTGAGATCAAACAGGAAAATAGCTTTACCATAATATTATGTACTAAACAATATGATGATATGAATAATGAATGTTATTGTTTATTATAAGTGTGAAAATGATGCTGTATGAATGGTTTAAGAGACACATTCTGGGGAGGATGTTCCAGAGCTCTTTTGGTTGTTCTTTCTTTCTGGGTGATTGGTGTGCTGGGTAGTTGCTATCTGGGCTATCTGGGCTGTGCCATTCACCTGTAAATATGTTTTTCCAAGACCTACATGGCCTGCTTAGCCCCTGTGATGACATCATTTACTGTATCTGTCCGCAACTTGGAATTCTAGATCCCTGTGATGGCATCAACTATCTGTCCTTGCCTTGGCACACTACTGTCGGTCCCTGTGATGGCATCAACTATCTGTCCTTGCCTTGGCACACTACTGTCGCTCCCTGTGATGGCATCAACTATCTGTCCTTGCCTTGGTACACTACTGTCGGTCCCTGTGATGGCATCAACTATCTGTCCTTGCCTTGGCACTCTAGATCCCTATTGGCGCTGTGGCTTGCAGTGTGTGAACAAGACATGGATGTCTTGAGGCCTTCATCTCTGCTGTTCAAGTAAGAAGGATGCTGCAGTGAACTGATGAGACATTTTTTCAGTTCTAAATTGGGGGAGAGAAAACATGAATGGTAAAGTGCAAATGCATTAAGTCACTAATAGGGGAATGAATTACCTAGGCTCTAGAAAAGAGCACTAGACCTCTCATCAATATGAGAAAGTGTTTCCCATGCTTTTGTGTGTCGATTTAATAAGGAATTCTTTAATTTAATTGATTAACTTCACCATTAGAGGATTCATCCAGTCGCAAAACTCAGAAGTGTCAACATAACTGTCAAATAAATTAACTAAAATACAGATAGATAAGGATAACCTAGATTTGGCTGAACACGTTATATTTATGGAAAAAATAAAAGTACACATAATAATTATAAATCACTTTTATTTTCTTATTAAAATGTTTGTTTTTGTTATGTTTTCTTAATATTTCTTGACATTTTGGCACTAAATGATTTCAGCTGCCTTCAGTGGTTTTTGAAAGAATCAAGTAAAATAAAGAAACAAGTAAATACCTTTTGAAAATGAAAATATTTACATCAGATTTTTCATACAATAAAATAGACTGAAAGTTGGAAAGCAAGTGAGTCCCATATGGTGAAATGACCCAAATCCTCTTGCAGAAACCTTTTTTAAGCTGGTAAGGATACAGAAACACAGAGCAGTAGCACTCTATTTCCACAAATGTTTGAGTCATCTCTAAATAAATGGGATCTCGTGACTAATGGAGCTTTTCCCTTGAAGTTACAGAAACTTTTTTCTTAAATTGTAGCAGTTGAAAATCACCAAAAACAATAGGAAGATTCAACAAAAGCAAGAATGCTTCTCAATGAGCAAAAAATAAAACACTAGTAAGTTACAAATAAAAACTGAAATTGTTCTGTGGGCTATCAAACAAAATTAACACCAAATTCAAAGTCATATCAATGCCCTCTTAAAAGCTTTCAGATTGGTGATCCTGAAAGTGATACAAATGACCATATAAACATATTTTGAAATATACAACTATTAAAAACAAAACTCAGCATCCTTACACATTGAGCAAATTATATACTGTAGGTTACTGAAAATAATAGCAGTTTTTCCAGAATAAATGGATTCAAGCAACATCTTATTTTCTCAATAGCTTTCTTCTATTACTAAAAATAGATATATAGTAAAAATACTATTTAAAATATGAAAATTCATATCAACATACATCAATACAGTTAAACTAATTAGAAAAGTCTTAGAAAAAAATGAATGCATTGACCATTAGTAGGCATGAAAGGTAGATTCCAACTAAATAAAAAGAGAAATGAAAAACACTTTTCTGTTTTCTGGCAAAACTGTATAAAATTATCCATACACCATAATGTAGATTAAAAGTCAGCTTTTTATAGCCATAGAATCTCACAATATGATGTGAAACAATATTTCACAAAAATAAAGCAGTGGAAATGGATGGGACTGGGATGCTCTGTAGAACCAAAATGTTACAAGGCTGTAATAAGAAATTATAAATAACAGAAGATACATTTTTAAAGCTAGGGGAGTTTTTTTTAATGGACAGTGGGTCATTTATGTTCAGTTACACATTTTAAGCCTTAATTTGTAGTCTTACAGATGTAGAATCTATCTTATTTGTGCCAACAATAATGCCCAATAATGCTCAAGTTTTATACTTATTCGCTCCTCTGACGCACAACGTACATGCCTACAGAAATATTCAAATACTGAACGTATACAGTACATACATATTTGCAAATATACAGTAAACTCATTGAATAGTTAGTAGTTACAAGGTCAGCAAGGCAAAACTGTGTATTAAAATGTTTTTAATATGTGTTTAGAGTAAAAGAAAAACATATCAAATAAAGCGAAATTCTATGGGAACAGTCTTATTTATACTGTAGATCAAAAGTAACCATTCTTAAGTTTTTAGATAGATAATACTTTATTAATCCCGTAGGGAAATTGCTGAAATTTTATACTAAAATGTATTTTTTTGGTTTGTGTTTCAATAATAAAATGTTAAATATAAATTCCATTAAAAAGACTTGTAAATGTGTAGCTGATTTTGTCAACATTTTTTGAGATGAGTTTGTTAAATATTTTAATTTTAAGTATTTGTAAATGTGAAAATACATGCAGTTCAATCATTTATGGTTTCAAGATATTTGTTTAAGCATACTGTGCAAAAACGGTTTGATAGATTGTAATAAATGGAATTAGGGATGGAATTCAAGGTTCCATAATACTACACAATACACATAGTAAAAAGAATAGCTATGAGTGGCATATTATGTTCCACATATAAAAAGAAAATGTACAAAACCATGAATTACATAAACATTGTTATAGGTTAGTTGCACCACAATTACCACGAAAACCCCATAGTCACAGCAGAAACACACATCAGGTTAGTACATTCTAAAGTCATACTAAAATTGCAAAGTTGTCCCTTGTGGTTGAAGTTCAGTAATGAATTTCCATAAGTAATTACACACAGTATGGGTCAAACAAACAAGAGTCTTATTGTTTAGTCTTGAGGTTATTAGCGGCGATAATAAGATTGTTTTCATTATTCATAATTATTTCATTTCGGAAGAGGTCAACAGTATGGCCCGTGATTTGTTTTGGGGGTAGTCACCTTACTCCTCCAAAATATATTTTGATCAGTTGTGAATCCTATCATGAATTTGCAAGGTTCTTAGCATGCATTTGAAAATGGTCAAGAAAGGATCTTTCAAAACGTCAAACTAAAAATCAAATTCTTAACTGGGGTTTGTACAGTACCTGAAAGCCAAGCAAATGTATTTCTTAGAACTAAGGGCTTAGAGTTAAAACAAAAGGCAAGTCCATTCCACCCCTACAAGTGCACTGGCATTATGTAAATAAGGATAAGATGTTTTTAAAATAGCAAAGGGAATTTTTACATCTTTAAGCTCCTCATAAAAATAAAGCTTAATCCACAGGTGACACATTTTACATATACAGTACCATTTGCACAGCCTGGAGGGGTTTCAAACAATAAAAAATTCAGAAATTAATATTTCAATAAGAACAACTGATTATAAATAAGCAATATATTAAAATATTTTCAGGCCCACTGACATCCTGTCAAATGTTTTTGTGGTGGCAATTTTCTAATAATGAAAGCCAGACTGTGATGAGATTATAAAATATGAAAATGTCTTGATTTAGAATCTGTAGCAGGTCTCTCATATTTTATTTTTCATTTTTCTGAATATATGTGTAAAAATGTATTTAAAGGAGTATATTGTGTCATCGGTGCCTCTGACAGGCTCAGTTCTCTACAGTGTATATTCCATATCATGCTTGTTGTTTCCTCAGATTTCTACCAGCATTGATAATAAAAGGGTTAACAAAGGCTTCTGAAAAAACATTCCAAAGCTCACTATCATAAAGTTGGCCATGCCAGAAAATTAACATGAAACTGAAAAGAAATATCTTGAATCTGAAAAGAAAGGAAGACATGTGGTTCAGTATATCAGTCAGAAACTATTACTACAGATCTGTGTCAACTGTTATTTCCACTTTACAGTAAGTGACTTCAGCTGACAAAGAGCTTCTGAGAAAGTCTGAGAAAGAATTTTCTGTAGTGAGCACAACAAATGCTGCTTTCAGGAAAAATAAACTTTAGAATGTTACACAGAACATACTTAAGCCTGAACCAGCAAGCATGGTAAAATTAGGAAAATAGAGATAATATACACAACCCCTTCAATCTGTGACTGGAACAGGCGTTAGTGATGCAGAACAATTCATTATCATATCATATAGAAAGTCATAGCACTGGCTTTAGACAAAAACTCACCACAAATCTGGTGCCTTCCGATTACAAAATCAGAATGCCAACTCCAAGACATTTCTGGAGCTGGGATTCAAAAGGGACTATTTTTTACCTAATTTAGAGAGCTTTTCCATAACTAAAATTTGGAAACTAAAGGACCAACCATGAAAAAAATTTCACTCAAACTATACACGTGACTGAAAATCCTCAAGGCCAGGGAATACAAGGTACAATTTGAAGAATATAGCGACATTAAAAATGATTGTTACAGTATGTGAGAAAGAAATATACACAATCAATGTCTTTTTCATTCATGGATTACTTTAAAAATTAAGGAAGTCACTATCGAACAGAACATACTGTTCCGTATATTCAAAAATACTTTTAAAGAATTATACAAAATTACTTAATAAAAAGTAGATTATTCTGACTATCATTTAACAAATAATACTGACATAATTTCCAAAGGGAAACCGCCTGCAGTTCTGGTTGGACTCCAAAATGTAATATATTATAATTAACCCTTTCACTGCCTGTCTAGTATGTTATGGGTCCCTTTACATGTGGAATTGTATATTTTTTAGTTTTCAAAAACATCCATGTATGGGGCCTCATTTGTCTTTCTTTATACCATGCAGGGATATACATGTACAGTAAGAGAGGGATTTTGAAGTGTAAGTAAAAACAGTCTTGTTAAATTGTCAAACCAGATATGTTAGTTTTCTTTATTATTAGCTATGTAGTTATGCCTATCATTTCTAGCACTTTCACACCAAATTGACTTTAAACTAAACACATTTTATTTGTGTAAATGCTTTGTTAAGTGTTTTAAACTTGAAGAAATTTCAATTAAACATGCCTTTTCAGTCTATTTTGTTTATCTTGTTTACACATTTTGTCATACTAAAATATGGTCCAAAATATTTGCGCCTTGCACTCTGTGAGATATAAATGTGTGGAGCAGCTGATTCTGAGTGTCGTACAGTACCAGGACACCTCAGTGAGAAATAAGAGGGTACACTCTCTCAAAAAAGGTTCAGCATGCAGAAGAGGGTGTTCAGAATGGTGAAAACATTTGTGATGACACAAAGACCTTAGGATTAAAAGGTTCAGTCTCGTAATGAGACAATATAAAATAACATTAAACATTCTGAAATAGCAAATCGACGGCTGCTGTGTGAGGTTTTCAGTTATCCTGGTTTAATAGCATAGGATAGATAGATTAGATATCGGGGAACAGAAAGACCTGTACTAGGTTGGGAAGGTTGATAACAGCAGGCTTGGGCTGCCTTCAGCCCTAGTTTCCTCTTTTCCCCATAGTAAAAGGGATTCTGTGTGTGTGGATGCTCCCACACCACCCTACTGTTAATGTGGATCAGCTTCATGTAATTAAAACAAATGAGTGACAAACAGTACTGTACTCTACAACTACGGTACGTGGAGTGTTATTCATAGAGGCATCAATAAGCCAAAGAAAAACTAGAGGTGTGCGAGGGTTTCATTGGAAGAAAAGATAATTAAAAAAATATTAATACTCAAAGCATTTAAAATGTTCAGATTGATTTGACAGGATGGAGCCCAGCAACAATAGTATATAGCAAGCAAACAAGTTCACAAAAATGCTTGATGACAATAGGAATGCTTGTGCAAAACATATTCTACACTAATCTTTAAAACAATAAACTGGAACAGGCCAATGAATAAGATCAGAAAAGCATTGAGTAAAGAAATTAAACCACATGGATCAGTGCTCGGTTTATTTTTCAGATAGAAAAATGCTGACTTACCTCTACTGTAAGAGATTAGAACTAAGTATTATACAGTACTGTGTGACTAAAAGGAAGTGAATATTTAGGATGGTGTCAATATGAAGACTGGGTTACAGAGAAAACAAACTTTTGAAATGATTTCCTCTGCTTTTGCAATATATGAATTGAAAGAACATGTATGGTGGTAATGCTATGTTTAAGGTAATGAATAATAGTGATAATAATATACTATGGGCTATGAAATAGTCCGGCTGCAGGTTGTTTTAAGGACGTGTTAAATTAGACTGTCAGTGTGGCATCTGTCAATTCCGGACTGATTCAATTCAATTCCAGTGGGTGAAAGAACCTTTTGTGCACCTCTGCAATGATGGAACTCATTACCTAAATCCATTAGAAACTCTGTGTCTGCTGGTACTTTTAAAATTCAATTAAAGTCCTAATGATTCTCTGAAGCTTTTAACATACAATTTAGCTTTACTTTTATCTTCACAAATGTAATGCATTTTCTCTTGCTTTTGTTGTATAATACCAACCAGATAGTAGACAGTGCTTTGAGGTTCTAGAAAAAGTAATACAATTGTATTGGAATTATTATTCTATATAAAGATTTAATATGCAAGATTTTCTTTTAAATGTTCTTATTAATTATAAATCAAATGTTTACAGATTTGCGGGGATGCTTAACTTTTTTTCTCTACAAAAAGGAAACTATACAGCTCTTTTTCATTTCAGAACCTTATCAGTTATTAGGAATGGAGCATCTATATACTTTTGAATGAGGTGTGAAGGTGAGGCAGGTGTCTAGTAAGCCCATATTTCTCAACACATTGAAGGATTAATGAATAATTGTAGGAGTGCTAAAAAAGGCCTTCTGTCAGACTTGCTCACCTAAACATTTTCAGGAAAAACAAGATTGTGAACAACCTTTATACTACTTGTTATTTTAATGAAGGGGTAGGGATAGGTTAGTGCAGGACTTGAGCTGAGTAAAACCGAAAGGTGATGAAGCTTTTGTGTTTCCTCCTAATTGGCATCTGTTTAGGGTTAGGACAGTGCAATTCCATACCTAAACTGACTCTTGATAAATGCACTCTTTGAAGTTTTTCCAATTTCCAGCAACAATGTCTTTAATGACTAGCCAATATCCATATACTTTCTGTTCTGTATTATTGGCATTTAGGCTTCATATCAATACTCAATGTTGTAATTCAAAAGCTTAGAAAACAAAGCAACAACAACTCAATTTACATAACTTTGCTTATTGCTCATTTCACCCATAATTCATATATTTTCTATTTTTAGGTTTTAAAGATAAACACTAGTATTATGGGAAAAATGACATCAGTCTAAAAAGACATGAGTAGAATCTGTTGTTTTATTTTGTTAAGACGTAGGACTCCTGCTTAATTATAGATTTCAGATATTTATATATTATTTTTGTAGAATATAACAGGGTACACTGTAAACATTAGGCATTTCCTTTAATTGGTGAAAACATTCAGAAAATAAGAAGTGTTCAGTTAATATATGCTAAATCTATGTTTCCAGGAGTGTTTGAATTTAGACATCTGCATTCTTATTGGACACTGAAAAAATGTGTTTACAAAAAAAAAATACCACTAAAACATACAGATGAGAATTTATTAGACCATTTTTGTTATTAATTAGTGTTGTCTGCATTGCTCCCAAAAATGTTTCTCCTATTATATAAAATGGGATTTGGACCATAAAGCATAACTGAGTAATTGATCACTTAAAAAAGTTGTTTTTTTTCTAAAAGTGTTTTGATTGTGACTGACCACCACCACAGAGAATGTAATGGATTATGAAAGGGCCAAGGAAAATCTACTAGAACTGCAATAATAGATTGACAGAGGTAGTGGCAAAAGCAGTAGAAATAGTCTCCCTGTTATGCTGCTGTTATGTGAGCACATACAGTATTTCTGTATTGCTTTTTAATAGAATAATGTAACAGGTACAGCCCTTCATGCACTGGATGATGTTTTAGATCAGTCTGTGTTTTGGAAAGAAAGCACTTTCGCATGTGTTTTAAGTAGGACTTGCTAGTTTCTAAACCTTCCAATTCATTGTTTTAGTGTAATTTAGCACAAGTGCCTTCTTAGCTATGTATGGGATTAATATGTAATCCAATTTCTTCCACGTTAACCAGTTAGACATGACAAAAGACTCTGAAATATACCAGGAGGTGTGATAGAAAATACCATGAAATAACATATTACAAGCATTGGAAACATATCTGCTGGGCTTACAGTACATACATCGGAGGCACCTTTAACTTTTATAATTTGTCTGAAGAGAACTGGAGTGATTTTCATAAAGGCCCTACTGGTGTCCAAAGTAGTCTAATGCACTACTAACGTACTGTAGAACAGATTGAAAAATTAATCATGCATTGTAATAGAAAACCATTTAAATGTCCAAGGGAAGGTGGATAATATTCATACAAAGAGTATCTTTATCTATACTGTACATCTACTGCTCCTATTTCCTCTTTATCTTTCTCTGTCTTGCAATACATGTATTATTTCATAGGTCCCAAACTTAATGTATTACTTAACATGAGAACTGGCAGTGAGAGGGTTAACTCAGGAATCATCTAAAGCAATTGTCTGGCGGAAATACAAGAACATCAAGATGACATATGTCCGTTCTGTGAGCTGCTCTGAATTAATGAATCACAGTTGTTAGAATAAAATAAAAACAAACAGGAAAGACACTATAAAAAGTTCATGTTCTTTCACATAGTGAATAAAATAACAAAGCATACAAAACTCAAGAAATGCATCCATTCCCTGGACTTCCATTCTCCATGATGTCTTCAATAAATAGAAAAAAGGCAAAGCCCTTTTTTTCCAGTCATATTGAAGCCAACCTGCTCGCTGCTGCCTCCTCCTGTAGCTATCCAAAACTACAGTGATGGTGGTCTGCAACTGGAAAACCCACGAATCCCAAATGAATCTGTGCAAACTCAAGGATTCTTCCAGGTTTGTGCAAGTTCCATTCGGCAACTTCATCAAGGTCATGTCCTCCAAGCATTGCCTTGTCAGACGTCTACTTCTTTGCCAGCTGAAAAGGTGTTTGACCCTTTTGGCAATAAACAGAACATTTTTTTTACTCGTTATAAAACATTTGTGTTTTTTGTGTTTAAGGGAAGACCTTAAAGCAAGCCAAATTCTGATTTAACACCATGCATTCGGGACAATACACTTTCCACGTGAAAAAAAAAATTAAAAATGAAATAATCTTTCATATAAGTCCCATTAGGTATTTAGTACCAGAATGTAAAACTGTTCACTGCACATTCATTTGATTTTTCCTTCACAAAACTATACATTTCAATGATAAGGGAAGGCCACAGATACTTAGGCTTTCATCAGTGATCAACAAGTTATTAAAGAGCCAGAAATGCAGGTGTACAAGTCATCTGTTCCTGATCTGTTTTAGTGAACCTTGCTGATTTTGCCAGAGATTCAGCTTGAATTAAGTTTTTCCCATCAACTCACACACCAGCAAGCACAAGTTAACTCAAGTCATTCCAATACACTTCATGCAGGTTCAGCCAGACTATCCTGCAAAACGTCAGCTGATGAAAAATGCAGGTGTTGGACACAAAACCCTCTACCTTCTATATTAACTATAGAATTTCTGATTATAGGCTAATATAAAAGGGGATGGACAGCAAGGATTGTACTGGATCATAATTTCATTAACCAGCTGCACATTAAATATTTCTTGCCAACGTCCATATTTATTAAAGAAAATGAATGAATACTGTATATGATTGAGCAGGAAAGCTGCGAAGCCTTTTTTTTAAAGTACACTGTATTTTATTATACGTATTAAAGCTAGTTATAAAAACATTTAAAATTTAACTAAAAAGTATTTTTAAAATAAACATCTTCTTTTACTTTGAAATCTTTTATACAGTCTGGCTGTGTTACTGTAGCTTCAGTAGTTTGATAGTTATGTGTATATCGCACTCAGGAAATCTCCCAATATCGGGCTGTCTCAATGATCAATGGATAAGGCTAGCTGGTTTTAGCTAAATCAGTAGCTAATGTACTAACTATTATGTGACTTTGAAAACTTTGAAGCTCAGTACAGTAATTTTAATAATGCAAGGCTTTTAAATATCCAAAACATTATTTGGGGGTATTCTATGAGATCAGAGACATTTTCAAAAAATGATGCATAATCCTAACAGACTTTTATTGTATTGCACATTGCAGTCATATCTTTGTCTATCTAAAGCATGTATTTTGATATGCTGTATACGGTACTCTTGATATTGGAAGTATCAAAAAACTGTATGTCAACAAACAGCATATTCCAGAATAAGCAGCATTACTTGACAAATTAAATTTGAGGGAAATTAAATCAATTTAATTTAAGCCATTCAAATGCACATGTAACAGAGGTCTGATTTAATGTGGCTCCCAGTCCCCCTTTTCAGACTTCCAAGTGAAAATGTTTGCTATATAGATTAGCCATGTCTGGTTATGATTTTATTTTACTGTTACTTATATTTTAACTGATGGATGAGGTACTTTTATGAATAGTAGCAAAGAACAGTGTACAGTGGTAACAGATCACCACATAGCAAGCAGCAGTATTTAAAACGTTCAGTTAAAGTGTTCAGATTCCTGCTTAAAAATGATGATATGAAATATAGTATTTGCTGAGAAAAGAAGACACAAAGCAGACAAAAAAATACAATTTGAGAACCTGATCCTTGAAGAAGATGACAGAATCAGGCTCTGTACGCAGGCAACAAATGCCTCACAATAATATTCATTTCACCAAGACAAAACTTTAAAAAAAATAATGATAATATTCTTGCCTTGCCTCTTCCACCTACTGCCAAAAGAGAAAATAATATCTACTGTGTTCAAATACCATCAAGAAACTTTTTTGCTGTCTTGGTGAAAGAACCAAACCTTCAGCAGAGGCTGAACCTTCTTAGTTAAACCCTTGTTGATATGAAGAATGGAAGACCATAAAATTAAGGCCACAAAAATAAATGTGGAACTAAGTTCATATGAGACTAAATATGTCATAGGTTATAAGTTAAATAAAAATAAAGGGAACAAGTTTTCATCTGGTTTTCCAGTGCTTTTTTCTGGTAAAATGCCAGAATGATACAAGAATCTGCTTCTGTTTCCATGATATTGTATATCAATTGCAGTGTAAATTAAATATTCCCTTTTAGTTTGAAATAATTCCGCTGTTGACTAATTGATACACAGGAACAGAACTTCAGGGGATTATATAGCTTAGCATTAATTTCCTGGGAGGATTTAACTAGGTTTAACTTGGAAAGCTCGAGCTTCATCAATTCATCAGCACCAAGCTGTATGGCAGCACGGTCCATCAATACTGTGATACAATAAGTTAATAGGCAATGTTCCTTCACATTATGCACAAATATCATGCAAATGCTTTAACAGTATTTTTTTTTTCTGAAAACAAACTTAGTGTATCAATGCAAAGGTTAAAAACTCCAGTACACAAATATTAACCAAGAATAAAAATAAAATTAAAAAGTCTGTACAAAAACTGCACATATTAAAATAGTACAAAGTTTTTTCATCCATAAAAAGCACAGAAAGTACAAAAATAAATATTTTATATACAATCACACATGCCACTCCAGGATTAACATCACTGCAAAGAAATGGAAAGCAAAAAAAGTTAAATTAGTTCAAGCAAAAAATCACAAATACAATCAAATCATTCCATTGAGTAAGAAAGTGGATGTTTTCATTTTGCAAGTGACTATTTTGTAGCCATAACTGTGTTCATTTCTGGTCCGAATACTGTTTTAAAAGTGTGCTCTAGACAAAAGCCCTGATCTAAACGTTAAAAATATTGACTCTGCAAGAGAATGCAGAAAACAGTGATGCTGTTCTTACTGTGCTTCCAGATAATCTGTATCAATTCTGGCTTGACAAACAACTAAGACCAGATATTTCTCTGTAAGCCCTGTTTTTTTCCACAAAGTGCACCAGCATTACTGAACAGAAAGCAGAAGAAACCATCTGGGAGAAAAAATAATTTTCCTCACCCTTACCTGTCCTACATTATTATTTCTTATAGTAACTGTTACTGCGCTTGGCAAGATAGCACTGAAGAAACAAAATTACTATACTGCAATGAAGGATATGTGTTGTAAATGCAGGCAAATGTTAGCCGAATGGGGAGGCCAATAAAACGCTTACTATTCCTGTACTAATGAACTGATCCTTTCAATGAAGGAGAGGTCCTTTAGCACTGAGAACATAAACATAGTAACCTGTTAGGAGACGGAAGTAATCCAGTATTAACAATTCATGTCAGTCTTAGTCTCATACTGTAACTTTATGTTAAACATGCAAGAAGTTCAATGTCTTTTAGTTTAAAGAGATGGGAGGCTGCTTTGTAATTTGTTGCAATATCTCTCTCAAAACAGCATTGGGCCAAGATGCAAGAAAAACCATTACAGAATCTTTCATAAGCTAATAAAGTCAGTTTTCTTACTTTATTCCAGCATCCTGGAACTGGCAAGCCATCATCTCCCTGTGGAAACATAAAGCAATAAAGTGAGAAAGACAAACATACTGTAAAATACTGCCTGCAGAACAGAGGCAATCGTATCATGCAGACTATTTTCAAGTCAAAGCGTGAAGTTCCATGTGAAATAAAAATGCAGATTTCCTTGTGTTATTTACTCAGGTTCACATACAGTACAGTATTTTAACTTAAGATTTGAACCAAAAGACTTTGTAGTCATTCCAACACTCATTACAATTGAATCAATGATTACTTTCAAACCTAAAGGAGGATTTGATTTGACAGAATATTAAAACCAATCTGTGACCTGTCAAAGTGCCTTCTAACCTGCTCAGCCTTAAGTTTTTATTTCCATGCATCTTTTAAACAAAGCATGCCTGTTATAGCTGTACAGTACATGTTTCAAAGGGGGATAGCAGATGGATTCTCTTTTTAACATGTCATTTTTGCACTTGTCACAAGAGGAAAATAGAATCTAACATTATTGCTAAACAAAGCATATAGTGGACTGGTTTCTGACATGAATGCTATGCTGAGTTTCTAGTTCCTCATAAAAAAGGTTGCCTAATCACATTGTGGACATGGAGCTTGTAAAATGAATTGTGATAGTTGTGTGAATTGGGAGTTATCAACAGAGATGGAAGAAAATTGTCTAATTTCGCTAAATATTTCAGAAAACTCTTCCTTAATAAAATTATGATGGTAGGGACTCTTTAAAATCTTTATCTAGCAAGAAAGATGTGGATGCCTCGCACGCAGGATTTGAAAAATGGGCGAGCCGTGAAGGCATTAAAATTAGATACCCTTAACAGAAGTTTTATATTAAAAAGGTTAAAGGAGATGACTTTCAAAAGATTATGCACAAATTTAAATTGTCCAATTGCGGTTTTCACTTTGGAACAGTGAATTGGAGGGAAAGCTGGTGTACCGCTCTTTATTTTATTGCAAGGAAAGAAAAAAAGAGGTCAGTGCTGCTTTGTCTTGCAAAAGCACAACCAAGGATACTATAAAACAATTTTGACCAATATTGTCAAAGGGTGATTTGTGCAGGATATAAACTTTTACAAACATTGAACACACTTTCACCGTCATTGCATTCACAGAAATCCCCTGGCAGGGGTGTACAGTCAATATGCATTTGAGGGGCATAGCTGTGGAATTAAGAGTTCCTGTAAGGGCAGAAACGGCTGACAGCTGTGTTCTATGATTGGAAAAAAAGACAAATAAGCACACCATGCAGGAAGGGAAGGGAACACCATACCACAGGGCACGGGGCATCGAGCCCATCCAGGCCTGGCAAGCCTGGTTCACCTTTCTCTCCCTTAAAGCCACGGAATCCCTGTTTGCAAAATCAATGTCCGTCATTATCCAAGGATTGTTTGCTTAGAACCCGCTTCTATCACATCCCAAGACACAACTGAGACAGTAACACTGGAACTGCAGGGATTCAAAAAGAGCTTTTGGATGTTAAAACTCAAAACACATGAACAAAACACAATTCAGCCCTAGAAAATGAGCTCAGCTTTTGAGTTTCCGATTGGAATGTGTTGTGCTGTGTTTAAACCTCACCGTGAAGTATTAACCCGATATGAATGTGCAGTGCAACAGCTCACGTCTTTATTGCCAGACTCCTGTGCTCTTCTTGATCCCATCATTCCCAAGACTGAACACCCCCGAAAAGTCAAGGTTTGTGTTCCATCTGTTTCCACACTCTATAACTCAATCTGATATTTTATCCTTACTCCCACCCTGAGGAGGTGCTGGGACAGGGGACACCCCAAAAACTCCTTTTAGAGATTTTCTTCTTTTTTTAATTTTCTGTACAATTGAATATCTGTAAGATCTTTAAGATTTACAGCACCGCAGATCTTGACAGAAATCCGTGAAACAGTGGAAGCTTAAACCTTAACATATTTAGGGGTCTTCTTGCGTTCTATGCTTAGAAGGCAAAAGGAGGGAGACCTCATTAGAAGGCAAAACCTAGGCTACAATTTCACTTCAAATACAATTACATGAGTCTTGTAGATTTGATATAGTGTATACCTGATACAAGATATGACACTATGACATGAAAAGTATAGGGCAGTAATGCCCCCTTTATATTTAACTTCAGTGAAGTGAAATGAACTGCATTTAATTAAATGCAGTGCAACTGCTCTTGGTTTCTTTAACGCACAAGCTCCCTCCTTTTCCCTCCCACTGGACATTTAATAAAAGACATACCAACGGACAGGGTGCATCTAATCCAGGTGCTCCTTGGTCTCCCTTATCCCCTTTGGCCCCCCTGTTGCCTTTCTTGCCCCTCTCCCCCTGCAATAACAGTGCATTTGAAAACAGGCTTTAGAAGACCTCTCTGCCCACAGGACAACATGAGATCCAGAAATAGAAAGCACAAAAATTTCATTTCAAAGAAATTTTGATTTATTCAATATGGAACTTTGAGATTTTAGAAGTATACGTAACGTTAACATCATGTACGTCGTAAATAGACCTCATTCTAAGATTAAACATTTTTTTTTACAGAGAAAACAGTTACTGATCTGGGAAATTAAGAGGTTGACAAAGCAGACCGTTAGAGAGAAGGGATACAGTCCAGTGCTATTGGTGAGTGGATATATTTTGTATGTACATACTTTACTTTATACTAAACTCTCTTGTGAAAAAACACATATGAATCTTTGTAAAGAAAATAAAGTAGTTATAGAACTCATATTTTCTAAAGTGCACACTGTACATTTAGGCAGTAGAAAATAAGCCGATAAACAGACAAACTGCCATGGTACACTAATGTATTTGGAGCTACACAACAGACATCCATCCACTGAAAATGTGTAATTGTTAATTTCTCACATTATTTATGCAAATACTGCAGATTAAGGGAGTATACAACTACAGTTTAATGGAATATCATTAAGAAACTTCCTTATTGTTTCACGCAATTTAATTTTATTTAATTTTTTAATTTTAATTTATAGTGAGATTTTAGTGATATTTTGTTCAAAATTGTTTTGCCTTATAGCAACAGCATGAATCCTGTTCTTGTCCTAAGAACTTCAGATATACTGTAATTATTGAATAAAGTATAGTTTTAAGCCAAGCTATTTCAACTAAATGTAACTGAACAATGTAATTTTCAAAGCCCCAGTACAGCTAAATCAATCTTTGAAAGGTGGGATCCATGACTGATCCTGTGAATTTGTGTTTTTGAAAGCCTTTCATGGAAACAAACTAAATCTACAAATAAGCTCCAAATTATTTTTACATTTCTGATTTTTCACTCTATAAGTAGCCAAGTAATGGGTACAATAATAACGTTAAACACATTTGTCACATTTCAGATGATGTAGCAACTAAGGAGGTATTTCCTTTGTTTTTTTTTATGCTGAGTGGGTTTAGAAATGATGCACTGAGATATTGCTATAAAATACATCAAGGAATGGATGAAAATAAATCTGGCTGGGATTATTCCCAGTGGTACAGTCATTAAATACCAAGGGCAAAAACTAATTTTAATTTGAAAGCTTTCATAACAAATTCATTTTAACTGCCATTTTATAATGTTCCCTATTTACAGATTAAATTAACACTTTGCTTTCAATTTTTATTTTAAAACACAAGATCCTTCTGCTTTAAGACAGGGAAAACCAAGCACACTTCTCAATTAATGAAAAGTGGAAATGCTGTGCTTAGGCTAAACTTAAATATTTCATGTGCGGAAAAGGGAATTCCACTCACCAAGGGCAGGGGAGTGTAGCTTCGGATTAAGAATAAAAGGGAAAGACTTAAATATAGGTATCAGAAAAAAAAGATTAAAAGCAGGTTTGGGGGGTAAGTGATAGGAGAGGAGGATATTAACCCAGGCTAAACATTAGAATGCAGGAGACCAGGGGACAAAGGGAGAGAGGACGACCCGGGACAGAGCCAAGAGACACAGAGCAGGGTGGAGGGGAGGAAAGGGGATAGGAAGACCTGTGGAAACAAAGGAAGACAGGAAAGAGTAAAACAGCATACAGTAGGTACCATTTTCACCCACAGCACTTTCAGCTGGCCACTGGACTGACTAAAGCTTCCAGGAAGAACCCTGGAATTCACTTAAGTTACTCTGTTCCACCTTTGATACAGGAACAGAAGAAAGGAGGTCATCCTGCCTACTGTATACTGCATGTCTTTGACAGTGGGATTATTTGTCAACAACAAAAATATTGAATTGTTCAGTTTTATGAAATATTGCTAAACACTGCCACTGACTGGATAACTCCAAGTAGGATTTGACTGTCTATATATGAAGTATGCACAAAAACATATTCATGGGTGTTCCTGTCATGACAGAACCAAAAATCTCTTTTCAAATAAGCACGGCTCCATTAAAAACATATGTATCTTTATTACCCTAATGTACTTTGAAGCTATAAGGCCATCTGAAATTACTGAGCACAACAGTAATGCACTTAAGCTATGTAGTTATTAATAGGCCAAATATGAACTGCATGACCATACTTCTTAACTAAGAATTACGTTAGTTGAATGTTAATGGGTAAACAGAAAATGGGAAAACTGTGCTATAAAAAAATCAAAAACATTTCTAAATACATGAATCCACCACCTTCACTACAATAGTCAACATGCCAGTCAAAGAGCATTCCCGACTCAGCAAAGCTTTTATGAGTGAGAAGACCATAAACCAGCAAAGGTGACAGTATTTACTTCTCTATTGAGCAGGGCATTTCAGTTTTAGGGAGCTGGTTTAAAGACCACTCTCACTTTCTTTACTTGTGGAACCAGTTATTTGCTTTATACAGATATTTTTCTAGATGACTAAAACAAAAAAAGACACTTTATTTAAGGTCTAGCCTTCAGCCAATAAAGAATAATTAAAACTGAGACTTAGAAAGTAAGTTTCAATCTGTCATATTAATTGCTTTGCATTTGAGAAATGGCCAATTTGGTTTGAATAAAAGCATTTTGAATATGCACTATAGAAATACAGTATATAAATGAAGAGGTCATAATCTTCAATTAATTGTGGCATAGTTATATAGTTAGAATTTACAAGACAATAATTAGGCAAAATAATCCTGTCTCGTCTGATTGTTTTATATCACAAGATATAAACCCTAATTTTGCTACAGGGTGCAGCATATTTTCATGCATATTGAAAAACACTTTGGTAGCAATAACAGTTTCACTACAAAAACTGTTTCTGGTCCTCTTGTTGTTAAAATAAATTTTGTGACCACCTTAGCTAAAAATAACTGATTATTTCAGTTCTTTCTTTGAATGTGCAAGCTAAAATATAAAGAGACTAGTCTAAAATTCATGCATGAGCTTAGAACCTAAGAATACTAAAGTTTATCACAGAGCTAATATGTATTTGTCTTAAAAAAATGAACACCGTGGAGTATATTATAGATATAAAGAAAAAGTACAATCATTATTTAATTTAAGATTGAAATGTTTTATAGGGAAATACGAGAAAAGACAACAAAATGCTTTTGTGTATGAGGAAGCCCTCTTATTTTTAACTTCTTCAGTAAACCCTTCACATTTAGTCAGTAGAAATATAGACTGAAAGAATGTACTTCATAATAAAAAAGCTTATTTATAGGACAACTACAATTTTTGCAGCAGAATCCTGTAAGAATGTGAAGACCAGAGAGCAGTTCTTTCAAATTCCCATTTGCACTAACTGAAAATGATGAGTATCATTCCTTGCAGACATGCAGTAAAACCAAAGTTTCCTTGGAGTACTAAGCATCACTTTAAAATGAAGCAAGAATTAGCATATTCTAATAACAAAAGGATTATCAAAACAACAAGTTCCAGATATTTACAGTATATACATTTTCAGCACATATTCATCTGCTACACCTCCACAAGTGTAGCTCAACAGCAGTTTGAAAGGAAAAAATACTGAACAGCAAGGTTCTCAATTTCTGCTTTTTGTTTTCAACTTGACAAGTCAATTAAACAATTCACCTACTTTTTCTTATACAGCCATAGGATTTACTTACAGTCCTTTTTACTGTTTATTAAGCATTCACTTCAGACTGGTTGCCTATAAAATCCCTTAAGGCCTGGTTAGAACTACATCAATTAGATAACTAATTATATTATTAGAACTTCTATAACAGAGAGGTTAGGCGAAACCAAAAGTCAGGCCCTAAGGAATTGAGTTTGACAACCTTGCTGTGCACTGCAGCTTCCTGGCAATTAAAGAACAATTATGATCATTGTTTATTGTACCTAACTTTGGACTCCAGGGAAACTAGCCTTGCTCAAGTCAATTAACATTTTATCTTACCCGGTTCCCTTTTAGTCCTTGTGGTCCTTGTAAACCCTGGGAAATAAAAGAGATCTTTAGGATTTACATGCACGACATGAGACCTTATTTTTGAACTCTTTGGCCCTTGTTCTTGACAATATTAAGTCCAAAGATTTGAATGACCAAAATATGTACATATATTGCCCTAGTCATGGACTTTTTCTCATTTTCTTGTTTAAGAAAAATAAAATCTTATTGACCCTTTAAAATTTAAACCAATTTTTCCATACATTATCAGACAGGTTTTACAAAACAGAATCATGCTATGCAACAAGTATACAGTTTGATGTCTAAAGTAACTTTGGTCTATCAGGTTATTTTTTAATGTAATGAATTTCCCATTTTTATATTAAGTAGAATTGGAATAAAGAGTGAAATGTCAATGAAAACCATGTGTAAATAGAATATTGTGTCCTACTGTGTCTTTACCTGCAATCATTATAACAGACTAAGAGTTTAATTATCCCAGGCTTTTTGTTGAAGGTGGGACAGATTTACACACATACAGAAAATGCACATACAGTAAAAGTGTCACAAACAATTTTTAAAGGATGTCAAAAAACATAAAAAATCCTCATAAGTTCATATGAGATCACGATAAAGTTTAAGATTTTTTTTTGTATGCCCATCCAGAAATCAAATTCAGTGCCTTTGAGTGGTATCACCATTAAAACCCTGTGATCATGCACAAGTGTGAATTAATTAATTTATTGCCTTGTGCATTTGAGATCAATCGCATGATTCAAAGGACACACTTGTAGATATCTATGATTTGCATTTGAAAAACCATGACCTCTTCAGGTGCAAGCAATATTTCTGAAATGCAAAGAAGACACTTTAAGTCAAGTGTTGTCATGCTCAGACTCATTGCCAGAGTCACAACAGAGATTTAAAAGATACATTATTCCGTACCCTTTATTAGGTCATGACAAAGATTTTCAAAAAGTAAACTGCAATTTCTTGGGCATTTATTGACCTGCTTCCACAGCTTTGATCAATGAAACATTTCCCCATCTATGAAAGACTGCTGTCAGGATTGCTTTCTGTTGCTTGTTTTATGAACACAAATCTGCTACACCAGAATGATTTATATTACCCCCAGAACAATCTGATATATTTGTTTTTCATGTACTTCTCACATCCAAGAAGTCAAAAGGTATTTAAAGGAAGATGTGGGACTTACAGGGATGCCTGGAGGCCCTATTGGTCCTGGAGCACCTGCGTCTCCCTTGTCCCCCTGCATGAAGGAAAAAGGACAGTAAACCTTTTGCCCTAAATATAGGCTTCACACCTAAGAACAAACGTGACACTTCATGTTCTTATATGTTTTTTAAATCATTTCATACCGGCTTTCATATCGGCTGTTGATCCATAACATCTTCAGGAAGCTTTCCCTTGTAATTGCACACTGTTATGCTTATATTACAAATTATTTCTTATGGCTCTGAAGTGACCCAATCAGCAAGCCAAACAAGTTTTCTTATGTTCTTAAAAAATTCCCTTTGAGCATGATGTTTTGTTCTAGATCTTGATCTCCCTGGTTTAAATCAAGGTTACAGTATATTGCTAATCTGTTGAGACCAGGATGTTCCAAAAGATAGCGACAAGTGGTCAATTCACTGACAGTATAGAAAAAAATGCAAATTTCGAATTAAGCACAAATTTGTGAAATTACTATAAGTTGCCATGTTGTTGCAAACCCCTGGTCTCGCCACAGGTGAAAGCAAGAGTTGTGACGTGCTGCGGCCCCTCCTGCTTACTAGTCACTGTATTGACTACTGTAAGACCATCTTCAAGATAATAAGTACAGGTTGTGCAGCAGATATTTCACCGAAGAAAACTGTCAACATGATCTGCACGCAGAGTTAACAAGTACAGTAATTTTCATTTATCAGCAAAACTTGAATTTAAGAGCAATATTTCTATCTATATTAAAGACATGTATTCACAAGTCTGCTTGTTTACAATGTAATAGGGCCAATAGGCATTGGAACTTTTGTTGCCTTGTTCTGAATTGTAGAATATGGTGTTGTGCATACCTTGAAATTTGTCTACTTTGTGATGTAAATTAGAGGTTTTTAGGAGTTTCTGTGTACATTTTACTTTTATTGTGAACATTTGAGATGTGCTCATCAATGCTGATTCTTTCTAACCCTGAAGTATAAACACAGCATTACAGTATTCCTTTAAGTTGGTCAGGGCTTCTTGACGTGTCGTGCAATGCATTAGTCTGTCATTAGCAGCCATGTTTGTATACACAGTAGCAATTGATTTTTAATGACCTCAGGGTATTAGCGTCCACAATCTTTTTTCAGCAATTTATTCTGTACCTAAAGTATATGTACAATACATGTACTGTATTACAGAAGCCTCGGCCTTTAACAAATTTCCACTTATTTCCTCAGTCTGCTTGTGGAGCATGAAATAACAATTAGGCTAAACTTGCACCCCGAAAGTACTCACCCTCTCTCCCTTTGGTCCTGCTGGCCCTGGAACTCCGGCTGGCCCTAGAAGACCCTAGAAAATAAGGGGAATATTACAGCTCACTGTTATCAAAGCCACAGTCATTCTCAACACAAACTAAATTGAAAAAGAAGGAAAGATAAAATTATTATAAAATCATACAATAGGTCCACAGCCAGTATTTATTTTAATATGAAATTCCAAAAACCATGGAAAAAAGAAATAGGATTATTCTGATGGTTTTCTTCCTGATATTGACTTGCAATTATATCATGCAAACAGCATGATGATCCTTATCCAAAAAAAAGACATTGATGGGAAAGTCTGTGGACCTAGAAAATGTAATTTGCAGTTTGCTCTTTTTCACCTTAATTCTTGCAGCATTTTCTTTTTTTAATTTTTTTCCTTGGGTGTATGGACATGCATCCGTAACCCAGCATGCTCCATTGACATGGAATCACGGTGTTCGTACACAAAGCTTTATGCTTCTGACATTCGAAGGAGGGAAGTCCCTGTTTAGGCACATCTCAGAAGTCCTCTTTTCAGCACAAGCGGAAGAACAACCTGTTGTAAAATGCATCCTTACTGGGACTGGTAAGCCAATACTTCATTCTGAGAATACTGCAGTACTTTATATTATAATTTTGCATTGGAGGACATGGATACGCTACATAATATTTCAGATTTTTTACCTAGTCCTTTGAATGAAGCAGGACTGAGTAAGTTTTCTGCCCAGTTTAAAAACAGCTCATGGTGTATATACAGTATTTGTTCCACATTCCACAAATAGACAAGATGCAGACACTTAATAAAGATACTTGTTTCTGTGTAGTGTAAAACAAAACCACCCATAATGCTCAGTGTGAACATCACCCCATTTACATCAGGCACTGGAGAAGAATCATGAACTGTAGGTAAACCCAGAGGTAGTGCCTAAACAGGGCTGTTTTTTAGACGGGAGGCACAGACACAAGCTTGGGAGGAAGCAGGCAGGCAGCCGGGCAGGCGGTAGGGACAGGAGAAGAGGAGTGATGGGTACTGGATGCATGCCACTCACCACTGGGCCAGGCCTGCCGTCTAAACCATGAGCACCCTGGACAATGTGTAAATAGTTAAAGCAGAGAGAAAAGATGAGGGGAGGGAGGGGGAAAGGGAGTGAGTGAAGCAGTGACTCAGGGACATATGCCTTTTTTAAAAAAAACAAACAACAAAACTGAACAAAAAAAACAGGTATTGATGAAAGGTGATGGTGTTGAGTGGTGATGAGGTAACAGTAACTCCTTTTTAATATGTTCATTAGAAAATTAGGAACGTTTTCCTAAATGTTTTGATGTTGAGAAAAAGACAGACAGCTTCACTATGAGACTTGGCCAGAGTAGCTTGTGTAATCTTTTATACATAATACATAGTACACAGTGGAAATATTTGTGAATATATGAGATTAGTATATTTCATGTAACAACTAAAACCTCATGAGTTCTTCAGCATGTGACTAAGTACTTACTGAGATACAGAAAGTACTTATACAGGAGCTTGTCTTTCTGTGAACCTGTAGAGGTCTGGTGTTTTGACAGAGTTAATTTTGTATTATAGCTTATACTGTAGCTATCACAGAAAACTATTTTCATTTACTCAGAAACACAACTTCCATAACACTCATCTGTTGTAAATTTCAGTCAAGAAAACCACAGAGCTAAAATGTGTTGGACAGACCACTGAGTATAAAATAAACTGTATCTGTATGTAGACAAATCTTTTTGCCAAAAAAGATACAGGGCTTAAAAGGAGTCACTGTGCCCTTAACAATGTGACTGTGTTTTTAATAACGACCAGTTACACCACAGGGATTAAAAAGTTATGAAGACATTTCTCTGGAATCTCTGGAAACAGCATGCTATTATATTATTAGACCCCACAGAAATGAATATGTGCATATTTGTATATGTTAAAAATTATGATAACTATAATTCCTCTGTTATATTACATTCTACACCTATAGGTTGTACTCTTTTATGTCTAATTGGAACATAAAAACAGTATGAAAGACATATTTCTTTTAAAACCCTACCTTCAACTCAATTACATCAGTTCGGTAAACTCATAGTACTTGTAAAGTAAACTTTAATCTTTGTTCTTAAATTGTTTAGGACTGAAAACTGATTCAGAAGGTGTAATTTGCAATAATAGACCAGCTTAGAAAAACTGGTCCAAAGTACTGAATTATGAGACGTTTCTGCATTGGCCCCATCTCCTAATAAGGATTGAGGTTTGCTTTAGGGCTTGCATATGAAAGGCAAGTTTTACTGCAATTGACCCATGCGTCTTAGTAAAGTAACAATCACAAAAAGACCAGGCAGTATGTGCAGTGTTAATGTAACTGAACACAAAAACAATCCATCATCTGATTTCAATGGGATTGAATACCCATCTATTGTATATCCCAGTCAAATTCATGTACTATACTGAAATAATACACTTACTAATAGCCTCTTATACATAACTTATAAATATTTCAGACTTCAAATCTTGTACAGCACAAGTAGGGCATAACGTATTTGAAAGAAAAAGATGCATTTTCTAATAACAGACTACACTGAAAAATGTGAAAAAGCTCTATAATACCTATTAATTATTACACAGTTATCAGTAGAGTCAAAGCTATTTGGAAGGAGAGTTAAAAAACCTAAATATTGTCCAGATTTACTGTAATATTGTGAGATCATTGTTTTTGTTGTATAAGACTGTTTTAGTTTGTTCAGAATGAAACTTGAAAACCATTTTTGAGGTCCACGACTGAAGTATTCATCTGAATTCATTGCTTAACCAAAAGGAAATAATAAGTCAATCAAAAACTCTCATGGAAACCCAGGACCTAGGAAACCCTTAAAGAAACTTGGAGCATGGCGTGTAAATACTCACAGGCAGTCCGAGAGGCCCTCTGTCTCCTTTATCTCCCTTTTGTCCCACATCTCCCTTAACTCCCTTGGTGCCATCAATGCCTGGCTCCCCCTGAGAGGACAGAAACGCAATGATTTTCCTGTTTCATTTCTCTGTGTTTAGTTAACGATGTTTCACAGCTGTGTCTCCTCCTACTCAGCATAATTGTCAAAAATGTCCATTTATATATTTTGTCCTATATTGTGGTTCACTTTTCACCTTTGTACAACCCATTGTTCCCATAGTTCCCTGTCTAGCACTTTCTTCATATTTGGATCCCTGTACAATTCAGGAAGGAAGAACAGACTCGCTCATACATGTGATCTGTAAGTTCTTATTCACTACTTCTTACTCTATTAACTGAAAACAAGGAGTATCAAACTCAAGCCTTCAAAATAATCTGGGTTTAATTGTAACTTCTGTTCTGAATAATTATTAGAACCATTTAATTGAATTGCTACATTTAACATTTTAAATCATCTTCATTGCCTTCTAGAGATCTAGATCAAGAACAAAAATGTTCTTGGCTGGCTTATATTTTGAATTTTGAGTGCTATGTAAAATGTTAATTAAACCAGTTTAGTAACTGGGCTTGGATTAAATGAAAGTCAGATTTCAGTGTGATTCTCTTGTAAGTGGTCTGGACTCCAATTCATTGAATTCAAAGTGCTAATCACTTGCAAGGCACCTTTTCTGTAACACTTACCTTTGGCCCTGACAGTCCAGGAGGTCCCTGAAAAGCATAACACAGAAATGAGAAAGGCTAATACAGTATGCAAGAATCGCATTTAGCACTGTTCCAGAATTATTTTTCACATGTCAAAGCATATTGCATCTCCAGAGTCCCAGCAACGGGATCTGCTCATCTTAGCACAAAGCAAATTAGGTACTGTATTTCAGTGGCTTATGAAGGCAAATGTCATAGAAATTACTACAACTGAGAAGACTATCGGTGGACTTTTACAATCTGTCTGTGCTTAGCATTATTATTACATACATACTGTACATCATTGAGAGAACACCTTCTTTTCTTTGTAGTAAACAGTATTGTCACAGCCACAGTTTATAGTCTAGGTGGGCTATTTTTGTTTAAGCAGCTTTCCTACTGTAAACCAACATGCCAGGTTTAACTCATCCGTGCAATAACAAAAAGTAGACGTTGTTTGCATTTAAATATCACTTTCCCATCTCAAAAGATTCCAAAGCAATTTTCATATGGGGGGGTGCAGCAGTCACTTACTTACAATGACCTCATAGACAGATCTCTGTTTACTGCAGGACTGTGAAAAGTAGTACATCAGTGAGGAATTGGTTTATAAGACCCTCAGTGTATTGGCCTTGTTCTGCTCTATACCAGGAGAGGGAAGGAGAACTGTACTCACCGCAGGGCCAACTGGTCCTTGAACTCCTGGGGGCCCAGGAGGTCCAGAGACCTAAAACACACAACAATCATGATAATCATATCTGTAAAACGATGTCAAAGAAACTGCTGTTATGAGAAAAGCTAAAGCATTTTCATTACCAAAGTCTGACATTTTTTTGCTGTCTACCTGAATTTTCACTTGTCCATCTTTTTTGAAAAAAGCAGTTCATGCTCATATTGGATGCTCATAAAATATGCAGGGCTTGGATTTCTGGGATGAAATTTATAAATTTTTACGTAAATACCGATCATACATACTTTTTCAATTTCTATTTAATACACCAAACATGCTGCATACTGAATTAGTACTATTTTAGAGGTACTGTATTTGTGTAATTTGTTTGGCATAAATACTGCGATAGGATTTGACAGAATTTACATAGACAGTATCTGTAGATAACTTTCTCTTGTGTTTTTCATATGTCTTAAAAGCATTCCTTACCATATCTCCCTTCTCCCCTTTCTGGCCAGATTCACCTTTTTGACCCTGAATCAGAGAAACCCAGGTGAAAAGACTTCCGGTACAAGTCCCTTACAGTGTCCTACAGTCCTACAGTGTCCACAGTTACAGGTGAAAATATGGTCCATCTTCACCACATACGACAGAAGCCTGATTTTCCTTTTATATATCTCCCATCCCAGTACTAACTAGGCCCAGTCTTTCTGAGCTTATAAAACTAGAAGAAGTCTGGCTAGAGATTTGGTCAAATATGGCAAAACTGATTGGTGAAACTATAAATACTCCAAACATGATACAGTACAAAACTTTCAAAATATTTTGCAAGTCAACAATCTTTGGGATTGGGATAAAAGTACACTTTTATATTCAAATATTTCAATTTGTAATATGAGGTCAATATAAATACTATCCAGGTACTGTACTTTATACATGGATCCAAATATATATTTATGCAGAAAATTCCCTTTTGAGGAATAAGACTGCCTGACTTTTATGGAAAATGCCAGAGCTACAGTATGACCTCACCAGGCAGATAATCCACTATTTCACCCCCAACACTGATCTCTCTGTTTGTCCTTCGAAACTCTTATGCAAGAAAAACTTCATATTCACAAATTCTCCATGCACTTGTCGGTGGGCTATTCCTATTTTTTCTCTATTTTAAGTGCTTTTTAGTTAAGAGATTGCGGCCTTTAACACTTCCCCTTGGATTTAGTCTCATTTTTCCTTGATTTCAAAATTTCTCACATTTTGTTGCTTGTGCTCTCTTCCATCCCACTTCTCTCTCCCCTTTCCCTGCCCTGTCCCTTTAAAAGATTTTGAAGATGAGGAAGAGGACTCCATAACTGAAATATTGTGCATTTTATTCATTCCTTTTATTTGCCAGTGTGCAATTAAGGTCTGCCTGTTCATTTAAAGCCTGCACTGTTGATCGCATGGCCTTCGGGCTCTGCAGAGTTGTTGAATACAGTATGTTAAGAATTGAACCTGAGATCGGTCACTTAGACCTCAAATAACCCCAATTAAATCTGTATTTAGTCATGGAAAATTCATACAGTTGACATGCTTAAACTTTTTTTTTCCTGTAATGAGGCCTGTAATGATAGATTTCAGTTCCACCTAACCTTCATTATGTTTCTAAGGATCTCAAGATCAAGAACTGCAAAGTGAACTTGGACTGTTGGGTAGAGCCCTTTCTCAAGTTTCTGTGACGGGTTTCTTTGCAGCCAATACTGGATAACTACTGGTGTTCACAATGAAACTGACAAACTGTCATAATGCATAATCCCATGTAAAAAGCAAATGAATATAGAACAAAGTATGGGGTATACCAGTGAGCCCGACAATCCTATTGGACCTGGTGGACCGGCATCCCCTTTCTCTCCAGTGGGACCATCCAAACCCTAAAACAATAAAGACAAATCTTTGTGTCATGAATTGAAGTGTATAAACGTTCAAAAATAATTTTAAATAAAAGTTAAACTGAACCTAGTCCTGTTGTCATGTTGTTTTCTACCTCTTTTCTTGTCATTTAAAAAAAAATCTCTGTAGAACAGAGAGCAAACACAATTAATACTATGAGAAGTCCTACATTTTAAGGTAGGGAGATGTACATATTGGCTGTACAGACCCTGCTTTCCTACATCATACTCTAACTGCTTCAGGCAATCCGCCAAATAAGATTATCCTACTTCTCAGGCTTAGTGCTTCAGACACTGTCTGATGTCCCTGAAAGCGAACACAGAAGGGAATGTTGTTAAATTGAAGCTGATCACCACCAAAACCACTTTGCTCACCTGCTTGTGGCACAAATAAGATCAATGTGGTGTTCACTGTATGACCATAGCCAAAAAATAGCATCTGGTTATGAAACTGATTTTGTAAACTGTACTGTACAGTATTTCTTTTTTTTCAAACTACGTATCTCTCACGTCTTCCTACGACAAAGCCTACACTTCTGCCCTAAATTTAAGTTAGTAGCAGACGTGGAGCAAACTAACCAATAAATCTCACAAAGATTAAACATTGAGGTGTATGTCTTTGCTGCAGAATGCTTTGTACAGCATTTCAAACCCAGAGCGCTGTGCTTTTATTCACTCACTGGCGATCCAGCGGGGCCTGTCTCTCCTTTCTCTCCTTTAGGTCCAGGGAAGCCCAGGAGTCCGTTCTCTCCCTTAGGGCCCTCAGGGCCTGCAGGCCCCACGGGCCCTGGATCTCCTGGTTTCCCTCGGGGGCCCTGGGACACAGACAAAGATGATCAGGAACAGCACAGGCTGCAGGCCAATGCTACCATCCTATGCAGTGTATAAACTCAAGGAAAACAGGCTGCTGATGAAAGTGGTGTTGGTGGAGCAGCAGTGGTACACTCCTCTCCGTATGATGACTGGGGAATCTGTGCTGTATGGAGTTCCATCCTTTGGATGAGATTTTGAACCAGGATTTGCTCTATATGGAGTCATTAATGACCCTGCAGCCCTGTTCGGAGTTATATGTGCGTTAACTGAGAGGTCTTGGCTAAATTTCCCCTTTAATTTCACCAACCGGTGAAATTATTTCTTACTCATAATTTCAAAGGACATTTAATTACTTTTCAATAGAGAGAAGTCAAATTTTGAAATTATTTTTTTAAGTCTGCGTCTATTTGGTGAGGATTTTTCAAAGTCACAGATTCAGATAGCCAGGTAGAGAAGGGCAAGATAGTAACCGTGCTTCACAGTGAATGTTAATTACCTTTTCACCATCAAGACCCGGTGGGCCAGGTAATCCTACTTCACCCTGTAACAACACAAGATCTTTAAAACACGCTGTTTTAAAAACATGTAAATCTGGGCTGTGGGAGAGAACTACACAGTCTGTGCTGATAGGTTAAGTGCTCTGTTAATACAGTACGTGCTTAAGAATTAGGCTTACGTTAAATTGAAATGCATATAACTTCTCATCAATTTCAGGTGCTTGTTACTGTAATCCTTTGATAGGTCATATATTTAAAAACTGAAAAAAAATTCAATATATATTTTTTACTTTTTTTATTTAGCCATTTGGCAGTTAATTGATCCTCAACTGCAACACGGTAATGTGGCAGGGCAGTGACAACCCAGCAGGACAGTTTCATACAGTACCTACTGCCACAACTCCCAAAGTGGTCCTAACTCTAGTAAAGAAAAAAGTATAGTATGTGATTTCTGTTCCTAGTATTGAATGAACTTCCTCCTAGTTTCCATTTACTGTATGTTCTCTTCTTGGTGTTTTACTGTGTTTACTAATCTGAAGAAGTCCACCGGGTTAACTTTGTCACTACCTTTGAGGATTCTGATTCGACCCATAGTATTTCATCGTTCAAAACTAGAAGTTCCATTTTTGTAGACCATCAGTGTAGGAAATTCCTTTAAGCACAGGAGGAATATATGTGGTTGCTCTTCTCTGGACTTATTTGAAGCTACAGTAATATCTTTAATTAATGTGGAGACTAACATCGTATACAATTGTCTAAATAAGATCTAGCACATTGTGCAATTCTCGCACATCATTACTTGATTTCAATTGTTAACTATCTATATTGCTTGCCTTTTTTAATGTTCTCCCACTTTGTCAGGAAGATGTATCTTCATTAGCATAAACACTCTTTTTCATAAGTAGTCTTTTCTAGCTCATTGTTTTGCATTGTATATATTGTAAATATTGTTTTTGCTACTTACTTATAGATGCTACTGCTACTGCTAGATGCTTTCACAATCTTTTCATTGTAATTTGATTAAAAAATGAATTTCATTTGTTGCTTCTAAAGAGTTTTTTGTCCCAATTTGGTTCTGTCTGCAAACTTAACTAGTTTCCAAACTATACCAGAATCTAGACCTATATTAGGAAATGCAGTGTCCTCGTACAGATACCTGTGATCTTGACACCAACTAATTCCCACAATTTGAGCATTCATCTATACTGTTTTCTATTAACCAACTTTTAATCCAGTCACACATTTACTCACCTGTAAATGAGCATTATTTTTAAGAGGAACTTTATCCTGAGAATACTGAACATCTTAATACATTTTTACTATATAAACATGTACCTTTAAACATATTAACATAAAAAAAATACTTAAACGCTTTATATAAAAAGCCTGCTCCCTTACCTTCACACCTGGGGATCCTGGAGGCCCTGGGGGACCAGGGGGACCCTTAAACCCAATAAAATGTAGGCTTAAAACATTGCAAAGACCTCACAGCATGAAACATGTGATTTTTAGTTTTAGTGATTTTAGTTTATTTGACTGTGGTTAACCCAAGATGGATTGCTCCAGATCCAAAACTATTTGGTTAAGTGCCAGAAAATATGTTTGTAGATCCATATATTGTAAAAATATACAAACAAAGTTAATCATATACCACAGATCTCCAACTCTGGTCCCAAAAAAGACCAAATACAGTTTGTCTTATTCTCTAAGTCAACTTGCATTACCTTTTTTTAAAGATTACGAGCTCCTGTTGATCCATTATGCAAGTAATTTGTTCAAATTAAGGGAACTGGACAAATTTAAGTGTGTTTTTTGACAGCTGATGGGTCTTTCGTTTCAGACATTCAACTGTTTAACTAATCATGGTTAAATTGTTCCACATCTTCCAGAATAAGTGAAACCTCAAATATCATTCCATAAATCATTGAGCTAAAATATTAGAACTTGCAGCTGTTGAAACTATGGAGGTATTATTTATAAAATACCTCAAGACATTTCAGGGTAAATTTAAAGATTTTATGCACTGTATCATGTTTAATCAAATCATATTAAGGTTTTGTGGGTTGGATGCATCCCCAGTACAATGTGGGTTACAATCAGTTTTCGGGTTGTTATAATAGTACAGAAGATCCATGTCCTATTTTTAAATATCCATTATAATGCATGGGTGCTGCATTAAACAAGAACAACACCAAGAATACACATTTATCCTGTGATTACATTACTTTTATCCTGTTAGGTGGATGAAATTAAATCATGTTTATCACTGTGAAACTAGAACTATAATAAATACTACTTTTCCATCATGTTTATTCTCAAAGAAAACCATTTTAGCTTTGTGTCACACAAAGCTAAAATGCCCAATTTTAGCTTTGTGTGACACAAATTCAATAACAGGCCCAATTGATCACTTTAAAGTGTTCTAAGCTGTAAATGCTGTTTTGAAACTTCCAATATGTTACTTCAGTTCTATTAAAGCCAGATTTTGAATCTTTGAATGAGATAATTGGGATTATCTCATAGGCAGTAATGAAATTACATTGCATTCATACCATCTATGGTACAGGCTGTATCTTTTGGAAAAAGATAAAAAAAAAGCTTGCAAGAATAATAATTGAAAAACTACCACCATTTTGTAATAATACTTTAAAATTCTAATTAATTTCACTGTTACTTTGATCACAGGTTCACCAATTTTGATAGTGCAAACTTAAAGTGTTTGAAGCAAGGTCACTTTTTGTGTATTAGGTAGATTTTATACACCTACCTGCAGCTTCTCATTGAAGTTTCCATTGTAGTCAAAGCTTTCTGATTTCCCAGGCTCCCCCTTCTGACCTGGAGGACCCTGTGGAGCAGCAGAGTCGCAGAAATCACTAATTGGTTTTATAAGCTGTTAGCTGTTCCTTACGTCGAATATCTTTGAATTGGATTTAGCTGTCTTTTCTTACCTTACAAAGTAAATTAAATACTTGTAGCTTTAATCATGTTTAGTCCCTGAATGGCGTAAATAGAGCACAATGTGCAGACTGTCTAATATCACAGCAGTGTCCTGAACATTATCCCTCTTCATCCCTGCCTTAACCAACATCTGCTCTTTTACTATTTCTAATCGTAAAAGGCAAATGCAATAAGTTACTTGGTGACATTTATTTTTAATTGCCCCTGTGACTGGCATGGATCAATCTTGTAATGATTACTTTTAGTTTATAACTCCAATGGCTGGGCACGTAACAGTAGGAATGACTTATATTTTATACTGTTGGTAACTTAGTTCCTGCAGCATGTGAAAACAGAATGTAAGAGTAGTGTAATCCTGCCTCCCGGATGTATTTTAGTGCCAGGCAAAAGAAGTACTAAAACAACATGGCCAGTAGTAACAAAACACAGATCACACTTACTCTTGGTCCAGATGGTCCCTCTGATCCATTTTCACCCTAAAAGTAATAAGTGAGATGCAGAAAAGTCATTAAACATTCTCGTGTGTCTGAATTCATTTTAATACTTGCTAAATTAACATGATAACAAAAATATTCAGTTTTTACCAAAAATGGGTTTAAAAAAAGTTTTTCATCCTGTCTCCAAGGTTCAATATTTCTGTGCCTAAGTTACATTACTCGATTCTCAATTAAGACAGCTAAAATATATTTACAGTATATCACAGATTTGTCCAAGTTATTGGCTGAAATTTGGACTTTTTATTTTTAGGGGCTTTAAAGGAGTAATGGACTGTATCTGACTCAACCACTGCACCAATGCGACCGTTAAATAAGCTTATGTTGGCAGAATCATAGCTCACCAGCATATCATCCTCCAGGACCACTCAGATGTACCCAATTACATTAAACAAATGCCCTCAAACCCATATCCTGAACTGTGACTTTCCATGGAAGCAAAACTTGAACTGGGCTCATACACTAATATAGATTACTAATATAGATACTAATATACATTAACATATAAAAGTCAGTGGGCTTCTTAAATCTTGTTTTTAAAAGCCTGTTTTATCATTTATGAAAAGCATGATTCAAATCTAAGCATTTATGAATGTCATGCGTCCCCCTATTTACTAAGTTAGTAGGTCAAGTAGAGGTAAATCTCCTTTATTCTTTGTTGAAGATACAGTATGGTCTAAACATTTACAGTACATTAATCATGCAGCTCATTCCCTAGAACCCAAACACTGCGAAGGCAATCATATCAGAGAAGCACTCACCTTGGATCCCTGGTCTCCTTTATCACCCTAGAAATAAGGTACAATGTCAGGTGTGTGCTGCTTCTGTGGTCACTATATAATTATTATTTCTATGTTAGAGAAAACAGTTAGTATCCTTAGTGTTTTACTGGGATTTATGATAAAAAATGATTAGAAAATACTTGCATCCTTGGATTAGCATACTGTGCCCTCCATCACTGTACTAATGGTATGACTTTACAACTCCCCCCAGTAGGGCGGTGATGTCTTCTATTGAGTTCCAATTCTAAATACTGATTAGCACGGTCTTATAAGATCATTTATAACAAGATTACCAGTTACTTTTACTTCTTCAAGATTATACCTTTAAACTGTGCTGTACAGCAGTCCCTGAGTTTTGTTTCTCTGTGATAGTAAAGCGAACTAGTAAAACTAAGCGAAACAAAACTACAGCACATACCTTAGGCCCTTCAGGGCCCTGTGGTCCCGGAGGACCTGACTCCCCTTTCATTCCATCAGCTGCTGTGCCAGGGTCACCCTTTTCCCCCTGTGCGAAATTCAGAGAGAAAGAATTGAAGGTAATACATCTACTATATATTCATATACAATATCAAAAACCCCTGCCTGTTGATAATATTGACAAAAAGTATCTAAATCTTAGGTCAGTGTAGAAAGATGTTTCAATCTATATGGAAATTTTGTAATGATTATTGAACATTTACTTTATGCTTCCAGAATTGACTATATCAACTAAATACATTGTCTTCTTTCTTCTTAGTCCACTCCCACATTTGATTGGATTCCTTATCTAGTGTGCAATTAAAGTTGCACTCAAGAGCACTTCCATTGAATGTTATAAAATAAAATGCAGTCTTCCCTGCCCTGCTTTTAGTTTTAAAGGAAAACACAGAATGACTTGTTCTCTTGCATAAAAGTCATTATGACATTTTCCATGAGAACAAAATAACCGCATCAGGGTTTGGGAAGAGATGTATCACATACTGGGAGTCGGATATCAGATAATTGTTGTACATTTTCTAAAGCATTAAGACTGTCTATTATAAAGGATTCATATAGACGTACTGTATGAACTCATACATTCATCTGTTTTCAGTCTTATCCTTAGAGAGCTGCATGTGAGTTGGACTCTAGCCCAGCAGGTATTGGGAGGCAGGAGGGAGTTTGAATGGAATGCCAATACATTGTGGGGCACATACGGTATGCATGGGTGGCCATTAACATATGCTAATTGCATTGCACCAGGACAGCATGTCTCTGGACTGTACTTACATGGAAAAGATGCCAAATTACTCCATATTATTTGATAGTTTCTTGACAGATTTTGGAAGAAAATTTATCCAACTTATAAATGTGCAAATGTCGAGTTAACTTGGAGGCAAGAATTGCCTCTTCTTAAAAATAACAAACCAACAAACCATTTCAGTTTCCCACTTCAGACTGCAAATATTTTGGAAATTGATCAGATCCTATTAAAATGTGTTTTCTGGCAAGCATGTATACAGTAGATAATCAATAAGCTATCATATGTGTATATGAACCTTTTAGTAAAGAAGAACAGGAAGAAGAAAATTACAAACAAGTTCTTTGTTACATACAGTAAGATGGCAGAACTACCAAACAAGAAGGAGATCCTTATCTGGACTACATTCCCCATAATCCAGTGGGGATTTGAGCATCCCGCCCGTGGTCACCTGACCACTTCTGAGAAGATGATTGGTCAGGTGATCATTTAAAAAGCAGGAATCAGAGGATTTGCCATCTGGAGATCAGATCCTGTGTGTGCAAATTCACAAAAGAAGGGAAGAAAGTGACTAAAGATGGAACTGTAAGTTTTGAGAGGTGAGGAAGTAGTCCCCTAAATATTCATACGCAGGCTGCAAATCTGCTCATCAACCTCCCAACAAGCCTTTTCTCAAAATTCATAGTTCCTGGTTGGTACGGTAGCTTCCCCCTGAAGAGTTTGCACACAAGATCTGTTCTCTGTCCCCAAACCACAAACTAGCCTCAACTAGCCTCTGCTTCCTGGTGTTTAAATTACCACCTGACCAATCATCTTTTTCAGAAGTGCAGTATCTTATTCTCCAAAGGATCTCGCAGAACTTTCTGCCATCTGTTGATACATGATATACATTAAGATTAATCATGTACATATTTAGAATTTGAATCGGTGAGCTCAAATCCAATCCCAGAAAACAACAACAAGCCAACCAAACTAAATATTTCAGAAGCAATTTCCTATGAGCAATCAATAAAAGGCAGGTACATGATTATCGTGGTAACAGTTAAATGAAATGGAGAATATTTTACATCTGGGGATGTTTGAGCAATGCCGTGGCTCTTTGTTGCACAGTGTCGAATATCATAAAACATGGGTTTGAAACAGGTCTCCAATGAAACAGCTTTAAAATCTTGGCAAGAAGAGGCCATGCAACTGAGTTTCTCAGCTTGGCAGGAAACCCACAAGGAATGGCACAACAGCTTGGCAGATATTAACCAATTTGCCTCACCACAACACAGGAACCCTTATTGAGGAGGCACGTGACATGATCAGAAGATCATCTCTTCTTTGAATTTTATTTTCATGCAATTACAGATCATAGAAGAAGCTAATTAAAGTGAAAGGAGGTATCTATTGAAATATGGATACTGCAAGGAAAATGCTGGTCTTCAGCACTTCAGATTGCTTCAGTGTCAGGGTGAGATGATGAACTTGACATTTAACACTTAAAATGCAGACATACAGAGGTCATTATTGAAATGGTACACTTATCTGGGCACAGTGACTACACTGATTTATGAAGCATGGCTTTCATGCAGTGTTGATTGGGATGTGGGTACAACAATGAAAACATGTGCATGCAGTGCGTGGCAAACATCATGCCCACACCAAGCGTCCTACCCTATAACCTCTCTTGCCAGGAATACCAGGGATTCCAGCTTGACCCTTTACACATAGGAGGGAAAACATACAGTTACTCCATTTAATGTGAGAATAGTTCTCAACTCGTTATTTTAATTAATTAAATTATTTAAATTCAGATGACTGAGTTTGTTTAATGTATATTTAATATATGTGCCCCCCCCCATTATATTATTCTTCATAAATCCCATGAGCTGCAAGTACAGTATATTTCCCTATATTGTAAGATAATATATATTGTAAGCCTGAAACAAACACCTACCCCATTTACAGTTTATGCTGATTTTGGACTTTCAGAATTAAAAAAGGGAACTGGAAGGCTGTTGCAGTTACCAAAAGATTCCCAGCTGCACCAGAGTTTTTGGGGTATTATAGTAATGTGGGTGGGGCCGAGATAGCTGAAGGAAAATTCCTCGGTTTTAACATTTTCATGTGCAAAATCACAGTTTTTAAAGGCTTCCAAAGCTGCAGACCAGTTTTCCTTGATCCTAAAACCCAGATTCACAAGCCAAATTACACACCTGCAAGACAGCTAATGAATAGGCAACAGTACTTTAAATTGCAGAATAACCTCCATGGGAGTTAGCTTGCCAGACAAAGTAACACCTCCAGTTAAAAACCCACACGGTGTTGCTCTATTGTGTGAAAAAGCTAACTGTAGGGAACACCAAGTATAAAACACAAATTTCCTGCATACGCTACAATATTTACCAAAATTATGTGGCCAGATAGTGCACCATTAAGGCGCTGCATAGCCAAGCTTCCATTATTCCAAACACAGTTTTGCTTTGCCGGTATTTACCAAGGATTGTACTGTATTAAAGACTCAGATCTTGACTTAGATTTAGTTTAACAGGATAATTAATCTGATCGTTAATCCGGTAAACATTTTAACTTTCTCCATAGTCAGGATTAGGACTTTACCTTACTTCCAGGTGCTCCAGAAAAACCTGGCTCTCCCTGAATGGAGGACGTTAAGAGAAAGAGGATAGAAAAGGAGAGAAATGAAACATCAAAGAAAGGAGAAACGAGCCTTGAAGTAGAAACACTGCTGCATGGAAGTAATCGACTAATTAGGAGTCCTTTCACAAGATGAATGAGCTATTTTAATAACCTGAACCACATGCCAAATTACATTAAAACACCTCTCATTACACACAGAATAGTTTTCCTCCAGAGAAATGCATGCCTACACTATGTGTTTAATAGAAAAAAAACCATCAAGAAATCACAATGTTAGTACCAATAGCGTACATTAGCATGCTGAGCTGTTTCGAGGTGACAAGAGCAGGCTACATTAAAACAAATCAGGGAATGTGCTGATTTCACTTGTTAGAACATAGACGTTCTAACAAGTGAAATCAGTATACTTATGCTACAGTATGTTCTTGTTTTATACAGTCTGTTTCCTTTTAATGAGGCAATCAATGTGCATTGCTTTAAACTGACAACTACAATAATTGCCAATTGAAGAATGTTAACAGGAGATGTCTAAATTAATTTCGATATAAATTCAAGGAGTTCCACCAAGAATTGGTTCAAATAATTCTTAAGTACGTGTAAGCCCCGCATTTGGGAAATGTTCATTCCTGTTTTTATACATAGAAAACAACGGAACATTTTGATATATAAAAAATATACTGCCAGAAAAAAATTATATTTGCTAATATTTCAGTATAGTTCTTTAAAACATCTTTTTAACCACTCTGGATAACTTCAGCTATAACCGATCCTTCAAGCAAGTACTCTTTGTTTGTCTTGCCCAGTTAGCCAGAAGAATGGGTTCCTTTAAACTCCTCTGACACATGCTGGTGCCTTAGTCCATGCTGCCATCAGCTCTGTCTTCCCTCCACTTAAATTGTAATATGTAGACAGGTTAGATACACATGCTCACCATGAACGATCTACTGCCACAGCTGCTACTGAGGACTCAAGGTCATAGCAGAGGAACTGCACAACCAGAATCCCATACACTGTTTGCATTCATTTAATTAATTGAGCTAACTGAGACCACATTTAATCAAAAGGGTTTAATTGAGGACTATACTATTTAATCCTTATGATTAAAGTAAGCATATATGTGTAATTTGCAGTTCATAACTTAGTGTGCTTATATTTAAATTGTTCTCTATTGGATTTTCTAGTGCAGGGGTGGCAAACCCTGGTCATGGAGAAACACAGTCCAGACGATCTTATACAGTAGGTCCCCCTTCAATGACCAAGTTGTAAAGTCTTGGAGCACTTTGATCAATTTAGTAACATATTCAGTTAAGAAAGAACTGGCCAGCTATGGTCCCTGAGAGCTATATGGTGTTGGTATTTCATGTCAATTTATTCTTAAACCTAATTAGACCAAATTAAGAAGATGAAACACACATTTTGATATAAGTTATACAACAATTTACAATTTGTCGATTTGAGGGTTGTCCTTAAAACCTGTTGGATTGTGGCTCTTCAGGACTGGGTTTGGCCAGGATTCCTGCAAGTATCTTTCCTTTAACAGACTCCCGATGGGCAGGGGAGTTCAAAAGATAGATGTAGCGAGCAGCTCTGAGAATGATTCAAGATACTGAAAAGGTGGAAAAAGGCACACTGTGTTTCAGTAATTCATTGCCATCCTTGCAGTAAAAGGATCATAAAAGAAGATGCACTGGATTTTTACAGTCAGAAAATGATGGTTATAATGAAATATAAAGCACATGATTAAAAACTATATAATCCTATTAAGCACCTATATACATTTAACAATACAGAATGGAATTAAAAAAAATAGAAATCTTTCTTATTTTTATTTCGATACACTAAAATCTAAATCTAAGGCCTATAAAAATGAAAAAAAGAGGAATCTGTTATGCATCTTAAATTAATATAATTTTTTAAACTTTAATTCTAGTACATGTAGCATATTTCACAAATCACTGGTAGTTTGTAGCTATTAGCCATTGCAAAAAAGTGTGTACAGGAAATTAAAAGTAGCAGTCAGTATTTTTTCAAGGGATTATATAATCAAGTAAATCCTTATACATAAGTTACAAGGATAGGAATTGCATGAATTAAATAAATGGTACCTGGAAGAAAAATTATTGGAGTCCTGCTACAGCAGCTATGAGGAATGGGTCACTTCACAAAGCTTTTTTATTGTTCTAAGGTTATCCCACAATAATAATCTAAATATTTAAAATCAGATATATAATATATATATATATTTAAAATATATTATATAATCTATAAATATAATACAGATGTAAAATTTGAACAACTGCCACAATATTATCAATTTGGTCTTGTGTACGACCAGAGTAGCTTCATGTTCATAATTGCCATTCTCATTAGTGAAATTATACCTTATCTTTATGTAAAGTGCAATAAGCTTGTAACAGATAGAATAGCCCAGGGAACACACCTGTGATTATACTGTGAGAACAACGCAAATAATAGAGCCCTAGATAGTTTTTCCAGATATGAAGATAATTTACAGAATCCTGGGAAATAAGGGGGATAATTCCTTTTGCAAGAGGATTTGAAGGTCAGAGACAATACCAAGGAGGGAATTTACTGTAAGGAATACTTCTGTTGATCCTTGGTGATGAAACCTGATCTCACCCATTTGGACTGTATCAATATTTTTATGACCTGAAGATTCAGAACTAAATAAATAGGAGCTGATAAGCTCTAATACTGACACGTCTATTGTGCTCTTTAGAGTTAAACAATTTTACCATAATGCACTTGCTTAACTTTTCAGAACAATAGAAATATATTTGAATTGGATGAAATGAAGCAAGTAAAATATGATACTGTATCTTTGATTAAACAATATCAATTCAACAGTGTGGTTATGGCTGCTGTCACATCATCCAGGTGGATGCTGCAACTTGGTGGTGGTGGAGGGGAGTCCCCATTACCTGTAAAGCGCTTTGATTGGAGTGTTCAGAAAAGCGAAACATAAGTGCAAGCAATTATTATTATTATTACTACTACTCTTAATTTTGTAGTTGCTAATGATATGCTAGGCAACACTGTTTTTACTTATAGTAGTTTCACAGGCCAAATACATTAAGAATGTATATGACCACAATAATAATTTTAAAATAAAATAAATTATTACAAAATAATAAAATAATATAATACATTTAACATTTTATTTAAATGAAATTTCTGACCGTAATTGCAGGGTGCCCATTATGGATGTTTCTAAACATTATCGCACTATTCTTCCTTGATAAACCTTTCACAATTGACTGCTGTTCTATGCAGCTCTATTTGGAATGGCAGGTCAGTCTATGGGTGAGACCAGGCTCCGATGGCCACACAGGACACCGTTAATGTAACGGGTGAGGTGATTCAGGGGCAGGAGTGGGAAGGAAAGGGATCACTCTTGTGGAGTACCTTCACTCCTTGTTTCCCAGGCATCCCGGGCATTCCCCTTTCTCCCTGCAACAACGCAAAGACAACGGCATTTTTAGCATTAAAAGACAAAGCTGATGGCTATGGCTCTCTTAGTGAAATCATGAAACCGACCAAACGTCATGCTACTGTGCACCCTCATGGAGCCCAGAATCAAGACTGGTGCTCTTCTTGCCTTGATCATTTCTGGCCTTATTATGTGTTTGCTGCTGCCAACGTTATACGGCTGAAGCACAATGAAAAAGGTGAGGATAAACAAGAGACCCAGACCCTTATTTTTAATGTTGAAAGATCCAGGTGGGCATACAGTAAAAAGAGACTCTTCAGTGCTGTTTCTTCTTCATTTTCAGCACTTTTCACTACAAGCTGATTACTTAAATGGTAAAAAGGTTGTATTAATATTATTAGAATTAATAGATTTCCAAATATCATTTAAGATGTTTCACTATGTCTTGCAGTAATACATATATACAGTATAGATAAAATCAGTTGCCATTTCTCTGTGTTCATGAGGAATAACCTCACCCAATAAGAAAAGGCATTTTGGAATGTTTTTTCCGGTGTCGGGTATAAGAAACCTTGGCTTAACCCTGCTTCTCTGAGGAACAACCGCTTGTCTGTAGGGCGAGAACATCGGGACTCCTCTACAGAGAGACAAACCGAAGGGCAGCCGCCAAGGCGGAGACATGGGCGAGGGGGATTGCAGATAGTCGAATGTGAGCAGGAGAGAGAAGCTTACTATGGTATTTATAGCTTTTCAGGCCATGATGTCATGGGGAATTACAAGACAGAGTAGCAGAGGTGACCGTGACCTTGGTTCCACCATTCCTCCCGAACTGTTGTTATACGCTCTCTGTAAACTTCTAATGGAAAGCAAACCTAAACTCAAAAACTTCTTTTTGAGAACTTAAAATAAAAATCAAGTCAAATATTACTGAAAAGACTATAATTAGCTGTGTCAGACTAAAGTGTTATATAACAATGGGCTGTTGTCTTCCTTAGTCAGTTAAAAACTTTACTGTGGCTCAAATTGACAAAATAACCTCACCAGTAACTCATTGAAGGATAAGGATGAACTATACAGTATTGGTATAGATGAGAAAAACAGGAAAGAAGGCAAAAGTCAAGTTCATTATAAGTAAAGAAACCTATTTCTAATATAAAACTACAAAATTGAAATGAATTTGTTCTTAGCTGATCAGAAACTCTAAACAAAAGTTTTAAAAAAAGAAAAGGCAATACAAATCATTGGTTTTGTCCTTAAATACTCCAAGCACAACAGACTGAGGCATGATGAAGAGTTCTACAAAGAACAGCAAAAAAAGGAGGAACACACCCCCCACTTACTTTATGAGTTTTTCTTCACGGGGGAAGAAAAGGAAGTGATAAAAATTGAAAGGTGCCTCTGAAAACACGCGATTCCATAAAGACTGAACAAAGAGCTGCGTGATGGATGGGCGAAACAGCTCTGGCAGCCAGTCAAATGGCAGAGGGCTTGAGCTTGCAGCAAGTGGATTTCCAGACTCGCGCTGCTTGAGGACTGAAACAGGTGCGAGCTCTGCCAGAGCAACAGCGCCCATCTGACAGCGCGCCAGTCCAAGCTGCGTCCTGCCCAGCTGCTGCCCCCGGCACTTTCACACCAACCTGTCAGAAGGGATTGAGTGTCGCCCTTCCCGGAAGATGAAAGGACTGCCTCTTTCAGGCCGAACTGGAGACGAGCAGGGATGACTTTGGTTTAATCGAAGTGATTTCAAAGCCAGAGCCTTGGCTACAGCAGAATAATTTGCACAAACAGGAAAAGGAAACAGAGCCCCTTGATCCTGGGCTCTCATTTCATTGCCACACGAACCCTTTTTCCCCATCAGCTACACTTCAGCAGATCAGTACAATTTACACAGAGCAATGTTCTTGAGCTGCAACCTGCCTAGATCCCCTCATCCAATACAGAAAGGATTTTTTTTGCCATGTTTTCTTGCAGAATAAGAGGTATACAAAATGGTCTCATTGAGAAACCTGAAAGTTGCATACAGTAATTTGCCTAAAACTGCTGTCATCAAATTTAAACTGGAAAATTAGTTTCAACAGTTGCTATTTAATATACATGGAATTTCTAACAATCATTTTCTTATCCATACTACAATAATACTTTTTTCACATACTGTTCTAAAAGTCTTTTTTCTTTGTTCGGCATTTCCTAATTTTATCACCAAGGAAGACCAATACATTTGAAAGACTTTAAGCTGTCATCCTCATATGCTACAGCATCAGCTTCTTGTGTCTCCCACTACAAAAAAATACCAGGCATGGCAGCCGTATTCAATGGTAAAAAAAAAAGATGTGTTTGGAAGAAAAAGGCTAAAGGTGTAACCTTCTGACTTTATAACTTTCTAACCTTTTCTAACACTGCCATTTCCTAAGTTCACCAGCAGAGGGTAATAAAGTATTACCAAAGGCAGTAAGATGTGCAGTAGTGCTTTGCATCTGTGCAAGGTTAAAATGTTGCTTAAATGCTTACTACTGTATCTAGAATTTTGGAGGGCATTGTGAAGACAACTGTAATGTAAGCACAGCAGTTAAAGGAATCTATGGATTTGCACAGCATGTATTGACATACTATTCTGTGATAAACAAAGATGATTTGGCTCCAAGGCTAAAAATATCAAAGGCCAAACAGTGTTTGGACTTGTAAAAATCCCACTTTTCAAAGCTGCTTCACTAAGGTTTTCGTGCTGTCGTGCTATACAGCAGAGCACAGGAAGAGAATGCCCTGGGTATCACAGCTAGTGTCCCTTGACACTTCTGTCAGCTTTTGGCAGACAAACCTCTTCCACCTTTCCTTTGGTACATCCTATTATGAATTCTTAACCTCTGTCTTCAGCTTTCTCTGCCTGTAGCAGGAGATGTTCTTATCTGTTTGCACATCCTTTGTTTTGTTGATTTATAAATTACCAACTGTTTAAAAACTGTTTCACTTAACCAATGAATTACTGTACTGGGACAAACATCATAACACCCAGGTCACGTTCTGGACAACCTAGTTCCTTCAGGCCTTGTGGACATTTTCAAATCTACTTTTTAAGATGAAATGTTAGACTGGCAAATAACTATCCAAGTGGAAGCAACTTGGTAATAAATAAAATTACAGTAACAAGTAAGGATAGACCTGCATCTGTTAAAACTCCCCAAAAAGCAAGGTCTTACAGGAAATCTGGCTTATAAAGCATTGGGGTTATTACAATGAAATGTTTTTTTTTTCTTTAACTAAAAAATGTTTCAGAAAAAAAAACCTTTGAATTTTTCTGCTGGTAGTAGGTACTGTGGCCTTAATGCTCCTAAAGTGTATTTCTTTCCTAGTCTGATGATGAGGAGCTGATGGAGAAACCATACAGCAGTTCAGCCCATGATGTGAGACTTCTTGCTATGGCAACAGACAGTTACAGTCAAACGATGTGACGAATCCTTCCATGCTGTCAGGATCGGACTAGAAAACCTATCTGAAAAGCTGCAGTTTCCCTCAAACCAGGCACATCACTGTAAGCAGACTGGAGAATGGGGATATGTCACTCACGGGTACAAGACCTCTGACAGAGTTTGATATTTATGACTATAGGCAGATATCAAAGGCTATCAGGGGATTAAGGGATCCCACTAGCAGTTGTTGAGTCATTCCAACCAAGACCAACATCTCAAATGAAAAAAACAGACCATTTCCTTTCTAAATGCCTCCATATACTCCATAGAATTTGATAACATACAGTACATGAACATCAGAATGGACTTTCAAAAGCATGTTTCACGTTTATATTGGACTTAAATTAATGAAATATAATAAAATTATGCATTTTTTTCCCGCATGGTGAGTAAGGTTTTTCAAACAATACAGCTGAAATTGGAAATTTAATATATACATATAAGAACAATGAGAAAAGGAGGCAGTATGGAACAGGCTATCCAGCTGTGCTGTTGAAGTTGAAACTCTTTTCTTGGGAAACAACTGGATAGGATTCTTGGATCAATTTGCTACTACAATATGTACAGTACCAAACATGCCTGATGGGCCAGAATGCCTTGTTTGTGAACTTTCTTATGTTGTTTTGCTTAATACTGAGTTACTGATGCCTGATAAAGTGTCTTTTAAAATTGACATGAAATGTCATTCATATATGGATAAGTGATTAAAATGAAACAGTATTCTGGTTGCTGTTTTTTGTAGTTTGAATAGAGCCCTTTTCCATTATGAGTATATAGTACAGTATATTACACAACAGTTAAAAACTGAATCAAAATTCACAGTCACTGTTATACAGTGTATATACTGAAAAGGACAAAACATACATACCACTTTTTTACCTGACGCCAGCGTCAATTAAAGAGCATTGCATTAAAAACAAACTAATGTATACCAAGACAAATATTCAAATAAAAATGCTCATTAGCACTGCATTCATTGTTATAGTGTCTGTCATGCAAAAATCAAGCTTATAAGACCATGGAACATTGCAAGCCCCTTTTTATCTAAAAGAAATCCTCTTTACAATAATGCAGTTTAAATGAATCATTGGTGTCCACATAGCCGATTCTGGTACAGTATATTGTTATATTCTGGAAGTTGTAACAGGCAAGGTAGCAGTTAATACTAGTTAATACTAATACTTTTCTATTTTCTGACACATTACTTTACAATTTGTAACTTATTCTTCAACATGTGCATCTGGATAATGTATGTACAAACAAGAGTATTAGCTTATGATACATCTCAGACGTGTATCTCTGCATAACTAAGGAAGGGCACTGGAAAACATCTGTTTAAGAGCATGTAAACATTGAAGTTTCAATATTTATATAAATGTAGCAATAAAAAAGTGGTGAATCACTGCATAAATGTAAAGGGAAGTCACCAGGGTGACATTAGTGTTCTAATAGGTTTGGAATGAACTAAACCACGGCTTTAGCAATGTGCACTGTATTTACTAGATGCATAAGCTGATATGAAAAACAAGACAAGTCAACAGTGAGATCAAGAGACTATCAGCCTGAATGGGATAACTGCTGAGATACCTTTTCTCCTTTTTCTCCTGTTAGACCTCTTTTCCCTTCATCTCCCTACAGATGGATCCAGAAGCAGTTTAGTAGATAAGCTTAGTAGATAAACAGACAGATGGGACAAATAGCTTTAAGATAAGCACAAAACCGAGTTTTTGTTATTGAGTGAATTTAGATTACAAATGGTATCTGTCATTACCAATGACCTAGACGTTTGGATTAGGTTATCTAGAAAGAAACTTCCAGCAACCCCTGCAGTCACCCTGCTCGCCTTCAAAGGTGAAAGATTCTGATGTGGTGGAACTGTCCTGTTAAACCACAGCTTTCTTGCTAGGTGGTCCAAGAAACAGGGAAGGGGAAATGGAGATTCCATGAGAATAAGCCAAGGGGGAGCTTTGGAAGGCCAGAGTTTTATTGAGTTTTACTGTACTGGCATTTGGTTTAGACAGGAGGATTAACTTTCTCACTCTCGTTTCCAAAAGAGAGGCCAGGGATTTTAAAGGTTTGTTATAAATTATAAGTCCTGTTTTGAAAAAAAAACAATGAAAGAAGATCATGTTAAATGTATGTTGTCTTTTTTCAGTATAACAATTGAACAGCCACTGATGTTGTAGGCATACCAAGATCCTTGAGAAGACATCATTTCTGATTATGATTTCAGCATTTTTACCAAGTTGTACAATTTTGACTCGTGCTGGAACGTTTAACTCGTGGTGCTCAAACCCCACAAGTCTGCACTTGTTGTACTTGTTTAGGTTTTAAAAGCATCTGTTCATAAGACAATAAAGCGGATTATTCCATTTATAGTCCTATGATTCCTTTCAAAAAATAAATTAACCAGACATTTTTATTTTTAATGATGTTTAACTTAGTGTCACTGCTATGCATGAGATGTTAAAATACATTAAACTAACATACTGTATGTAGAAAACGGCTCCCTACCTTGGAACCTTCATCTCCCTTCGATCCCTGTCAAGAGACACAAGAAGTAAGATAGTACATTAGACCTTTCGAACTCACAATGCTAGGTAATATAATGTTGAGGTCTGCTCTATTAATGCATAAACCAGAGCAAATTAGTGAAACCACTTTAGAGGAGACTTTCAACTTCAAAGATCCTACAAATTCGATGAGGAGAAAATGAAAAATGTACTTTGCAATATTTCATGTGTTTATTGGTACACATTTTGATTTAACAACATAGATTAAAATGACTGGATTTACAGTGATTGAGGAGTAAAGGAGCCTTAATGTGGAAATGATGCATGCCATGCAGTGCTTCAGCATCACAGTAATGATGACATCCAGAGTAAAGCTTTAATGGATTAAATAGAGCACATTGTTTATCAAATAGAATGGAAGAGAAATCAGAGGTGATTTATTTACTTCCACAGGGATAGAGTTTTTTTTCAAATTAAAAATTCTTTTCTGCAATGGCATAGCTCATCATTACTTATGCCGAGCATTAACATTGTCCAGATGGAAAATGCTTGACCTTGTTATGAATCTTTTGGGAACAACAAACCTGTTTTCAAAAAAGGTTTTACACCAGCACCATAATGACCTGTTCTAATGATGTAACACTTTGCCAAGTATGGGGACTGTGATATGAAGGCTTGACAAACAAATGACCTACATAAGATGGGGTAAAGTTGAAAAATGAGGGGCTCTGACACCTGAATGAGCAGAGGATCTTGTGAAATAAAGGGGCCGGACTAGCTCTGCTGGTAATCTCAGGGTAGTGGGTTTGTGTCACACGTAGGGCACCAGGTCCTCCATGTTGGAGGTTGAGCACAAGGCTAACAGCCCTGTCCCGTAAAAAACTAATGTTACAGAAACAGCAACAGGATGTTGCTGCCCCTACGAGCAAACATCCATCCATCCTTGTGAAATAAGGATACACAGTCTAAAGCTCCATAAAAGGTTGTACCATTAGGGATCCTGCAGAGTGTATTTGCTCGGTGGGCACGTGGGAAAACCAGAAATCTTACCTTTGGACCTTCAAGACCTAGAGGGCCTGGCTCACCAGCATCTCCCTTACAAGCAAGAAATGAAAGAAAAGTCAGAGATGCAAAAGAAGGCGTTGTTGCAGGGATTTTTTGAAAAAAGAAATTTCATTGAGGCAAAAACCCAACCTTTTTGTTTTCAATGAAAAACCACAGCTTTGATTTTCTGTTTTGTGTGTGAAGTTACACTTCCTTGAAGCATTTCTTCTCACCAGTTGAGAATTGTACAGTAAATATGCTTTCCCTATCCCATCTCTCTTCTTTAATCAATTTAATTCATTGATGCTACTGAGCTTTTTGAAACAAGGAGCCTTTGCCTGAACAAATAGGGTTAAATAATCCCAAATAGAGTTTCTCCTCGCTTCTTTAATATGGAATTTTAAATGTCCCTCTTCCAAGCGCAGAACCATCACTGCACAGGAGCAAAAACCTTTTATGGCACCTTTTATGGCACTAACTTAAGTGCAGCTAGTTCAATGAGTTGCGATGAGATGAGATAAACATTGGACAGCAAAATGCATACAATTCACATAATAAATAAATTATTAGAAATAAATGAATTGAACCATATTTACAAAGCAAGTGACCACTGAATTGAATCTTGTTGATCCAATCCATGTGATTGGATAATACAGTACTGGTAGTAATATAAATATATAATCCTACCTTCTGTCCTGGCAAGCCTGGAATCCCTGGTTCACCCTATAATTAAATAGTGTAAGTAAAGTTTTACTACTTAGTCTCAAAGCATGGATACGAATTGCTGTACAGAAATGGGATGCAAAACCAAGGTGTGAATCTTGCACGCCTATTATTTTACTTAATCATCACTTCAATCACTTCACATTTCTTCAAATAATCTCTGTTTAAACATATGCCATATACAGACTATCAGGTGAATCCAGAGTCTATCCTGCCCAATTACATAAGATCATTTTAAAGATGTGTATGTGAATGCTTAAGTACGAAAGAAATTTCATGATTTGTGCTTTTTCATTTTTTTTTAACAGTGATATAAAGATAAGTAAAAGCAAACTCACACTCTTATAGCCAAATAACAAACAATTTAGAACGTATGATAACGACTGATTGCTTTGTCCGCAACCGTGCATTAATGATCCTCGACGTTTGCATCTATTTAAATGTCTGAAATTGTAGTCAGATGGTCTAACAGAAAGCAGCTGCTAGCAATTACTACTAATTGATTAAATGCTCAACTGGACTGTTCTTAGGGCATACTTGAGAGGTAATTAGAAAGTTGGTCTGTATAAGCAAGATCGTCGACAGTTTTATGCCTCAGGGGAAAAGGTTATGAGAGAAGCTTAGTAAAAACACACTAAAGATTAAAAGGCAGGTCTGTCTTAAGGAGCGCAGTAATGCAGGATCTACCTGTAAACGGAACTCAAAAGCATGATTGGGAGTCCTGTTTCCTTCTTGTAAGAGAAAACTGCCCTTGTTAAAAAATGTCATACTAGATATTTAAGGATCTCAAAGTGGTTTCGATCAGCTACAGAGGCCTTCATGTTTATTCAACCCCATGAAGAAATGGGAATAATAGTATCACATAAGAGAAAGATGTATGGACTGGTTGTGCATAAAAAATCTGAAAATGTAAAAATATATAAACTCAGATTTGTCTTAATTCATTTAAGTCCAAAAATGTCACTACGGTCGAGAGTGAGAGTTTGCGAGAATTGTGACGTGAGGCAGCCTTTCGTGCTCACTAGTCACTGTAATGACAAATGTAATGTGATATACGAGCAAACAAGTACAGGATGTACAGCAGACATTTCACTGCAGAAACAATCCAACGTGATCTGCATGCAGTCAACAAGTAAGTTGTATTAGTCGGCAAATATCTTGAAGCCAAGAGCAATATTTCTACTGGATTAAATTAGATGTATTCACAAGCCTGCTTCTTTACAATGTAATAGGGCTTTTTCACGTCACCAGATGTTTTGTTGCCTCATTCTGAATTGCAGATCATAATGCTGTGCATACCTAGAAATTTAGTCTATTTTGAGATGTAAATTGGAGGTTTTATATGTTTCATTTTACTTCCATAGTGGTTTAAATGGACACATCATGAACATTACTTAGGTATTATACCATAAGACAACATGGAAGCTGTGAATCTTTATGATAATGCATGTCATTAAAAGAAATCCATCTATTACAAAAAAGTAAATGGGTTTATTAATCCTATGAACTTTGTCAGGATTGCTAAAAATGGTATAAAGAATTACTGCCTCTGGCATGCTGCATTGAAATCATGCATAAACAGGAGAAAAGTGATTAAAAAATATACAAGAGGTTTATTAAAGAAACTAATAAAATCTGCATCACAATTCCCAAATCAACTACATTACTTAATATCCAGTATTGAAAAAAAAATGGTTTACTTCAGGGTCACTGCTTTTTTATTTGGTTTAATTGCCTCTGCTTCTTCAAATTAATTAAACGATCATTCTCAGACCCATATAAGAAAATATTTGAAGCACTCAGACTTGATGTATACTAGCCCTGCAAGACATAGACTCCTACTGAATAACATAATCAGTTACAGGTATTGAAAAAATAAAGTAAGGATCTTTATTACAGAAACAAAAAACAAAATGTGAGGTTTTACTGTTCCTACCTTCATTCCTGGCATGTTCTGGAAGTAAAAAAAAGTAATGTCAATTACAGTAGAAGTTGTTGTTATACAGTGAATTGTGATACTGCATTTAAGGTTAGTAACAAGAATGTTTGTACACAAGCTGGGGTATATATACAGTATATATTTATGATTCAGGGCGGGTAAGTACTGTATAAAGTGGCAGCAAGAACTTGGAAGAACATCCAAGAAATGTGAAACAAAGTCCAGTGCCAGGTTGTAAATTAAAAAGGAGAAGACAAGACATTTTGAGGGAAGAACCCTACACCAACTGTGAAATAAGGTCTGCAACAAAATGTAAGCTACTGCATAAATATTCATCAAAAATCAACAGCAATAAGGTATTGTCATTTACAGTACATTTCTTCATGCTTAAAGTAACAATCCAAACAGATATAATAATAGAAATTCAATACAAAAGGAAAGGAAAGTTAATATTTTTTACAAAGTATGCTTGAGAGGTAATTATAGAATTATATATATATAATATATATATAGAACTATAGATCTTTTAACGACAAGATTCAGGAAATTTGCATTTCTAAAGTGCATGTATTTCAGTTACAGAATTATTTTTTGCAGGTTGCCTTTAAGAGGAAGACCCAACCTTAGGATCTTTTCCGGGCTTTCCTGGTTCTCCAGGTTTTCCCTAGATAAAAAAAAAAGAAAAAAAATCATTTACAAGAGTTTGCTAACCACTCTTTTTTAAGTGCAGTTCGTTTAAAGCATTTGGATAATTTAAGAACAGACTCATTTCAAGTCTGAAACAGTTTGTAAACAGTTTATTTCCAGACATGTATGAGTATATATTTTGTAAACACTATATAAACATTTCATTCAACACTCATTAGTAATCTTTTGGATGCAAGGTAGGATTCACTAATCATTCTGACATACGGTAAGAAGCCATTTCACTCCTTAAAAAGATTAGGTGTAATTAAACCAGAATGCTATTTAAAATAGTGCATTATTAAAATACTACATATCTGTATACACTTTGGTAAATTACAAACCCTTTAGAAAAACAACTGAACCGTCAGAGGACCCAAAAACTTTTGTTAAAATTTAACTTTTTAAAATTGTACATTTAAATTTTATTCACTGGATGTAGCAGTAATTTGAACATTTTGGTCCACTGTACCACTGCTGCAACCGATAAATATAGACGTGCACAATAATCAAGGAGAGACGCAATAAGGAAGGTTATTGATCCACTGGAAGATATAATCTTATACAGACCCAGGTACCAGGGATCTTACCGGCATCCCACTGGGACCTTCTGGTCCTGGGGCCCCAGGAGGTCCAGGTGGGCCAGGGGGTCCCAGGATTCCTGGCTCTCCCTTGTCGCCCTGCTAAGAGACCAAATGTTATAAACTCGCCACCCTTTTTATGGTGGGAAAATAAATACAAAATTATGGTTGGTTTAAAGTTAGTGAGAAGAAGCAGGAACCATATTAGCAGAAAAGGCCATGTTTGAGTAGTGGATCAGTTTGTGTTGCTGATGTACCATGTTTGGAGACAAAAAAAAACATTTAACAGAAGTAAATTTACTGCTAATTCTAGAACGAAGAATTAAAATATAGTTACCAAACTGTATGTTTTAATGTCTTTTGACCAAAGACATGCTGTCATTGTAAATTTCTTCAATAATGTTTTTACAATCTTGAGCTTACGAAATGTTTCCTGCATAAAAAGTGGGTTGCCTGTACAGAGACAGGTTCATCCTCTAAATGTACTTCCACACAACAAAATGGCACATACAACAAAACAGCTGAACTAATCAAAATCAGTGGCACATAACACAAATTAGTTGTACTAACCTCAGTCTTATAAAAGACAAGAAATAATGAAAATGTTAGCAGAAAAAAAAGCTTTCATATTCAGTTCTAGTCTGCACAAAGAAGAGCGTGAAAATGTTAAGAACTTATTAATTCATGATTCCTTATTTTCCAGGAAGAACTTTAATCATAAGACATATGGGTTTCACAGCCTTTCTTACTCCATTGGATTCAAGATGGTGATTCACTTCTATTCCTAGTGATATCACCACACCAAGAAAATACTGAGGCCTTCAACTCCCAAGGCTCTTAAAACAATGCCGTGTTTCTTCCGAAAATAAACACATCTGAACCCTCTAGTCATAAATAACTAACCCAAATGAAATAGACCAAAATAAATGAAAAGACTAAACAAAAGTGAAACTTGTCAAGCAAAGAACAAAGGCAGAATTTCATCTAAAATAAAGAATACTACTTTCAGACATGACAAATTAATCAGATTTTGGGGCCTCAAAAGGAAGCTGACTGTTAGTTCAGAAAACTGTATTAATAACACATTAACTGAAGCTTTTTGTGCCACTCATGAGCAGTCTTAAAGCTACTCATATACTACTTATTTTTAAAGTTTTATGAACAAGTTTGTTATAGTAACATGCAAAATAGATGGTTAACTATGAAAATGGCAATTCGACCATACTGTAGATTAAGAAGCTGTATGCAATATTGCACAGCTGCATTTACAGTAAATGCTGTGCAACTGAAGGAAATTTGTATCATCACGAACCTCTTCTGGGTTGTCCTTAAAATATTCTGACTGAAATTGTTAAGCAAGGCTTTCATTTGTCAATTCAAGGGTCTAGGTCTCCATTTCTGAAACTTGAATCACTGAGAGGTGTTGATTTAAAAAAAAATTGGGTTGTTTGGATGAAAATGCCTCTGAATTGAACAATGCCGCAAAGCGAATACTCTCCACATTGCGTGTCTAATAACAATACAGAAGAGAGATCTTTCTTTCTGTACATTACATTCCAAATTCTGTATTTACAATTAATAAGGTTAAAGTGGTAATGGAACACCACATCTTTCTTAGAATGTGCCCAGATTCTATGTATGAAACAGAAAATTTTGTACTGCCTACTTTGTTGCATTGTCTCCAAACATGGTATTTTATCCTGGCAAAAAAAAAATATACCAGTAGAAAAAAATAGGATGCAGAAGCCAAAAACAAATTCTGTGTCAAAAGTCATTTTTGCCAGTTGGCAAGAGTTCATTTTGCATGCTATGGAAATTTCAAGTTAGAGATGGAAACCTTATTTATGTCAATCTAATGTTCTTTTCATTTATTATCTGACCTGCAATAGGTAAATAAGGTTGACATATTGAGACTGCTTTCTCATGTTTATTCATTTTACAACCCCATCTACTTAATAAATGCACATCTACTTAATAAAACAGGGCTGCTAATTTGTTAGCTCCCTCTAAATCATGTTGGGTATTATCCATTACATATTTTTTGGATAAAGTTACACCTTTGTATAATTTGGATGACATTGTAACAGCATCCATGCCATTGGTTATCATTGTGTTTTTTGCATCCGGTTTTGTTTAATTCTGGATATATATAAATAAATTAAATGACTGAATAAATAAATATCATTATCGAAAGTATGGAAGAATGCAAAGTAAAAAATACAACTTCAAAACTGCCAGTCTTTTTACCTGTTACACCATTGATTTGAAATGCCCATATATTGTAACCACTACAATCTCTGATATAAGCTCAGGAGTCATATACATTAAGACATAATGACATATTTTACCTCTTTCTCTAGCGCTGTCCTGGAAAGTGAATGCGGAAGACTACAGTCTACAGATTAGTCCAAAGACTGTAGCTATATTTTGTTGGAGACAGACTTCATAGCGGTAATGAGCCAAGGATCTTCCAGCTGACCTAAATCAGTTGTGTCTCAGCCTGTAAAGTGCTACCTCTTAGATAAATTACATATGGTTTAGCAATGGCATAGCCTGTACACTGATTGGAGGACTAGACTGAATTAGCCACTCAGACGCCCTAATATATAGCACTTGCTTAAAAAACTTTGTACTTTCTTCTTTTTATATCACTTTTCAGTGTCATAACTGTGATTAAATCTTTCAAAATGCCAAGTACTCCAATAGACAGTAAGTATGCATGGTACCCTAGAGGGTTACAATTGTGTACTTTCCGAGCTGGCATCCTGGAAAAGCAGAGAGGGCAGAAAGAAATGTACCTTGAAGCGCTTTAGGATTAAAGGGCTCATTGGATGCAGGTTGCGAACGGTGATAGGCAACATCTGCTGAGGTCACAAAGCACAGGTGGCCAGAGGGGTAAAAGTCACAGGGCAACAATGTCACCAGAGGACCAGGGGCAAGAGGAAGAGAAAGGGGAAAGGGGTTGGAAGAAAGAGAGAAAAACAGAAATAGTGATAGTGAATAGCAGGGTTTTGTTGAAAGAGGCAGAGAAGGACAGGGGAGAAATGCAATAGCAATGCAGTTCTAGCTCTGGGAGTGCATTTGAAAAGGGGCAAATTGCCACATCTAAAAATGGTAAGAAAATCACAGACTAGGTAGGAAGGAGGGGTAATGATCTTTAAATGCTGCCAAAGAAAAGAGTAATATGGTAAATGTAAACATAATCAGATAAATATTTTATTGCGATAACACTACATGAGATGCACCAATATCTTACCAAAAAGCACTGTTCAAGGATTAGACCATCTAGAATAACTATCCCTTTGAATTATCATCCTAGAATGACGACTGACGAATAAAGCTCTAAATCACAAAATCATTTTTAAATAAATAATCTTTTTCCCCATATTCGTACAAAATATCAAATGATCATATTTCATTGAACAGGCAACAGTTTAATACTAGTTTAAAAATATTTGTCCTAATCCCTGAAATTGTCTAGAGATGATTTTTCATGAGAGAGTTTCTTGGTTCACATCCTGTGATGGGCATTTATGCTTTTTCATGCACAGATACTAACCTGCACTCCACCTGCCTGTGTTTGAGTATTATTTTTATTGGAGGATTGAAATTTAATCCTTTGCATAGGGAGTAACAAGTCATTTTGATTTTCAAGTCTTCAGGTTTTCGGGGTTATACTGTACCAATGTATCCTGGTTGACATACTATATACAAATAAGTACAAATGAACTCCCATTCCTAGATGCTGCTGTGGGAAGACTGATTTTGCTTCAGTCTTGCTGCAAAGAGAAGGCATAACACTTCCTGTGCACCATCTTCAAGCACAGGTGTGTGTATACTCCATGTCATTTTACAGTCATGCGTTACAGATATATTTTTGCATAACATGGATATTTCGATTTTGCCAAAGAGCACAGTACATCTCAAGCATAGTTCTGAACTATATTTACTATATGTATTTAATAAATTGGTGCGCAGTTCAATTAGCATATTTGTAGGTTTGTGAATCTTTTCATTTAAAGATGGATAAATAGCGAGGACGGGTATTTAAAAAATGTACTTGCTGTATCATGGATTTTACTGAATGTCCCAGATGAAGTCCAGATGAATGCATATCGCAGGAAATAAGCTAATTATAGTTAGGTTCTGAGAACATGGCACCTGCTGGCACTTTATTGCAGCTTGAGATTTAGTAGCTGTGCACTGCAATGTGCAGTTTGGGATTGACTCCAGACCCTGTCATGGAATACTGTTTCTCTTTGCAGTGGGACTGGATAGAGCAGGTACCTACAAACCTTGAGGACCAGGATCTGATTGGAGCGTAGCGCAGCTAATGTTTTCACTGGGAGCTCCTACAGAACGTTAAACACACAATAGCTGGTGACTCCCTCTACACTCAGAGTCCCACACACCCCCTGTGTCCTCATACACCAGAGCACAACACATTTCACCAGGATCTGCCTGCCTCCTGGCCTTCAAGCCACACCATGAGTCAGAACAGATCTAGCATAGAGCACACAGGAAGAAGGTACAATATGTAAAACAACACAAAAATACAAATGAGAGACGGATGAAAACAATGTCTTATCATTTGAAAGAAGGCGATATCCATGAGCAACCTGTTTCTTACATATTAATATTATCGAGGATTTGAAAAGATACCACTATTAAAGTCTTCTTTTTTCAGTTATTTCTTGGGATAATTTGTCAAAATTTAACTAGCATAATTTCCTGAAACATCTTCATGAAGGCATTTGTACCTACAATAAGATGGCTTATTCTTAGAGCACACTGATAATCAGTCATTCCTGTTTGGGGTAGGGTGCAGATTATTTAACTATAGTTCTTATTTTTATTAAGGATCTATAGATCTTCTGACTGCATCTTTGTCATGAAAATATAACTTCATGAAAACCTTAAAATCAGATAGAAATTCCTTACCCTATTTGGGTTTGGGTTTGTTCAGTATTTATAAATTTAATTTTCCAACATAGGAACACACATAGAAATGCATGAAAACTATTCAGGTGAAACGTATAAAGGGGAGTAATTGAGAAAAGACTAGCAGCACAACACTTTTTAATAAAACAAAAAACAACTAATTTAAACATAAATGTCTTGCTAAAAGGAAGAAAATGTTTTTTAAAGAAACTGCAGTGTGCTACTTTTGTTCCATAATGGCACAATCACATAGAGAACACTTGGCGTAACACATGGAGTAACATCTAGTTTGGATGGTTTCCACCATCCTTGTTTTTATGTAACAATACAGGGGTAGCCTATTTATGTGACAGTGCGTGAGGCACATGCAAGAGAGAGCTGGACAGACAGGAGCCTGAGGGCTGAAGGGAAACAACTGCAAGGCTTTAAAAAATGGAATTTCTCTTACATAAGAGTGGAGGGGTCAGAGTGAACACAGTTGCTGGCAAAGAGAAGGCTTTTGGAAACAGCTGACAGGCTACTGTTGAAAAGTAGACTAAAGAAAGCCCACTAAACACCTCCTCACCAGCCATAAAGGGGCATCTGTAATGCTGAATTTTAATACCAGGTGTGTTGTCTTATTCTTAGTGAAAACATTCTAGCCAAAGAATGCATCCTTGATGTTCTCAAATCTTTCAGTATACGTTTTGGTTCAAGAATACTAGTACACAACGAGGATATTTACAGGTAAATAATCTAATCAAGGAAAATATTTGGAACAAGTGGTTCACACCAACATTACAGTATAGGATGTCTACAATTGAAATCACATTTGTAGAAATACAGCTTATAAGCTTATATTGCTGACACCTTTATCCTACAAAACACTCTTACAGTATGCAATAAGGATGTTCAGTTTTGATTTTCCTGTCATCAAAGTCTTTAATTAAAAATAAAAGAATTAACTTACCCTATGAGAGTAATCTCCACATGCTCCCTGCAAATAAAGGAGAATTAATGTGAATGAAACATCCTTAAACCAAAACACTTTTGTTCATAAATTATAAATAATACATTTTAAGATAAATTTAAAATAAAATAATTGTGTTCATTAAGTTAACTATAATATTGTTTCAGTACATACAATACTGAACCAAAACACTGGACAATAATTGTGATCAACAGGGGTAATCCAGTCTGCCCATTATTGTGGTGTACAGTGTTTGATGTGTAGTATGTACCATGATTCCTGAGAACTGCAAAGTTATCACAGACCAGGCATTCTCCTCAGTATGCTGTGTAGGAAGCAAGAAGGCAGAAGCTTAATTGAAGCTGAAGGCAGACCTGAGTAATGATTTAAATTCAAACCTTAACAGGTAGTAGTTGGTAGATAAAATGTTGAATGTTCTGATCTACATCAGTTGCAGTTCTCATCAACCCACATGTAGATCTGAGCCAGCTGTTGATGGTCTCGTATCCTGGCACATATCCATGAACGTCTAATGGAATGGATGTTGTGACATGCTACAGCTGTAATGGCTAATGGAGGTGGGCTGATCTGCTATTAGAAATATTTGGGGATTTTCTGGTAGGTCAGTTCACGTGTAATGGTTTTCAAACTTTCTTTTTATAACATGACCATTTTCTTAAAAAAGAGAAACTTGTAAACTACTATTTTCTGGCTAGGGGTCTATACGTCACCTTTATAGGTGACAATGTGTCAGAATAGTTATGTCAAAAAGGATGGTACACATTAACACAAAGAGCCGTTAGAAACAAAAGAAAGCCATTTGGCCCAACTACCCAATTTTGTAGTTAGAAACGAACTGATACAAGGATCAGTGTTACATACTCCCATAACCCCTTGTGTACATAACTGTTTTCAGTACTTCCACATCCAACTGACAAAGCAATCAACTTCATAACTTACTGTCATTATTTATCTCTTCTGTAGATGCCACTTATTAAAAGGATCTAAAATCCTATGGCAAAAAACTACTGACATACAGAAAAAATATGATTCTCTGACTTTTGTTCGAAACAAAATAACTACAACTCAAATGGAAGTACAATTAATTTAATACATATTTAAATTACAAAAATATTCCACATCTTATAAAATTATTTCCATTCTTATTAATTGGAATTGTAACTGTTTATTTACATAAAATGTCCCTAAAATTGGGATATGGAGAAGAAGCTACAGAGATATCGCGTAGAAGTCTCTTGAGTGCTGATACAATTTAAGTAACACACAATACAAGAAAAATATGGTGGAAGCTACAGTATATATAATAAACATGATGTTGTTGTTCATGTTTTTATTGATACTGAAAACACCTAACAGCATGTATGACAAATTAATTTCCAAATGGCTTTACCTTCGTTTCAAATAAAAGAGAATGTGTTCTATATTGAGAACACATTGAAGGCACTTTCTTTGAAAGGAGTTACTACGGTAAATATCTTACATCAAAGCTTTTGCTACATGTTAAAAGGTGTCTCACCTTTTCCCCTTTTGGACCAGGCTCACCCTAAAAGAAACATACAGTACACCATCAGAATTTGTAAACCCATCCAGAGCATGAATCCATCGTCATCAAAGAAAGAAAAAAATAAAACAACTTACTTGGCTTCCTTTAGGCCCCCGTGACCCCTTTTTAAAATGAACAAAAGGAAATAGGAAATTAATGTAACTGATTAGAATTATGGCATGTAATATGAGGTGAACAATTTTCAGACCAACAACATATTGAACTCTGCAGTGACTCCATTGCTTTTACATGTAAAAAGGCATCATAAAATTATAGGCCAGACATTGACATCGAGTGGTAGGGGCTGGCTATATATAAGAATATTACATAGGAAACCCTAAACTTAAAGTAATAAAATATGCTCATAAAAAGAACAACACTTTACTACATCCTTGTTCTTACTACACTGAAGGATGGCCATTAAATAATTTGAAGTCATGGGGACCATTGTTTGAAACAGAGTAAGTTCATTTATACGGTTCATCTACAGTTCAGCACAGTACACTTGAGGAAATGCCTTTAGAAAATAGTCTATGGAAGTACATTCTAGCAGCAAACAGAACATGTTTTAGAGGTACACAAAGCTCACAGAACAGATAACTGGGTCTGTGAAACACAGATTCTTGTCGTGCTGAATCTGCTCAGTATGAAACATAATTAAAAAACGAATACAGAAAGACCACAGATCTGAATTCCATATGAAACATGAATAGAAAAGATGAAGCTCATATAAGACAGGAAACCGATCTCTAAAACAGTAAATCAACGGCCCAGATGAAAGGGTGATTCTTGCTGTTTTAAGACCTAAATCCATACTTTGAAAAGCCAGGGAGTTTCAATAACACCATCCATTAGGGACCCCTTACAAATGGAAGCAAGCTCATAAACATGTCACCTTGATGTACAGAACTTCACTTTGTTTCTTTCTGAAACCTTTCCCATACACTTCTCTGTGAAAGTACCGTTCAACATATTTTCTTTCCTTTCTTAGAGGTTTACAAACCTAAACGTGAATTTCTTAGCTGGTGAATTGAATTTAATCAGAAAGTAATAACAAGAGTTGTGTTGTGTTGTTTTCAAGCTTAGCCGGGCAGGGGACATAAATTGGCTAATCTAACAGGGCTAAGTTTGAAGGAGTCCATTACAGAGGGTGACATCACTCCCTGGAAACCTACAGGGAGTGCAGAACTCTCCTGCAGCACAAGATCAGGCCTTTTGGTGTAGAACAGTTTGCTGCTGTTTACAGTGCGGAGCTGTGTGAGTGTAGCCCATGAGGGATTCTGATCAAATGCTAGCAGGTGTAGAGCTGCATTCAACATTCTAACTTCCTTTCATTACATATGAAGTATTTTAAAACAAACTGAACACTGACAGACAAAAACTAAGCACATGTTGATGCCCAAAACACTTATTTTATCAAACAGAAGTACAGTATGATTTAAATAATTAAAGTCATGCAAACTTAATACCATTATGCCCTCATGTTTAGAAACACAATTTCAAAAGAAAAACAATAAGATTTGTTTTTTTTGTCAGTACTTTGTACTGTTTCACTTCTGATGGTGGCTCTTACCATATCTCCTTTCAGTCCCTTTTCTCCCTAAAAACAAAGAATAGGACATAATAAATACTGAAGAAGTGACAGTTGTTCTCAGAACATGCTCATTCAGTCTATTTTAGCTGCAAGCAAAAGAAATGTGTTTCCACTTTTTCTGGAAGTTAACATGTAAAAATGACCGATGCTCTTGTGATAAAATAACTGGACTAGCAGGCTCCAGCAGAGGACTAATACATTCCCCAGACAGCAGTTTTCCCTGGACAAGAATGATTGTGATAATCAAAGGGATTTACTAAACACATCACTACATCTTCTCCTCTTCATAGTACAGTCTGCCCGAAAGAATCAGCAATTACTCACATATGTTTATTTTAAAAATCCCTACAATTCTAGAGGTTAAAAACTATTATTTCTTAGTCAAGGCAAAATTATTTTATTTTTGGTAAAAGATGTTACCTTAAGACAGCTTCTGCCTTAACATAAGTTAATAACATAATGCAAATAATTAGTAGTGATAATGAATATTTTTTTGGAAGTAGTGAACTACTGTACTTTATGCTTAATTCAAGGTACGTTTACCAGATTGTTCAAACACTTACTGGCTTTCCATCCAAACCAATTGGACCCTGAAACGAAAGAGGAACATAAAGCTATTAATTTTTTTGACTCAAATAACAAATCTAAATTGTTGTTTTACATGTAAAAACATGGTGTCTCAAAAAAAATTTGCATAAATGTCAATGATGGCATTAAACCCAAGGTCAGAAGGCAATTAATTTGGGAATATATTTCAGCACATGGCTTTGTTTGCATCAGAACACAGCACTGACTTTAAAGCTGCCTCATAAAATGGGTCTGAAGGAACCTAAAGAAAACTGAATGCAAATGAATTGGCAACAATATAAATTACTTTACAGGGGCCAAAATTCACTGTTATTAAAACTATTAATAAAACTAAAAATGACAAATGCTTGCCTTCAGTTAATAATCATACAATTAATCATTAAGAAAAGATCACTTTCAGCCACATTATTGACACTATGTTATCGTTACCCATGTATTACATGTTATTCACTGTTAAAGCCCTTTTAAGAATCTGCCTGTATGTCTTACCGGAAATCCTGGAAAACCCCTCGATCCTGGTTGGCCCTGCAAGGTGATCATTTGCAAACTTTACTCTGAGAAATTCTAGCACATTCAAATAATGAAATCATGATTTATTTCAAATCTTCCTGAAATAAAGTGAAGCAAACCCAAAATAAAAAAATAAATACATATTTTGAAGGATATTTTATATACTGTACATTTTGCCACTAATATTTTGTGTTGTGTGTCATTAGAGAGAGAATCATGAGATGTCAATTAGCATATCAATGATTTACAGGTAAATATTTAGTTGTTTGTGTGAACTGAAAAATATAAATGTGTAAATACAATAGATAAATAAAAAGGCAATAAAAGGTTAATGAAACAACAGCTAATGCAGTAGCACAGTATAGATTTGTACAGTAATTACAGAGAAAAACATCCTATCTGAAGTGCCTCTAGGTAAAAAACGCTATCCTGTGTCCTAGTAAAAACAGTGGGAAATGGTCAATTGAGAGAAAATTACAAAGAAGATGCAAAGAACACCAACAAACAAACACAGAACATATGCCTGGGAACCTCACAGTCCTGTTACTTTTTTAATTCTTCCCCAGGGAACCAGACCCCTGGAGTAAAATGTCAGAACAAGACCTCTGTTTGCTATTCAGAACATGTTAGGAAGGTGAGATTTTAAGCATTAGGCTTACGACATCTGTTTTTGTCACCATTTTCATGACGTCTGCTGTAGTGAAGTCCAAAGCTTAACCTTGATTTCAGATAAGAGTTACTCAGATACAGTAGCTCTGTATCTGCTTAAAATGTATAATGGATACTTTGTAAGGTGAAAGTAAACTCTAATCTAGCATAGGAAAGTTAAGAGAAGATATTCTGTCATTGATTTGCAATTAAAAAAATCATCACACCTCAAGGCTTTTACAAAGTGACGGAAATGAAATGAAACCAATACTATCTATGTTCATAATGATAAACAGGATTTTTATTAGATTGTAACATTATACTATAAAGTTTTTGTGTCACAGATGTTCTTTAGAACTGGTGATATACCAAATATTTCTACATTGCTATATAGTTGTTTTTTATTCAATACTCAATACAATTGATATACCATCTATCTTTGCTGTTTAGATTTTGGTCAGTTTGAAGGAATCCCAATCACTTTAGCTCAATCACTGTTGTTGGTACTGGATAGTGTAATGGGCTACCTACAAACAGTATTTGGGATACTACCTATTTTGTGAATAGCCAGCAAAATTATTAAGTTAAGTACGACTTTTTGGGACATGATATTTTCTCCATAGAGTAAACATTTGTAGGTAATATTAATACCAAATTGATTCAATCATCCCTGAGTGTGATGAAAAGATAAGAGGCAGTCATGTGCTCTGTTTTTTTTTCCATACCAATGGACTAAAACAAGAGGTTTAAAACTTGATCAATCATGTGAGCATGTTCCAAAAATACAGTCTGGACAACAAGTGACAAAAAGACACAGAAAATCGTTGCCTTCACTGTGCCACTTGACATTACCAGATAACATGAATGCATGTAAAAATGCTTTGGGAAAAGCTGAATGTCTATGCCTTTAGGGGCAGAAGCTTCTGCTCTTAATGAGGAATTTACCCAACACAGAGCAGCTAAACTAGCGAGCTTAACCCAGGAAGAAGACATTTTAAACTGGATTTTTAAACAAAGCAGCAGGTCTTATCTAAATATGTAAGGGCAAGTATTTTTTTGCAGTTTGATTGCTGGGTATTGATAAGCAAATGTTTAAAGAATGCTAGCATTTTTACCGCAGATCCAGGCATTTGTTTCAGAATTAATATGAATTAACTTAATTCCACGCATTTTATAGTACATTGTTTTCCTAACAATAATAAATAAATCAATAAAGTAGGCAATGTAATACAGAGTCACTCATCAGCTGAAACAGACAATTTAAAAGGCTTTTAATAGGCAATGAGCAGTGCTTGTCTCTCACTAGATCCAATTTTTAAAAACCTATTGTCTTCTGGTAAGAGGATAATTCATTATTATAAATCTTAATTATTTTAATTATACTTGTGATTATTAGCTAAAATGTACATCTCCATTCTGCTAGATTAATTGGTATTGTATGTGTCCTTTAATAGCTAGTGAAAATAAATGTGCAATCCTGCTCACACAGTATATATAGCAGTATGTGCAGAACTGAAATGGAAGTTAAATGGGCTCTGAGAGTAGTTAACACCATCACCTGTTAACGCTCCTTCAGGGACTGATGATGCAGAAGGCCCAGTGGCCACTGATGTAAAATAAAAAGGAGTCTTATTTTAGAATGATCAAGGCTCTACAGTTTTTATTGGGAAACAAATTTTACCAAAGACAAGCCAAAAATGCAATTTAATCTCAGTGATGTGTTCTCTCAAATTCCTTAGCATGGGACTTTCTTAGCCTCGCAAATAAAAGTAAACATATAAAATGTAACACCATCCATCCATTTTCTAACTACTTTTTCCAATTCAGGATCATGGAGCAGCAGGAGCCTATCCTGGCAAGCAATGGGCACAAGCAGAGAAACACCCTGGGTGGGGTGCCAGTCCATTGCAGGGCAAATGCAGAAAAACACACACACACTCACACTAGGGCCTATTTTCCAAGGAACTAATTAACCTACTACTAAGCCATTGGACTGTGGGAGCAATCTGGAACAGGAAACCCATGCGAAAATGGTGAAAACATACAAATCTCCCTGCAGATAGAACCCCTGAAATTAAACTCAGGGCACCAGAGCCGCATGGCAGCAATGCTAACCACTGTGCACCTCCTTTAATAAAAAAGTGTTTTTTTTTTCATTTAAAGAACATTTATAAATGTTAAAAATCTGACAAGATAATCTGACAAGATTAAGAGATATTTTGGTTGTGGTACGTTAAAACAATGCTGACTTTCCTTCTGGGCATCATAATAACTATAGAAGAAAGTAAACACAATGTTTCGGCCATGGAGCCTTCTTCAGGTGTGAGCCAGCAAATTTCGCTCACAGCTGAAGAAGGCTCCACTGCCGAAACGTGTTTTCTTTCTTCTTTTTTTCAGCATGGAATAAACATATTACTTGTTCCTTTGCAGCCTACGCATGCTGACGCAGCTACCCACCTAAACTATCATAATAACTATTACCTCCTAATGAGCCTTAATAAAAATAATGATTGAGACCAAACTGAGTGAATATGCTTATATTGGATCATACAGAGGCAAGGTTTGCTTTCATCTAGAGATTTTGGCAGTTTGGTCTCTAAGGTCCCCAAGTGAAAGAGAAACTTTATGTTCTCCAGCAGTTTGTCTAATCCTCTGTTTGTGTTTATTTTTCTTTATTTATTTGCAGTAAAAACTGATTTGAGAACTCATAACATTGAATACTGTGAAACCCATTTAATTCTATTCATATTTTTGTTCTCTCTTTGCGGGTACAATTGGACTCATAATGAGTTTGAAAGCCGTGGATCTGCACATATATTATCAGCAGCAGGGAGGTCTGTCTCCTCAGAGGAAGTGGTTTCCATCTGATTAACAGACACGGAGAAGCAGAGGCAGGAAATTTACCAGCTGTCACAGAGAGAAATACATATCAGACCCATCTGTGGAAAGATTTAGCCAGATATCTTAAAAAATATATACTGTAATTGCTTAGAATATGTCTAGTTGTATATATAGTCTGTGCTAGATTTTATCTAACTACAGTATAGTATACTATATATAATCAACTTGGATTAACTAGAAAATGTTGTTTGTGCCAGCAGGGATACTGTATTCATTCTGTATACTGTATTCATGCTTTCCTCTTTCTTTAGACATCCACAATTGTTCAAAATGCAAGTGCCACAGGGTCTTTAAGAGAGTTAGCATCGACTGATTAACAAAAATGCAAACTCACAAGTACTCAAAAGCACTGCAGAGCACAGGATATAGGTATTGCTACCCAGACCAGCTCAAACTAAAAATTGCTAGATTTAGGGCATCCTACAGTCCAGTCACCTAATCATGTACAAGAGTCCAGATTTAGAGATTGTCTGGACTACAGTGTTCAATCTCTGACAGGGCACCTTTACTGAGTCATTCCAGAGCCTCCGAGTTATATTTCAGCATCTAATGTTTGCACTTTCATACCCAAAAAATACATTCTGGTCATGTACTGTACGACTCCTGCAACAAAACTGGTTTTAATATAAAGTGTGCATATAAAGGTTTTAATATGAAGGTTGGAAAACCTCTAACACTTTTAAGTTTCAGAAAATATTACATTTAGTAATCTGGTCACCCATTTTCTAACTAATTCAGGGTCACCAGGAAGCTGAAACACATCTAAGCAAGCAATGGGCACACTCTGGTTTCTGGATGGGAAACACCTTTCCTTTCTTTACAGCATGGAATAACCCTGTTACCTGTTCCTTTGCAGAATATCTCAATTACTAATCATATCTGGGCAAATAAAAAAGAAATCAATAGTATTTTTAATGTGCTTCACATCAACATTTTTTCCAGTGTTTCCATAGCTGCCTATAATGGAATGAGGCTGGTGGTCATTTCAATACCCTCAACTTTGATAAAAGATTTGTACACCTAATCAGCTTTTTAACTTAGAAGATCTGAATCCCCCTCCATCCCCTTTCACTCCCAATTCAAGGTCGCAGTAAAATAACTTGTCATCTTCACCTGCTGGAAATAGTGTTCATGAAAGAACCCTTGCCTGATTGTTCATCGTATATCACTTCCTAAGCAGGGCTGAGCATCCCCTTGAGCCTGGTCCTCATTAGCAATGCCTTATTATAAGGGTGTGTGATATTCAATTCAAAAAACAGATGTCAGGCAAGCACTAGCAATTCTTTGGCCTTGCCATCGGGAGACCTCAACAGCACACTCTGAAAACCACTGTGAAAAAATGGATTCTTCATGGAGTAATCAAAAAGGAAATTGCACATTTAAAGAGGGAAACAGAATCTTTTTGTCTTGCTGTTCTTTGGCAGAGAGGTACATGCAAGACAGAAGGTCAAATGCAATTTTAGTGCGAGATACTTCTTTCCTCAGTAGAAAAATGTCGTTCATTTGTGCATGTTGTTCTCTGTGAACCATGGTGAAGAAAAATAAATGTTTTAATTTCCTCTCCTGACAAGCTAACACAGAGAACACCAGCTATAACTCAGCAAGGGCCATGCAAATGTCACTCAGATATTAACAAGAGCTCTGCACACTGCGTAAAGCTAATGGAAGCTCAGAGTTTTGGTCTGATCACAGAATTAAGCCATTAGATTTTTTTTACTACAGTACATATTGTAGACAACATTTGATATTTAATTTTATATCTCCGACAACAGTGATGTTTTCCCATTACTGCTAAATAAAGTACTGTGTAATCTCAATTATACTCATTATAGTCCAGTCCACTGCTTTACCCATTGTAAGTTGCCCAGCCTTGCAGCTGAAGCTAATTTTGAAGCTAATACCCAAGGTTAATATTTACTTAGAAAAACTTAAAGGAGAGGAGCACAAAAGGGCCTATCTAAAGTAGCTCCTTTGGTAGTTTATTAACTTGTCAAGTACTAACTACCAAATTGGTGACAGGTTGAATGGCCTCCTACTGTTTGTGAACATGCATTTGTTCTTATTCCCATTATCACTTAAGGGTGTAAGAGAAATGAAATTAAGTTGTGTAATGTTTCATCTATTTCCAGTTTGGGACTAAACATATCCCTTTATCATGGTACACTAAAGGGATTTCTGTTTTACACTATACTGTATACTCAGTAATGCAGTAGGAAAAACGGATCTCCCTTCGCCAGTAAAATCCTGAAATACAACCTCCAGATCCACGCCCCCAAAACAGCCGAAGACTGAAAGCTGAAGAACAAGGAATGGTATGGGCAGGACTGACGTGAATCCTGGATTTTACAGGAAATTAAACGATCTTCAAATAAGGAAATATGCCTGCATGCCTTTAGGCAGCTGTAATACTACTCCTCAACACCACCTCGAACAGAGAAATCATGGAAAAACAAACTTACTGGAGGTCCACGTGGGCCAATGATGGACATTCCCGGCTCCCCTGGTGCTCCCTGTGGATACAGAAGGTGCTAATGAAGAGGCAACATTGCCAGAACCTCTGGAATCTCTTTGTGAGCAGGAATAGCTGGGCACTCACAGGAATTTCCTGTGGCTGCCCAGTACCAGCCCAAAGCTTTGTGAAGCTACAGTAAATTGTAAACCAATATACTTGCATTCACTAGGATAAACAAGCAGCAAATGTTTATTAGCCAAATGTAAACATGTTTTGGCCAAGCATTAAAGCAATGATTACACCAAAGTCTAAAAGTCAAAGGAATAGAAAGCTCATTTTTCAAATTTGCAGTTGAGTAGTGATGTGTTTGCGTGTTGTGCTAATTCCACTGCTTATTATTATAGGTTAAGCATATGAGGACATTTTATAATAATCTTAAAGAACATAAGGTAGACATACTGTATGCTTACACATTTTGTCTCAAATATGCATTGCAGGAAACTAAAATGCTTTTCATTTCAGGCTTACACATTAACTTCTCATAACATCACTCAGCAGGTCAAAGCTGTGCTGTGTGTATATATATACAGGATATTAAAGTCCTCTGGTTAAGTCCTTTGGCATGAAGAGGGTGATTTGCACTGTGTCAGCCTCTGGGAAATGCCATCCATACAGTTCAATAGGCCGTCTCATTACAATCAACAACCCAGTAGCCAGACGGTGCCGTCTCAGGTTTCTAACACTTTTCCTAATTAGTTTCCCTAGAAACACTATCTCTATGCTGTCTTTGACAGCCAACAACATTTCAAAACTCAGTTGATTTGAGGTTTTTGAACAAAAACGCCTACAGAGAAAGTATTTGCTTTCACATATTGTAATACTAAGTGTGTCTGCCATCAGCTGGAAAAAGTATTGGTTTTGCCACGACCCATGAATTGTGGAAAATACAGTTGCAGAAAACTGCTCATCTGTTCCAGCATTTAGAGATACCCTTGGCTGTTTCAAAGGTAGTTATGAGGCAGGAGGACTGAAGATTCACAGATAGCCCCTTTTCAGATACAGACAACAGGATGGGAAAGGTCCAAAACAGAACTCCAATTGTAAAAAAAGAGGAAACCCCAAAACAATCTAAAAACAAAACTGGGGACAGGGTAATTGCAGATGTTAGCAGAGGTTTGGTTAACAGATTTAACTTTCTGAAGGAGATGTACTTCTTGTTAAATTAAACCTTAACATTAAGCCTTTTCTGTGTTTTTACTGGCCATTAAATGATTTGTTTTTCTGCTCGCTTTATTGACCTTAGACTTTATGGACACTAGATGGGTTAAATTCTTATGACAAATTACAAAAAATGTTTATGAAACACTGCCCTGCCTAATTTTTGTTTTTTAAATGGAAAAAAAATTAAAAAGTACAGAGTGGGAATATTATTTTCTGATGTCGGGTTCTAGAATTATTATTTTGGGAGGAGAATGTCCAAAAACACTAACTATACCCAGATCATTCTAATACTTGTTCTGTCATTTTTTTTGGAGGCAGCTCATATTTATCTGAGAAACCCTGGCAGTTTTATCAATATGATTTACAGAAAGCCAAAGCTGGTAAATAGTTTTAGATACCTACAGAAACTCATACTTTACAGTATATAGTGTAATTACTGTAGCCTATTTGTTGTTAGCCTCATTTTAATACAACAGAAAGATTGCTGTTATGTTCCCATCATTTTCTAAGAAAAGAGCTGTTCAAGACTAAAGATTGAAATATAACAAGAAAACTAACAAAAACTTTACTAGTACTTTACAGGTAATGGGAACTCCCCTCCACCACTACACCACCTGGATGATGCGACGACAAGCATAGTGTGCCAGAACGCTCACAACACATCAGCTATTAGTGGGAAGGAGAATAGAGTGATGAAGCCAATTCATAGATGGGTATTATTAGGAGGCCATGATTGGTAAGGACCAATGGGAAATTTGGCCAGGATGTCGGGGTTACATCCCAACTCTTGTCGAGAAACGCCTTTAATGACCACAGAGTCAAGACCTCAGTTTTACGTCTCATCTGAATGACTGCGCCTGTTTACAGTATAGTGTCCCCGTCACTATACTGGGGCATTAGGACCCACATGGACTGCAGGGTGAGCGCCCCCTGCTGGCCCCACTAACACCTCCTCCAGTAGCAACCTTAGTTTTTCCCAGGAGGTCTCCCAACCGGGTACTGACCAGGCTCACACCTGCATAGCTTCAGTGGGTTGTATTACAAGTATTACAAGATCTATCCCAAGCAAAAGTAACTTCTCAAAGCAAATTAATCTAAACTGCCATTGCTTTGTTTCAATTTTGGATTTAATTTTAAAGCTGAGTTATCACTGAGCTGGGGACGTCCCCTGTCCAGCACATACAAAAGCAAGCTGAGTCTGTCCTGGGAGACAGCCCTGGACTACTCACTGACACCTGCCCTCAGCCATCAACAAGTTCTCAGGTCCCAGACTCACCTTTTCACCAGGCTCGCCCATTAACCCCTGGTCAGTCACAGCAGACACAGTCACATGCAAAGTTTGGAGGAGAGAGACACAAAGAAAGGATTGGTGTTAAAGACATTGAGGACAAGGAGCATGCACTCAACCCAAAAGCTGCAGCTTTGCTTCCACATGGGACTCGTGGAACTGGCAGAAACCATAACTGCGTACCATATGAAAGTGGGAGTAATCTGGATATTGATGGCCAGCAAGTCTTGTTTACCAACAGCAGGTTTAAAACAGTTTTAGAAGAACATGAGGGAGAACGAGGGAGTGATGGATGGGAATTACTTTAGCAGTAGTAGCTTCCTATAAAAAGCACAACCTGAAGACCGCATGGCAAGTCAGCATTTTCTCACTTGCAGAAACGTTAACTGTAAATACATGTAGCAAGGAAAGGAAAATAATTGCAAAGACACCTCAAAAGGATTTATATATACGTGTGTGTGAATCAATGTGACATAGATAGGTTGAAATGAATGGTTTCTAGTTTGAAGTTAACAGACAATGAAAATTAAAATCACTGTCCAAAAAGTGATAACAGATTTTATTGCAACAGTGAACTGTTCTGCTTAAAAGAAATAATTTAAAAATATGGTTACATCATGAAAAAAGAAAGACATTTAGAAGCTTTTTGAATTCCAAACTGTTTTTTTAAATATCCGCCTACTGTTTTTTTTTATTTTCTACGTTATATATTATGAATAATCCAGCAGTTCACAACTCTCACAGTACATAAAAAATGGTAAAAATAACTCTTTTGTGTTCACAGTAAATAAGACAAAACCTATATTTAGGAAGAGCTAATACAAAAGGGCTCTATTTATCATTAGAAAAACAGTCTGAATAATACCACTTCACTGAAAATATTGATTTATAGTATCAAATTGTTATTCAATTATGTGTCGGTCACTTCAGTCACTTAAAAAGAATGTTTTTATTACACAATAGTTAAATATGTCATTTCTCATAAATGTTTTTAACATTTAGTAACCACAGGAAAAGGTATTTTTAGAATCAAAGAGAACAGGAAAATGTAAAAGATAATGCTGGGACAACAGGAGGACAACAGAACACTTTTGCTTAGTGAAAATAATAAAAATAAGCATTAAGGATCACATCTTCAGGTTGATAGTTAAAAGTGCCAAGCAATTCTATTGAATGATGTCGTCATTTAACACCTCATGTAATCCAATTGAATCATGTGTCCTAGGACCAATTACAGTACTTTGCAAAAATATTCTACCCTTATGTCTCATTTTGTCACATTACAAATGATGTACAGTATACACATTTTAAGTGAATATTTTAAAATATTTGAATAAGTATCCCTTATCAACAGAAACCGTGAGATGTTTCCTCTCCAGGATTTATAAATGCCAACTCTATAAAGTGAATGAACACACCAAGACATTACTAGAAAGAATATAAACAATAAAAAATTAAAGAATCTGAATACATTTGCAATAAAGGGGTAAATGCAGATACCTACAAATTCTATCTTAAATACACATTTTTTAAAGTTGTGGACTGATCTTCATCTATCAATGAACAGAAAAGAGAGGCTCTTGCAAATATACACCAACACTTCTCAGGTTGGTACTGTCAGAAAGACTCCTATCGGAATGTACAATGAAGACACATCTGTTCTCCATGGTCATCATCTTGCCTGTTACCTTATAACCATTTTAATCTCATTTTTATTGGTCTCTTACTAATTTCTACCAGGCTCTCTGTCATGATTCTGCTTTATTTCCTTACTCAGTAAAGCTACATTCACTTATCTTTCTATATCTTTGTTAAGTTGATCATTTTGTTAAGTTTATAAAGTGTCAAGCAAATGTTAAAAATCTACCAAATATTGTATCTGTGCTTTGACAGATTCAAGCAATCAGTGAAATAACAACTTTAAATACAACATTTATTATGCAGTCATATGTTATACTTTACCAACAATGATTATACCCTATTACAACATGATGTGTAAAGCTTTATGGACAGATGCCTAGAAATAGATAAAATAGGTAAATGTTTTCTAATTTCTTGCACTATTTGGTAAACTGCATATCTTATGAGATAAGCCCATCTGCTGTACAAGTGCTGATACTGGAGCCCTGTATGCATCAAACTCACCATTCTTCCAGGAATTCCCATTGCTCCTTTGTCACCCTAATAATCAATGTAAAATTAAAAGGTGGTAAACAAAGAAGTCTAAATATTAGGTACTGCATTGCTCTATTCATATATACATACATACAAGAGCAAGCTTAACTTTACAAACAATTTTTTACCTGTCGCTGGGTAAAATATTTGCTTTGTGCATGCCTCACAGTGATTCAGATTTTGAATTTGGCAACAAAGCATCGATGCACTTTTTAAAAAGACAGATTAGACTTACACCAGCCAAATGCTCAGACGTGCTAAAGTTCAGTAAAGTTAAGTTGGACTTTTAGTGCTACTGTAGCAAAACTACAAAGCAGGAACTACTGAATTTCAAGCACTTCATATGAGTGGGTGACTTGTGTCAATGCAGACATGCTAGGAAGAATGCATGGCTTAAAACTGAGGGGTGGCTAAACAGGACTTTCAGAGTATTGCAAAGCTGAACAAGCTATGATCTTATATCTTCACTTTATTTCTGAAGCATTTATTATCTTGAATACATTTACCTGTCGGTTAGGAATACTAAATGAAACCTTAGAAAAATATTTTTGAAATGTCTTAAAAACTTGTGAAATGAAGAAGATAACTTCTTTATGTACAGTATATAAGCAGCACAACATCAAAGCATTAGTGATAAAGGCACAGAAAAACAGCTCAACTAATGTACATCTGTGATATAAAACATAACTTATACAAAAACTGATAACAAAACATATCTGATATGAGCAGTCAATTTTACATTATAGTACCCGAAAACTAAACACAGAATAATGAAAAAAATAGTTTTGGGATAATCCTTTGGTAGTGCATGTACAGTCTCAGCACAGGAAGAGTTTTACTCATTTATGTAAGGGTGTTTCAGACTATCAGTCTGTCGTATGGTGTCATGGTATTTGCACATCTCATACAAAGGAGTGCACAAGCTGTACTTTATTAAACTCATGTTTTCTGTTATTTTTCATCTTGCTTTGTGAAAGCCCTCAACTTTAATAATCTGTGTTATGTCTTACAATTTTAAAAGCAAACTATATAGAAATATATCTTTACAGGTGTATCACATGTATAATGCTCCTGTACGGGTCCCTAACTCGTGTACAAGCAGTATATTCATAGGAACGTCTCCCCATTTTAACATGAATATAAACTCTCAGGTGGTGACTTTAGTTATTATTTATTTTAAATCATACAAAATCATTTCTAATTTTTTTTTTACATAGGCAGTTAGTCCCACCACATGCTGTTTCAGTGAGTTAGTGTGGGCCAGTAATAAAAGACTGATGACTTAATAACACATCAGAAATGTAGAGGGTGGTATAATATTTGCAGCATGAATTATCCGCTTGAACATTTTTTTTTTAAATATGAAGAACTGTACTACATTGAAACAAAGCATTGTCTGAAAGTTCTTTTATCTAAGGGTACAGGTCTTTAACCTGTTTCTGGCAACATGTAAGATCTTGGAAATATTAATACATTTATTCTGAGTTTTAATTTACTGATTATTTTCTTTGTAATGCTGAATTTACACAGACATGAGGATATTTAGAAATGGCAAAAAAGGCTGAGAACTTTTCCTTCTCTATAGTAAATCTGGTAGAGTTTGCGTTCTGGGTAATTAGTGAATAAACACCTATTGGACTGTTAATATACTTTTAACCAATCTATAGAAAGTAGATGGATCTCTGGAGATTTTCATATTGTTGTAACTTTCTGTTGAGAGCTATCCATGGTGCTGAACCCAGATCAGAATGCATGTAACTAAACATAAGGTTTTTATGGTAACTGTGGAATGGCTTTGGCATGGCTTATTTATTTACATACATAATATTATTAAACTAATTCTACAGTTGAAATGAATCAGATTCTGGCATTGTTTGTGAACCAGGCTTTGGCACTGGAGTATTCTCTTACTGGCAGTCTCTATAATAATTCAACTGGTCAGACTTTCTAGAAGGGCATTTTGTAAGACCTCAGAAAGAAACATGATCACTCTTATTTTTAACTGCATTCTGCTTTACTGCTTCATTGTTGTGAGTCAGAGTCTCAAGACTTGTGAATGGGTTCCCTAGTGTTCTGACTATACAGGCCAAAATCTGAATCTGGCTTCAATTGGAAATGAAGTAATTTTGGTGGTTTCAGGTTAGCCTGCACATGACCTCAGTCTACATTATAAACTCGACACAAACTCCTAGATTTACAGACTCCCATGAACTTCATGGCAGAGGTAATTCGGGTATATTTAAAGACCTATTAGTGGCAAATAGCACCTGCTTGCTTCATGGCTGACTGTAGTCGAAGGCAAAGTTTATATTACCTTTATTTTCACATTACTTTATGAATCTGGCCATGTGTTGTGCCAAACAAACAGCTTCTAAAAAAAGAAATGTCAAGAATCGCAGAAACAAAATTCAAAGGAATAACTTAGCTTTAGCTTGTGCAGTTTGTTGATGAACCATTATATGTCAAGATCTGATTTTCTATTCTAAGGAATACTTCTTAAAGTTTGTTAATATTTCCTGCAAGAATTGTATACATTAGAATAATAATCCAAGTAAGGATTATTAGGATGTATTTTACTCAGAAATGTCATTATATTAGACAGAATAACTTTTGTCTCTTGTTCAACTGTAAATGCAAAGATATCAAAATGTCAGAAATAATGTAACAGTAACATTTGCATGCAATGTGATCAGTTGTAGCAGGACATAAATGTTCTATGTTTTTTTTGCATACATTATATTAAAATTTCATGGCCAGAATGTTTTCTTTCACCATGGAACAAATTATTTGAAAATGATTAAGTTCAACACTTCTATCCGAAATATGATTTATTATGATCATAAGGAGGTGAGGATTAGAATCATAAGCTATTTTAATGAAACGTTCATTGTTCCTGCAAGAGTTGCATAAGTTACAACTTTAACAAAAAGAGAATGGGATAAACCCACAGTAAACACATTTCAGATCGTATTATTTCCTAAGGTATTGTCTTTCAGTCTTGGTTATTGCAAATTGTTTTATGTGGAACTATGTGATCAAATTTATCACCAAATATATTCACTATATGTAATCCTGCTACTACCAACATGAAGCTCTTCAGATCTATAAAAACATAAATTAATTCATCCAGTCACACACTGTCCAAAGTACAAACACAGAATAATTCATACAGTATACATATATAAATAAAATCTACCTAGCCATTCCCAAAATGTGGCATTTTTAGAAACTTGTTGTCCCTTTTTTTGTTGCTCAAAAAGATAACAGCCTAAAATAATGCTTAATCCCGCTAAAATGATTTGGTAAGTCTGCCATTTGATTGCTTGTATCCTATTTTTAATGTAGAATGTTAAATAAATATAACTGCAGTTGTACCAGTTATAGTTTTAGGTAATAGCATCAATGTACAGTTATGACAATTGAGCTGTGTCCAGGGATCTAAATTACTTTTACTATTGATGTACAGTATACTTCAGAAAGAACTATACTCTGCTTCATTCTTTTCCATCTTCTTTTTTTTGCAAAGAAACACCTGGTTTCATGTTTTTGCACTTTATGGGCCCTATTATAAAAAGTAAATGAACATTATAGAATAAAGAAAGGAAAATGACACATCAGCAAAACCACATAAAGAATCCAATATATTCCTTCTGTTTATTTAATGGACTTTTCCGTATTAAGATTTGGTTTCACGCTAATTTGTAAATGTTTTAAAAAAATAAGGCAATAGGTGCAGCAATCACTCCTTATTATAATCTGATACAATTTATTGCTTTAGACATTCTAAAAAGTTATTTTAATCATATTTTGGTAATGAACATTATAAGAATACAATTCAGTCCTTCAATTAACTTATGCCTCGACATTTAATTCTTTTATGTTTTGAATCTGGATAGGTGTATTATCCAGCTTTTGCATATTTTGATAATGAAGAACAACCCTTTTTATTTTGAAACTGAGCTCAAGGGCACAACTGGGCTGGATACAGTATGTCATGATAATAAATGTAGAACATTAAACACAAAGCAAACAAAACATTTTCAAATAAGCATACTGCACGCTAAATATATCCTATTTAAATCAGCTATGGCATTTACATTCAGTACATGCTGAAATAAATGAATGTATGAAACAATTTGTACCTAAACGCAAATGTTAAGAATCATTGCTGGAGCTAATGGATAATTGTGACAGACCTTGGCTACAGAGATCTACAGTGGCAGCAGAATGGAAATTCTGAGGAATGTTCCTTTACCAGTTAGATGCACAGCTTATGCAGAACAGACAGCTTACTAAACTAGCTTGTAGATTTAAAAACACTGAGCTGGAGCTACAGTATATGAAAAAGATCCCTAAGTTCCTAAACAGAATCACTACTGAAGAAAGTTCTTAAATAACTCATTTAATTTTACAAACTGACAGTTTTCTGTGGCCCCGCCTCTTTTTTTCTGACAGAAAAGTTATTTTCTCTATCTTATGATGTTCACAAAGGAATGGGTCCCAGTGTTTGTGACCATGTTGACAATAAAACAATGGGTACGGATGCCTATTAGTGATATTAGAAGCCTTTTCCACAGAAGCCAAGACTCAGAGAAAAGCTGACAGAGAATGCAGAGGGGCAAGCCAGATACAAACAACAGAAAATAATATTCATTCTGTGACATTGTCTTTCTGATGAAGAATTAGCTATAAAAAGTCATAAAACGTCCTAGAAAATGTTGTCTATAGTACAGAAAAGTCTGTTTTTATTGCATCTGCCCTGCCCTTTTGTTGAAAGACAAATTTGGAGGTTCTTTCATCTGGGAAGCCTCTATACTGTATCTTTGATCATTTAATTATTATTAATTAACAAAGCATAATGTAATCTTTATTCAGTATATAAGCAGACCTCTTTAATGGATATGGGAATGTTAGTTTTTTGTTTATGAATACTTGTGTATCATTTTTAATTTTTCACTCATCCTAGATCTCATTGTACCCAGCTGAAAGAATGCTCTCCAAATAAGTCAAACAGCAGTGCCGCCACCAGAGACGGGACAGAAAGGTAAAAGACAATTACCGGAAAGCCAGCTCTTCCAGGGGGGCCCTGTGAAATTGGTACAAAGCAGATAGAGTGAACTTGACAATACCTCCAATATTACAGAGAAGCACAATAGTATGCACAGTAACAAGCTAACAATTCAAAAACCATTATGTTTTAACACAATTAGTTTTTTTCAATTTTTAAACTGATCATGAGCAAGCCAAACAGATAAGATTTAATTAGCTTTAGATGCACAATTCAATCTTTTAAGCATTTATGCTTTGCATATGATGCAAAAATGCCCTTTTGTTTGTCAATTATACAGTAGGGCACTCTGCAGTTTGATCTCCTTTAAAGCTATAATGTAAATGAGGAACTTCATATTAGTTGCATGCCAAGAAGTGAAAATCATGCAGTCATGTTAGACTGTTTAAGTGCTCAGGAAGAAGACAATGAATGACTAATATGTCTTGTCCCATGTCACTGATGTACTACAGTTGTAAATTACACAGCTCGTGTACTTTCTGACCATTGTATTTACAATGTTATGTTATGGACTCTCTCTTCCAATTGATACCATGGAAACCAAGATGAACTCTGGCCTGATGAGCTAATGTGTCTCAGAAAACCTGTATTGTATTAAATAGTACATGTAATTTTAGCAGAAATACATTTCCTATATAAAGTAACCCAATCTTTGTTTGTATAGTTCTTTAATAATTTCTAATTAGGAAAATATAGAAATACATAATCAATCATCTTGGCACAATGAAGGCTTTCTTACACAGCCCCATAGATTAGAGCATCAGCTGAAGAAGAAATATAAGTCTCTCACATTATACTGCCTGCTCAAAGAAAATCCTAGGGATTGCTGTTGCAAGCAGATATTGGATACTCTTGCAAAAATCAAGGTCACTTATCCCCAGTTGTGCTCAGGCAATTAAGGAACTCCAGCTCCCTGGTAAATCCCAGTCAACGTTGGGTAATCACATCATTTAGACTTGAATCAGTATTGTCTGGACTACAGGGTTCAACCTGCACTCTGCAAAAACATCTTTAATACTTCAGATACTTGGGAGTTACAAACAAGTTTTATTTTCAATTAAAGCGTAGCTTCCCATTTTTGAAAACATTTATGATTAAAAGAATAATACTACCTCAGCTGACTTGGATAATTAAATTTACTGATTATGTTTCCTTCTGTGTATACAGACTTGAAAGAAAATGAGCTTTTGCCAAGATGCTTAATTGGCACTGCACAAAAAATCTTTGGCCAGCTTTGATTTGTGTAAATTCCCCTGTTAACCAAGAAGTGGCAATTTCACAAATTAATTTATACGATTCTGAAACATAAATCCTTTTATGTCAAGGCTCCATAGATCTTTATACATATATCTTTACACGTATTTTGTTTTAAACTACCATCCACTAATTACTGTTCAAAATTAACAAGCACACTTGAAAGTTTACAAAATTTGCACATCATGCCATTCAGTTAAAATTATAAGTGAGATGCTGCTAATCTAATCCTCTTGTAAACTGTACTGCCACACTGCACTGTAGCATTGTCTTTGTATGTACTGTATCTTTGACATTTAATTCCAAAACGGAAGTCATTGATCCTTAATCAATCTTCAAAGACAACATCACTGAAAATGTATCAATATGCTTGCAGAATAGTCTGATATTTCTAGACATTGTTTAAAATAGACATGGCCTTGTAATAGAATGGGGTTAATAAATCTTTCAGAATTTAGCCATACTGGATGGATTTCATTTCTTTAACAACCTGGCCTTAGCTGACTTGGAAGGTCAGGTGCCCTCAGTCCATAGTGCTGGGCAAGAAGTGCCATTCATGTTAATTACATGGGTTGCCTACAGCACAAAGCACATATGGAACCAATTCCAAAAAGTGCTTCTGAATACAAAACATAGTCTTCCAGTGGGATGCAATTGCCAGTTTGCCATTAGCATTCCTATGGCTCAAGAAAAGAGAAATCAGACTGGACTGATGTGCTTCACTGCATCACAGTGACCCTTCCTGATAGGATCCTGTGAAGGACAGGAGGAGTTCACCCTGGGTAAACTTCATTCTTTGTCGGTTCACTTCCTGGGAACCATCCACTGACTAGGGCCAACAGGAATGTTTGAATGCCCAGTTTACATGATGAACTTGGACAACAAGTTTCTCATCAACCCTGCACCCTTCAAGCTTGGCCTGGAGAGCAGCCTTACATTAGTGAATTACACATTTCAAACAGGCAAGATAAAACGGGAAATTCACTCTGAATACAATGAAGGAAACAGGCCTCTTGTTTTAAATTAAAAAAAATATAATTCATTTTATCTGCAGCCCAAATATATTTCAAGTTATTGTTGACTGCTTGCCTATACAGCTGTGACATACATTCGTAAACACAATCTTATTTTTGGTGAACACTTTCTTTAAGTTTTTTGCCCAAAACACACAAGAATAATATTCCATCCACTTGAACAACTCTCACCCATTCCCATCTTTTAGCAAACTTTTTTTAATTAAATATCTGTTTACTTAAGCTGCATGTTAATACAAAACACCATTCCCTGAACATTACTGGTCATTATCTTACTGATAATGGAGATGATAATTTAGGAGTTGAGGCTGCTTTCACTAACTTGCTGTATGAAGATATTCTTTCAGAAAGAAATTATGAAAGACTGTTTTATTATAAAGATATTCTTCCTTTTGACACCCTTATTAAACAAATGGAAAAACTAAAACACCAATGAAAGTATTCAAGGCACCAAGTGAAAAGATGCATTGAAATATTCTCAAAGGACTCAAAAATAGCTTCTTAGGTCACAATTGAAAACACAAAGTGCATATTTGTCACATTAAGGTGCTGCAGTTGTATAAACTGCTGGACTCATTATTCTAATTTTGGAGGCCACTGAATTTGTAAACACGATCAATAAAAAGAAAAGAAAGGCTCAATTTTCACCTCTGGATTTCCCATATATTAGCTCAACATAAGTACGGCTGAGGTCAAGTGCAGCAAGGACCTACATATTATGTTTTAAAGAATTATACGTAGTATTTTCACATTCTCAATGAACAGGAAAAAAGTAATTGCACGTAGTTACAGGGTTGAAATTATGGGTGTAATTATGTTAGTATAACATGCTTATATAAGTAATAGTAATAGAATCATTTTCACAAATAGGAGTGCATAAAGGTCACAAAAGTTTGAAAGCTAAATTATTGCAGTTGAATTTATTTTGTAACTTTGTTGAATCAGTGCTTCCAAGTTTGTTTTTATATTCATGAAAATATGTGGCCTTATTACGTTCACAGCTATTTTATGTCCAATGTTTTTAAGATAACAGACAACAATATTCAAAAAATGCTTGTACACTACAATTATGCTATATATTGGATAATCATATCTAATATTAACTATATTAGATAATTAATATTAATTAATCTTATCTTTTAATTTTTAATCAGCACAATACATTGGATGTCATGAAACAAGATTAAAACTAGTCTTACAATGCAGAATGTCCTTTCATACATCATAGCATGTATCAAAATCTAGCTTTTGTATATTACATACTGTATACCATAGCAGCTAAGTAGTGAGACAAATAAGTGTCAGTGATACAGGTCCAGTATTATTAATGCAGCAATTTAATGCCTTATAAGCCAAATGACACAAAAAAAAACATTAATGGGATTAATCATCCACATTTCCTTTCTTAAAATGATAACTTCTGATGAAGAATTTTGACGTTCTAGCTTTAGCAGCACGAACATTTCTAATAATTTGCTTAGCAGAAAACCTTATCCAGAGTAATTTAAAATTGTAGAAAATGTACATTTAGCGTAAGTACAAGGAACAATTGTTTAGGTACAGCGAGATAAAAATCTAATGAGATGACAACATGACTAGCACAACCTGGAAGAGTAAAGCAAGTAATATGAAAAATAGAATGAAATATAATTAAAACAGTTTACAGATAGTATACTGTATACAGTGCAGTAATGTACAGTGAGCACCTGTTGGTATGTTATCCATACTTAGAGTGAACAATTAGCAAATTACCCTGCGGTCTTGAGTCTTCGGCAGGTGCTGTAATGTGCCCATTGACAGAGTGTGTCTGATATCAGTGAGTAGTATGTTCCTCTGAGGAACAAGTATGAAGAACAAATGAACTCTGTGTAGGATATTTCAGAAAGGGTGAACAGAGGGCAATTCCACCAAAGGGGGAAAAGGACATGGGGAAAAAAGGGAGGCAGATTTTGGGAGTTTCAGTCTGAGATGATGAGAATGCATCAAAGAGAGGATAACCATGAAATAAGCAGGGATACTCAGGGAGATATGAGTGTTAGTGTGGGAATAAAAGGGAAATTTGAACATAAATACGAAAAGGTGGTGGATTGGAGGTAGAGTGAGAACAGCAAGGAACCCAAAAAAGTGGAGAAGAAATAAAATGTGGAAAAGATTAAGCCTCACCAGTAGAACTGAGGCAACTGTGACTAATCAGATAGGTAGCTGGAGAACCAGGTATCAGCAGAACCAGAACTTCATAGCTCGGCAAATGCTGACAGGAGAACAGAGTGACCCACAGTGACAAATGTAGAGAGAAGATCAAGAAGGATTAAGACAGGGGAGAGGGAGTCGGTATGATCTGTGCTAAGAGAATCAGAAAGGAGAGGAGACGTGCTTGTGTTGAGTGTGCTCAGCAAACTCGAGTGCGTCAAACAGCAAGTGCAGCCAGAGGAAAGTGGGCAGCTGAAGACCCACTTGAGGGTTTTACAGAAATATTTTAGCAACATTATGTTGTATCTGAATTTGATCAAATAATATTTCTCAGGAGCTGTGTGTGAAGTCTAACATGCTGTATGCTGGAGAAAGCTCAGAAGTACTTCTTAAAACCCGTCCACTGGTCTGTGCCCCAAGCTCCTGTGGGATAATTAATCACAGTCACAGCACAATCGGAGATGGTGACCTTCACCCCTTTTACTTGGAGCTGCAGCTGTTGCATCTGGTCCTAATTTTAGTACTCAGAAGGTGTTCAATGCATTCTTCAGTCCATGAGGATTAAGGTTAGACAGGTTATCCAAAGGCAATGGATCACTCGGATTTCTGGGCATTATCCAAACCAACAGAAAGAAATATAGATTTCGCAAGGTCCCATTTCGTACCCCAGGCACTTTCCATTCCATAACGGAAGCCTGGCACATAGAGTGACTCAAAGATTACAATGGAAGTTAAATTATATTCATATCATTTTTTCATTTTTTTTTAAACTGATAATTTGTTCATATTTTCCTTAGCTTTCGCATGACTTGTTCTATGACACGAAGACAGATATATGTCAGTCAAATGAAATCCTACACACGCTCCCGGTTAATCTTTTGAACATCACAAAAATGTACAATTCTATGATAATTTCTCTTTCTCTTTCATAGAGATGAAGTAAGAAGTTGCCTTTCTGTCAGTACTCTAATGTGCATAAAAATGTCTAAATAGTCTAAATCTCTATTTCTTTACTGGACTTTATGTGAATCACTATGCAATTATACACTATTAAATCCACGTATGGTCAAATTGTGTCAATTTGTTCCCTTATTTAGTTGTACCTAAAATATAATTTTCAAACCCCAAATATAAATGATCTGCAGTGCAATTTGAGCACTTACAGGTAGCACTGGCAACATAGCACAACTAGAAATAATATCTGCAAGCTCCAGTCAATCCAAGTCTTTGTAAATATCTTTGTTATTATTGGCCAAAGATATAGAAAGAATGTCAGTTTTGATCAGGATATGTAAATAAAGATTTTATTAAGTTAAAAAGACCTGAAGTTAAACAACAAACATAACATCAAGGCTATGACTGGGTGTCTCTGTTTTAGATGAATGACTCCATTGGGTTGGCAAAGTGATTGCTAAAATATTACTTAGGGAGAAAAACAAGGGTTCTTAACTTGAATGCAAGTAAAAGAAGCTTCGGACAAAAAATATAATGATGGGTTTTGCATTTTAATTAAACAAGAGATAAAGTACTCTGTAAATGTTAAACCTGTTTTGTGCCATTAACATAGGTTTTCAACATGTAAATGCAAACTTACTGCATAAACACAAGATCATTGAACTAGAAGTCTTTCTCATAATAATCAACACTGTTTGTTTTATACACCCTAATTGTTACTCAACATAATTTGCCAGAAATATTTTCATATCAATGCTACAGGGATAATGATTGTGCATGCTTTCCTCCATTTTGTGCACTGTCAGAGTTGTCACTCTCAGCTAACTAATTGTTAGTGTGCTCTCAGGACAAATGCCTGTAGCAAGTAAACCACTTGGGAGTTTCCTGGCTATAATACATTTGTGTCATCAAAAGTTATTCTAATTTATCATGACTAAAAGTTTTTATGAGGACTAGAACAATATTTAATTCTGCAATGTTGTACAGTATTCATGCAGGCTTTTCTTTTCATTCCAAATGTTTGTTAAACAAGCACACAAACTGCAGCTACTTTACCACAACATGGTCAAGACAGTGCCTCATCTACTTACAGGAGGACCTGAAAAAGACAAAGAGAAAATAAAGAGATTGTTAATGTTTGCTATAGTTTAGAAAAAATCATATATAAATTCAATTTCAAATTATATACAATAGAAAATGGAAAATTCACCAAGGGAAACATTTGAAAGTGTTTTTTTTTCTTACATTTTTTTTAGATTTACCACACGATGACCTCTAATTCAATATAGATTCTTAATACAGTCTTTTATGTTAAATACACTATTATGTTATTCAATACCCACAGATCCTGACCAAATTGTTACCATATAGAATTTATTATATTGTTAATTATGTTCATAAAAAAAATAGTTGAAATTTGGTATTTCTTCAATTGTTTTACAATTTATTTCAGTGCTGTTTCACAGGGGTTCGGGGAGAAAATCGACAGACTACTAGTTCCTATTCCTGTCAATGATCAGACTATGTGAACAGCTGAACAAAGTTACAGATTTGTTTGAAAATGTAATTTAGAATTTTGTTTTTCAGATGGTTAGTATTACACATTTTCTACACACTGTCATTAACAGTTGATTTTATCTCAGAAAATTATTTTATAATGATGAATTGTGAAATTAAATACTTCCAATTTAAGGGTATTTTTAAAATCTCTTCCTCTTTTAAAGTTCCCGGTAAACACAGCCATATGTTTGCTTATACAAGTTTAATATGTAAATTAAAACATATGGAATTTAATTCATATGGAATTTGCTTAAAAATATAAAGGGAAAACTCAATGGGTTTGTTAAATCTTTTCACATTCAGCAGGTTTTCTGATATAGCAGATCTATACTGAGGCTAAACACCCCTGTAAGAAGTTCAATAATTTAGTGATTTTTATACATTAAATTAACTGGTGGTAAAAGTGATAGAGGCAGAAAATGAAGAAACTTGTCTCATGTAATTAATTGAGAAAGAAAAGTACATAATGAGTTAGAAGAAAAACAGATTTGTTTAAGACAAGCAAACCTCATCTTGATGATAAAACATCTACCATTCAATGATAAATTAAACAATTGGTTTAGCTTGAACCTGCACATTCTTTAAAGAATTAAAGAAAGAAAATTAAGACAGACAATTTTAAACCAATTGTACAAACACGAATAACAATAGATATATCAGAAAATGCAGAAAACCATATCATATAAACAAGTATTGACTGTTAAAATGAAATGAGTGAAACTCCTTAAAACATTCCATGTATCTGACTGAAATAGGTGAACTAGGTCTTTCATCAAACTAATGCGAAACAGTCAACCCCACCCTTGTCTAGATCTTGAAATTTTCTTTTCTAACACAATCTTGAAACTGTGTCTCTAACAAAGTCTTGGAGTGCGGCAGCAATGTCCTGGATTACTGGGGAACTGACAGCAGTAACACAACACTGTGGGCTGTTACCACAGACACCACAAACCAGTCGCAATCAAGCCGATGGAGTGTGCATGAATGACTGCCCTTCACAACTATTTTCCCAGACTTCCTTTTTGTGAAACAGGGGTCAAGTAAAAAAACACAATTCCAGACTACTACATTTGATATAAAGACTATGACCCCCTTTAGTTTTAGAACAGAGGAGAAAAATATAAAGAAAAGAAGGAAACTATATACAGAGCTTGGAACATTACTTCACCGATTTACTTTAAATGGGGAATTCTGAAATACCTACATTTCATTACTTGATTGTATGTATACATGAACAATATAGAGGTATATGTAAGAATTTCAGATTATATCAGATTAAAAGCACAGCAGGTGGACAGTGAGAACCTTCTTTGTTGTGGATTTTGTGTAAGAGCAGCAGTTTTGACCACACGAGTTAACTATACACTCGAAACTTTCTCAGTGCAACACCAAAAGTTGAATGGAATGGATGTCATGGAAAATATGAAGACACTGATTCAAATGAGTACTTTATATCATCTGCATTTCTAGCAGACAATATTAACTGCTTGATACAAGGGTTACAACGTATGTACTGTATAATAATATTTTTTTATTAGGCAAACTCAGTATTCCAACAAAACTACCTTTTAGAATGACCTCTCTCAAGCCTTATTTTCACAACTGCTAATGGTGTCAGAAAACACATTGTTGCTGCCTCCTACAGCACCATGATGCCACACGCTGCGTGGAGAATTCCTTTCTTTGCATTCATTTGTGCAACATTCTTCAGGAACCACTCTTTCTGGCATGGCCAATAAGGAGAAATGAGGAGAAATGAGAGTAGAGTGTCCCAAACAAATGTCCCAAAGAGGGGGGCTAAAGCAATACAGAAGGTTACATAAATATTCAGAACAAAATTGTGAAACAAAACTTGGTCAAGCCAAGTCTTCTGCACCAGAAGTAGTTATGGACATGGTATGTGTATAACAGTTTAAGAAAACACTGGCAGAGAAACTGCACTAGCAAATTGCTGTCAGAGGTCTAAATCAATAAGTAGGAATGCAAATGACTGGAAAAGGTTGTAATATATATTTTCTGCATTTTCACTGGAGCCAATGGCTTGAATGCAGTACACTTAATCCTAGCACAGACTCTTCGAACACTCAATGGAAGTAATAAAACAGAGCTTTACTTTTTTCCACTCTGTATACAAAGCAAAAAAATGTCAGGCTCATTGCTGTTATCATCGCAATGTTCTCTTAGTAAAAAGTGGGAAGAAAACACATTTAAAAAGCAAGCCATCTAATGCAACACTCAACAGCAAGCCTATGTACATTACAAAAGGAGGCAATTTTTTGTTTTTTGTTTCTAGACCCCATGTTATTGGTTGAAAAGACAATTGAATGCATATGTCAAGTCCAGACGAGATACTGCCAGCTACATTATTAAATTCAGTCTAAAAAAACTGCAGAAAAGCCCAGACACATGTAGAATATACTGTATGTGGGTGTTCAGACGAGGTAGGTAGGTTCCTTGAATGTCTTGAAACCATATTTGAGCTTATTATCAATCCATGTTTGTCATCACATTAACAAGCTTATGTGAGTAAAGCACTTTACTGGCAAAAGATATTTCTATTATTTCTCTTTGAAGACAGAGTTATCATTAATAACACTGGGAGGCAGAACACTGCACGCAATTTCACTGATCAGAGAAGTCACCCTGGCATTTCTGTCCCTAAACATGTAGGCAGTGTGTATTTGAAGGCAGGGAGACATACCTGGATCACCATTGCGACCTCTTTTTCCCCTTGCTCCTGGAGGGCCTGGTTTGAAAATAACCAGCAGTTAGTCAAGGGTCAGACTACAAAGTTTTAAAGAAGCAATATCCCCTCTTCCTCACAAGCCTGTTTTTTAAATATTTTCAATAGAATTTTGTTTAAATAGAATTCTGTCTTTTAAAGATGCAAATATAGCAACTCCTGGCATTTTATTTTACTTCAGTTTATTATGGGGGTTCCTAAAATGTATTCATTTGGCAAAAATTAAAAACAGTTTGCCTCAAACTTCGGATCTGTGTCTTTTTTTCTTATTACCATATTTCTCAAAAAATGTGAATGCAGTTGTTTTTTTGGCACTTTGTTCATAGCTGACTTTTTGTAAGAAAGTGGCTGTCTTTAAAGAAAAACAATGATTGCAAATGGGAGGCAAAAGATCATTAATGTTTGCTACTGTATATGTGAGAAAATTGATGTTTTGAAAAATATTTTGCAGATGTGAACAGATGTGCACAGATTCAATGCAAATGTGGGTTTCTTGGTGAAGTGGATTTAAAGTTATTTTCTTATGAATTTGCAATCCTCAATTATCATGGGGTAATAAATTATATTTATACTGCTGTATTCTTTAATGGCTTTGGGACTTTGATTATATTGGACTTAAACATTTTACAGCTGGGACCACAGGGCTAGATTAACATTTAAAATTTTGCATTACGTCTGAGTTTTAGTACAATGGTATTGAAAATAAAGCTTGGAAGTAAGTGAGAAAGGGATATTGCCCCCATTACTAAAATATGCTGTTTTATTTATACTGCCTCTCACTGGCATGCAGCCATAAAGAGGTAAATGGGATTTCATGCTCATGCAAAGCAAACATTGACAGCTAAGAGCTCTATAAATTAAACCCACACAGGCATGTTTTACACTGAGTTTAATTGGGGTGTCTAGTAACTCTTCTGCTCTGCTACTCAAACAGAAAGCCTACACCTATATGTTATACACTGCATACTTCAAACTGTCTTTAATTTAACTATTTTATTTAATACTCATCAAAGTTATTTAGAAGAATATCAAAATTAAACATGCTCCTAAGGCACTGCAATGGCAAACGTAAGATTAAGCAACCTTTTATAATAGATGAGCTTCAACATTTTGGTAAGCCATTTCACAGTAAAGCATCACCCAAGTGATATTCAGTAAAAAATAATACAGTCACTTCATAGATATAAGGAATGAGAGGGCTTATAACCTTAAACAACTAAATGTATTTGATGAGTTAATCTGGTTCTGAAAGGTGTAAATGGTAGATGATTTCTAAACAGAAGTGACCACATTCCATATGACTGTAGCGTTTGACCTCCTAGCATGTACCGTCCTTCCAGGAATAACTTGCAGAATTCTGAGCTGAAAATAAACCTCAATCTCTCACATTCCCCGCAGCTCCAGTTCCTCCTGTAAACACTGTAGTGCTCTGGACAGATGCATCAGCTTTCACACTTCCGTACTGTAAGCACTGTACAAGAATTCTGTTACACCGATCAAAGGCTAAAACCAAATACACTGCTTTGGGTTACACTAGTTTAGGCTTCATAAATAGAGTGCAGTTTTACCTGACTATACTGAACTGTATTTTTTTGGGGGGCAGCATTCATTCTTAAACCAAAATGACAAAACTGATTTCCTCACCATGTACATAAACATGGACAAATGCATATTAATATAATAGAGGACTTCACTAGAATTAATAGTTCTGAAACTATAGGTGCTCACACTGAAGAAGGCTCCACGGCCAAAACGTTGTGTTTACTTTCTTCTCTTTACAGCATGGAATAAACCTTTTACTTGTTCCTGTATGTTTATAATGACTTGGATAACTGAGTTCAGAGCGCATGACTGAGGTCACCGTTTTGTACAAATGCCTTTTTTCCAAAATTTGTAGCATCCATGATACTGTTGCTGTAAAAGGAAAAACAATCTGAAATACTGTAACATACTGTGAGTTAAAACAGGATTTAACTCAAGGGATGAGAGCTTAAAATTGTACAACACACTAGTAAGGCCTCATTTAAAAATATTGAGGACAATTATGGTCACCACTTTAAAGGAAAAAATTGTTGCTGCTGTGGAGTCAAGAGAACCAAACACATTCCAGGTTGAAGAAAATGTCCTACACTGATGGGGTCAAGGAACAGGACCCTTTCAGTCTTAAAAGAGAAGACCTGATACAATTATTCTTCAAAAGCATTGTCAAGTAAACCCAGCAGATTTCTTCAGAATGAACAGTGAAACATGAACCAGAGGCTACAAGTGGAAATTACATGAATGTGCAATTATTCAAGGCCCTTCTCTACCCAAAGAATTGACATAATACAAGGAACAAGCAACTAAGCCATATTGTTGAAGCCAATAACATGGCTTTTTTCAAGAAACAGCAGGGTGAAAACCCTGGATCACTTCTACCAACCAAATGGCCTAGGGTCAAATGGCTTCCTCTCATTTGTAACTATTCCTATGACCGCTTCTGTGCACTCAAAAGGACTTTAACATTAGCAGTACTGGCCACTGACTTAAGCCATTGAAAAATTTAAAAGACAAATTGCAACAAGCTACAACAAAGCTATGTGAATGTATCGATTATTTACTATATAAATATAACTATACAGTAGTAATTCCTTGTTAATCAGTGATTACAATGAATGTGTTTAAATTCCTTTCTTTAATTGACTGATATAGAAGGTTATTGTTATTTATGTAAAGCAAGTTGGAAGGTGTTATACTGTACTATGAAATCCTTTCCAAAATGACATGAATGCTTCTGTCCAGTTTAAACAAAACATTTAATCATATTTCTAATTAAATTAATGTTTTTTTCATATACAGACTCACAGGGTCATGTCTTCTGGGAACTGACTTCCTTAAACCTTCTTCTGAGATTTGGATAAAAACTCATAAGGCCTTGATATGAATAGGTTGAGCCTCCAAATATGGTGTTTTACCAATGCATGGCACATTAGAGACTACTTCACAAATCTGATATCCCATCACACACACCTCAGACATCCACGGGGAACTGCTAAACTCTAACAAAGAGCCTTTGAACTCCTGCCAGCGTTATAAAAAAATTACACGTCTAGACGTGCCAACAGTTCATCACACATTTTGCCCATATCCTTTGTTGAATTTCAATTCAACCTTATCAAACAGAAGGTTCTATCACTAAAACTATTTAAACAAAAAACATTTACTGAAAAGCTAGAAGTACTACAAACTGTTCAATTTTTCTTAATGTTTTTGGGCATTTGGTTATATGTTTTGCATCTAATTTTATTACTTTTCTATATTTATTAGGGATATTTGCTGTATAAATTCTCTCTGACTTTTTCATGCCCTTTTCTGATTCTTAAATTGATGGACAACATCCAAAAAACAGTATAAGAGAGACAGAGATTTTAATTGCCTGTGGCACAATACACAACGGCTGTTTCTTATGTTGCCATAAGAATAAAGCACACTTGCAGTAAAATGTATTTTTCTTCCATCTTCTTTTCAGATTGATAGTCAGTTCAAGCTAATTTGTAATGCAGCTGTCCAAGCACACCATTCTCAAGTTCAGCCATTGTTTAATGGGTCCTGAATGGCCCATTAGAAAGAGTTTAATTGAATGGCAAATTTACACAAGCAGTACAGTGGGTTGTGGTGAAAGGCGGAATAGCCTGGTCATATATAGGAAAGTGGGATAATAATGAAAAACAATAAAATGTTTTTTCTGTTAATGGTCTTCCATATAATCAATAGATCTCTGACTTACAATCTTTGATATTTGCTTTCTTCTTGTGGAGTTCAACTTTTGACAATTAAATTAAAATAGCACTTGCAATGGATCTTCATTTAAAAGCCTCACACTGCAGACAACATTTTATATATTTCTGAAAAGATACCATTTTTATTTTTTGAAAGTATGACTACATTTAAATGCAGTACTAAGTTCTCTTTTGAGAATGTAGATATTCAGAAACAAGTTAATTTTTGAGCACTCTATATTGTATCTTAATCACAATTAAAAATACCCCATTAAAATTAGAAATCCCAATATCTAGGTCTCTTGAGATTAAAAAAGGCAGCACCGTCAGCTTGTGAAGAAGGCTGAAGAGGCATGTGTCACACCTGAAGAAGAGTCCATTGCAAAAACACTGTTTTTCTTCTTTCTTGTTACCTTTCAGGGTGAAATTAACCTCTGCTTGCATATAAATGTCCTGTCACTCAGTGTCCCCTCAATTAAATTCTAACTCCAAATGTCAAGCTACAATTTTCATGAAACAATGAATATTTGATTGAATAAATATTATAGCCTCTTTTTAACACATATGCATATTTAAAGTACCCTATAGAATAGATGGTTCAGTTACTTAGTTTTAGGTTTCTGTGGAATAAGGGAGAAATAATAATAATAATAATAATAATAATAATAATAATGGCAGGTGAACAGCGATATTTTAAATTCAAGCTTAAAGGATTTACTGCATGTTTACAAAGACACCTAGTCTGTTCTTAAGGAAGTTAGCATAAATATCCCACCTGAAGCCACCTTTAGCTTTGCATACTGTATATTGTAGCACCCCTTTACAAATACATAGTACAAGTGTAACTCTTCATAGTACAAGTGGAACTCACTGCTTGATACTCACTGTATGGACACTCCTCTTTGGTTTCCTCCCTTGTTATTTATACACTCACTCATAGGAGCAATGTACTGTAAGTGTAGCTTCCTGGAAAAGCATGAGCAGTATGACAACATCTTGGTAACAACCCTGCTGTACCCAGTGGTGATCTCACACTGATTTTTTAAAGTTATTTGTCTAGAGGAAACAACTGTCTTCTGACTCTACATGCTGATGTTTGCTGTGCATGTATGCAAAATGCAGTAAAAAATACTTAAGTTAAGTTCTCTTAAGAATGCCCCATGCATTAGGCCAGGAACAATTATATTCATTACGTACAGCATGTCTGACTAGCTTGACACTATTTAAGAAGCAAGATTTAAAACT